ATTCATTCATGAGTAAATGCTTACCAAAACAAATTGGAATTGAGCAATTAAGTCCAGTATATCCATTTTCGCATTGGCAAGTGTCAGGAGCAAGGCATTGTCCATGATTTGAACAAACATTTGAAATATCTGAAGCATTAAATCCATAACAAAGAGGAATTGAACAATTCGATGAAGTATATCCTGATTTACATTGACACGTATCTGGATTAGAACAATTACCATGTCCATAACAAACAGTTTCATTAATTGCTGGAATTCCAAAACAAATTGGAATACTACACTCATCACCAGTCCATTCTTTTGAACATTGACAATTATCTGGTGATAAACATTCACCGTGTGATGAACAAACTTGTGAATTTGAAGCTGTGATGTTAAAACAAATTGGAATTGAGCAATTATCAGATGTATAACCATCTGAGCAAACACAGGAATCTGGTTGTGAGCAATTTCCGTGTCCATAACATACAGTGGAGTCATTAAATTTCACACCAAAGCAATTATGCATTTCACACATTGCTCCATAATATCCATTCTCGCAAATGCATGTATCTGGTTCAACGCAATAACCATGTGATGAACAAATTAACATTGATTCATTCATTGCTAAATGAATTCCAAAACAAATTGGAATTGAACAGTTCAAAGAAGTGTACCCACTATCACATGCACACACATCAGGTTCAGTACATTTGCCATGTGTAGAACAGACATTTGAAATATCAGATGCATTATAACTATAACAAATTGGAATTGAGCAATTTGATGAAGTGTAGCCATCTTGACATTGGCATTGGTCTGGTTCTGTACAATTACCATGTCCATAACATACGTTTGAATCGTTGAACGGGACATTGAAGCAATTATGTAGTTCACATTGTGGACCATAATATCCATCAAAACAAAGACAAATGTCTGTATCCACACAATGACCATGAGTTGAGCAGATCAAACCTGATTCATTCATGAGTAAATGCTTACCAAAACAAATTGGAATTGAGCAATTAAGTCCAGTATAACCATTTTCGCATTGGCAGTTATCAGGTGAAACACATTGTCCATGATTTGAACAAACATTTGAAATATCTGAAGCATTAAATCCAAAACAAACTGGAATTGAACAATTAGATGATGTATATCCTGAAATACATTGACACGTATCTGGATTAGAACAGTTACCATGACCATAACAAGTGGATTCAATATTTGCTGGAATTCCAAAACATATTGGAATACTACACTCATCACCAGTCCATTCATTTGAACATTGACAATTATCTGGTGATAAACATTCACCGTGTGATGAGCACACTCTGACATCAGTCGAATTGTAATCAAAACAAATAGGTATAGAGCAATTATCTGCAGTATAACCATTCAAGCAGGAACAAGTATCTGGTGCTAGACATGACCCATGTCCATAGCATACGTTCTCCATATCTGTGGCATTGTATCCATAACATACTGGAATATCACACAAAACTCCTACGAAATTGTCTGGACACAAATATTCGACATGGAACGTGAATGGTTGGATGATGGATTTTCCATAATCGGACCAACAGTCAGCTGTATCCATATTCTGGATTGTGATTTGGAAGGTATAATTGCTCAGATTAATTCGTTCTTTCATGATTTTCTCAAAGTCAATTCCCACAATTTCCAAATTCAGAGTTGTTTCTTGTTGAGGTATTAATTCAAAGGTCAGTATTGAAGAATTTGAAAGAATAAATGGGTTATCGTCTGTTGGGATGACTGATATACTGTATCTGGCAGAAATTTGATCTGTTGTATTGCTTTTCACTGCGAATAGAATAGAATTGTAAAACGTATTCGAAATTCTTGTAAATTTGGATTGATTCAAATGGCTCTCAGAAAATTCAATAAATGGCTCGTTATATTTTTGTTCGCAATATGGTACAAAGTAACCATGATCCAAAACAATAGTTTCATATATAGTAATTTCCTTATTCGTACTGGTCCATAATTCTTCCTTAATAATTTTAACATTTACCAAACAGGAAACATTTAGTAAATCCTTATATGATTTCCATTCTGAATTGGTCACTCCAAATTGAATCAAAGTTGATTTTCCATTTTCAATGTCAGCAGTCTTGACATTAGCTTCCTTAACTGTGATTGGTGAACCACAAGTTGCTGTCACTTGAAAAGTTCCTTTAATTTCTCCACTATTTGTTATATTTACATTCAAGGTAGCATTCATTTCATTCCATTCTTGTCTATTTGGTGTTACAAAGAAGGAATAATCTGCAAGTGAAATTCTTGCCTCTTTGTAAACTAATAATGAAGAATCTACTAGTAAACTGAACTGAACGGCTTGCTCAGTGTTTAGATAATTCATTTGTATAGAGTTTGATGTTATATTATAGGAAATAGACTTGGAATAGTTTAGTCTATTGGCAAACTCTGGAATTCTAATAAAAGTATAAGCACTTGACGTAAAGAAATTGCTCAATTGAGTATCAAGTCTGGAACCATACTTTTCAGCACAAGCAGTTGATTTATAAGTTGTCACAAAATCTTCCTGTGTCACCAAAGCACCACCTGTCTTGGATCCAAGCTCAGAATCATAAATAAATGTCAAATCAAAAACTGAATTGATTGTTTCGTTATATTGATAGATTGGAACAACTCTTGTTTGAGAATAGAATGTATCATCCAGTGAAGTATCACTAATCTGCAAAGAAACTCCATTCTCACTCTTTGCATTTTGATTTTCGAAATTAGTCAATTGAATATTTTGAGATCCAATGCCAATTCCTGCCATTGTATTCAAATCATAACTCTTCCTACTTGAATCAAATGAATACATGTTATGAATAGTACTAAACTTGATAAAGTGATAAACTGTGGAATCCCAATATTGGAATTGGTTTCTCAAAGTATTCTTTGCACAATAAAAATATGAATTTGAAATGTCAGTTCTTGCAATTGTCAAAGTTCCATTAACTATGAGAGCTCTCAAATAAGGAAGAGCCAGTCCTGAATAGAAAATAGCTTCGTAATAAGAATAGGTTATTAAAATGTTGACATCTGAAACCTCAGCTGGAGATGAAGGATTAGCTCCATAATGCCATGGAGTTCCTCCTTCTACATCATTTACCTTAAAAATTTGATTGGTAGAAATGCAGGTGTCGAGTAAATCTTGTAATTCTTGAGGATCTGCACATCTCTTTGTGATGGAAGTATCTGATGGCACTGTGAAACTGACAGACTCAGATGCCACATTAATGTGACGTTTCCATTTGAGAGGATACTTGATAAAAGTTGCATTTTTCTTGAAATTCATATTGATTGGATTGAAGAGTTGATAATTGTAATTGGAATAGGTGAATGAATTAATTTGCGAAGAGAACGAGTCTGTTTTCCATTTACCAGAAATAGATAGTCCAGAATTGGAATATGTTTTTGCAAAAGTGCTTTCCGATATCAAAGATAAAGAACTGGCTACAGTTGATGTTGAAGTTGTGCTGGTGAAAGTCTCTGCTGAATATCTTGAATCATTCGTTGCCTTATTAAGACAATACTTGGCATAGTATGAATCATAATCATAGGTCGGAGCAAAAGATGAAACAGTTCCAGTACCAGTTGCATAATTGTAGATACTAATTGGTGGAATTGGCACAAGCTCTTGATGATATTCACTCTCTCTGTATAATGTAAAGAAACAACTTGACATTGACAGTGAGAGTCTCTTGTTATTTGGTAAACTGGTAAATGTGGCTGTGAAAGTTTTAGTACTCGTCAAATTCATACTATTCACAGCTGGTAAATAAGTGTAGGAAGTTGAAGTGTCCATCAAATAGACACAATAACGAGCAAAGTCAGCAAACTTGCCATGATCTGTATTGTTTGGAATAAGGGCAAAGTATGAAGAGTCGAGAAAGAACCACAGATCAGATGTCGATTTGAAAGTTATGGTTGTGGAAGCTGTAGCAATTTTCACATTGTAAGGTTCTACTGTTAGTTTGGCACAGTATGGAAGAATGTATGGCTGTTTGGCTCCGAGTGATAGAGATGTGAGCAGAAGTATTGTGATGAGGAGGGTGAGGGTGTTAAGGATGTGGCTAAGAGCAGACATTCTTTTTAATGTGATTAATTAGGAAACTTCCAAATTAAAAAGCTTATCTTTTTATAAATACTAGTCGTTATTATTAAACATATCTCTGTTTATCTCTACAATTATTTTGCATTAAAATTAATCCCTTACTTAGAAAAATTCAAAAAGATCATTTGGTTTACCAGCAGCAGTATTATTTGTAGATGGTTGAGAAGTAGTAGCACTGGTGGTAGTGGAGAGCCAATCATCAGAAATTACAGGTTGGGAAGTTGGTTGGGAGGAAAACCCTGTTGATTGAGAGGTTGGAGTAGATAACCAATCGTCAAATCCACCAATTGGCTTTGTTTGAACAGGAGGAATAATAATATTTTGTGAAACTGGGAAAGTATCAAATCCATCATTGGAAAATGTTTGTTTTGGTACATGATCTTGAGGTTCTGGGAAATCACCAAAATCGTCATCGTTATCTTGATGGTTTGGTTCGTGATCCTTTGGTTCTGGGAAATCTCCAAAGCTATCATCCTCAGTTGTTTCAACAGTTGATGCAACAGCAGCAGTTGACCATGATTGTGTTGTTGGAGTGGAAATGGAGCCAGAAAGCCAATCATCACCAACAGGTTGAGTTTGGGGAAGAGCTGTTGTAGAGCTAGATCCTGAGAGCCAATCATCAGCAACTACAGTAGGTTGAGTTGTTTGTTGAGACTGAGGAACTGTTGGAGTAGAAATGGATCCTGAAAGCCAATCATCTGAAATTGGTTGAGGGGTACTTAGCGGTGTACCTGTTGATTGTGCAGGTGGAGTTGAAACTGTTGCAGGAGACAACCAATCATCGAACCCTCCTAATTGAGCAGGTTTAACAGAAGTTTGTACATTTGTAGGAATAGCTGAAAGCCAAGAGTCGTTGTTAGAGACAGGTTGAATGTTGCTTCCCCATGAATCATCTTGTGGTTTGTGATCTTGAGGCTCTGGGAAATCACCAAAATCATCGTTGTCATTTTGTTTAAGGGAATGGTCTTGTGGCTCTGGAAAATCTCCAAAATCATCATCGTTACCAAAACCTTGCTCGTCTTGTTGTTTTGGGAAGTCGTCAAATCCACTATTAGGTTGAGATGTAGTTTGGAACGATGGAGTTGGAACTGAAGCTTCTGGTGTTTGGACTGGTTCAATAGTGGTTGGTATTTGAGTTTCCCAAGAATCTGCTTGAGGCTTTGAATCCTCCTTTACAACTGGGAAATCTCCAAAATCATCATTGGCAAAACCTTGATCAGTAAATGATGGTGTTGAGCTGGCAGCATTGTTAGTATTGCTTATGGACGAGCTTTCCCAAGAGGTTGGCTCAGGTTTGAAAGAGTCAACTTGGGTTGTCCAGGAGTCATTTTGAGAAGTTCCCCATGAATCATTATTTGATGCCCAATTATTGCTAGAACTTTCCCATGAATTATTTTGGGTATTTCCCCAAGAATCGTGTTGTTGTGGGTCATGATCTTTTGGTTCTGGGAAATCTCCAAAATCATCTTCACTAGCTGAGACAACAGAAGATTCAATCTTCTTGACTGGCACTTCTGATTTAGTTTCTGTTGCTTTTGGTGGTGAAGGTTCCCATGATTGTTCAGTCCACTTGTTGTCATCTCCCCAAGAATCATTTGAAACCTCCTTTGGCTCAGGTGTAGACCAAGAGTCAGTTGTTGAAGTAGCTTTTGGAGATGTTTGAGGAGGTGCATCCCATGAATCATTACTTGACCATTCAGTTTCTTCTTTTGTTGACTTTGGTTCTGGGAAGTCACCAAAATCGTCGTTGGCAGAAACAACACTTTCTTTTTTAACAGGTGATAGAGATGGCTTTGGTTGTTGGGAAATAGTAGCAGATTGTTTGGTGTCGTTTTCAAAACCAGGTGAATCTAGCTTAACAGGTTTAACATCATTGGTATTTGTGGAAATGTTTGGAATGATTCTTCCCCAGTCATCGTTATCAAAACCATTGTTACTAGCAGAAGGTTTTTGAGATGCAGTTGATGATTGAGGAGCAACACCTGAAGGCGAGGCAGAAGTGGTTGTAATTTTGATGGTACTGGTTGCAACCTTGACTTCTGTCTTTGGTATCTCCTTTGTTGGAGAGGCAAATCCAGAACCAAATACTAAAGCTGCAATATCATCCAATTCAGCATTCTTTGGCTTACTTGAGGAAGGCGTATTGATAGATGGAGTGTAAGAATTGATGAGATCATCAGTGTGTTGAGCCGATAAACTTGGTGATGGAACGTTTCCAGTAAACTTATTGGTAGATACAGGAGTAGTTGGGAGTGGACTTGTAGCGGTTGGTGAAACAGCCTGTTCCATTGTGTTTACACCTAATGGAACAGTTCTTGGAGAAAGATGAAGGTCAGTCACAGTGGAACCAACTCTTCTATGTCTTGCTCCTAGCATTCTTTGAGAAATGTTACCAATTTCATCAATCTTCATTCTTTGATCTACATTTGGAGTATCAATCTTTGGTTTTTGAGGGGTATCTCCAGAAATTGGTGTCGAGTAGGTTGTGGAAGCTGTTCTTCTGTGAAGTGCTTTTCTGAGTGGTTTGTTAAGCTTCTTATTCTTCTTTTTTTCCATTCCTAGTGAGAGTAAAAAGTGTTTTTCCACACAACTATTTTGCCAAACAGACATTTTGCTTAAAATATCTGCATTGTGATTGGAATTCATATTGAATAGTTTTTCTAGAGTATTTCCAGATTCTCCAGTAATGTCAGTTCTCTCTGGATTTCCTGCAAGTTCAGTTGGTATAAGCATACTAACTAAATTGTGAACAGATTGTTTAACTTTGGAAAATTCGTCCTCGTTTTTGATCTGGTCAATTGAAAGAATAGAATCAATAACATGTTTTTGATCCTTAAGAAGATCTGCATAATTGATCTCAACTGGTTTAGCAACAGGTTCTTCTTCCTCCTCCTTTGCTTCCCCAAATCCACCGAAATCGTCTTCATCTTCCTTAGTAGATTCTTGGGTAGGCTCATTGAAATCTCCAAAGTCTTCTTCATTATGATCTGCTGTAGTTGTTGGTTGTTCTGTAGTAGAATCTGTTGTAGGTTCAGCAAAATCACCAAAATCATCCTCTGCATTAGCCTCAGTCGATTCAACTGCTGGAGCAAAATCACCAAAATCATCATCCTCTGCAAATCCACCATTTGTTTCATCTGTTGGTGGGTTAGTAGATTCATTTACGTGGGATGTTTCCTCAGTAGATGTTGGGAAATCTCCGAAATCCTCACCTTGAGCAAATTCTTGAACTGGTTCAGAACTTGTTTCATTTACGTGGGTTGTTTCCTCAGTTGATGTTGGGAAATCTCCAAAATCTTCATCCTTGGCAAATTCTAGTTCAGAAATTGTTTCATTTGTGAGTGTAGGTTGAGGGAAATCTCCAAAATCTTCATCATTTACAAACTTCTCCTCTTGTGTTGCTGGCTGTATAACAGTTTCAGTGTGTGCACTTGGTTGTTCTGTTGGGAATTCGCCAAAATCATCGTCATCACCAAACCCTTTTACCTTATGAGTATTTTCAGCAACCTCTGGGAATTCACCAAAATTATCATTATCGTCAAACCCAGTAACTTGTGTGGTTGGTTGAACAATTTCAATTTCTTGGCCTGTTGAATCAACAGATTCTATTTTTTCATTCGTGTCATTAACATGCTCTTCTTTTTGGGCTGTTTCCTCTGTAGATGTTGGGAAATCTTCATCCTTGGCTAATTCTTGAACCGGTACAGGTTCAGAGATTGTTTCCTTTACGAGTGTAGATTGGGATGTTTCCACCACAGTAGATACTGGAACATCTCCAAAATCTTCATCTTCTGCAAATTCTCTGACTGGTTCAGTTGTTTCATTAATATGTGCAGGTTGGGATGTTTCCACCTCGGTCGATGTTGGGAAATCTCCAAAATCTTCATCATTTGCAAACTTCATCTCCTCTTGGACGGAGGAGAATTCAGTTTCTACAGTTGTTTCTGGCTTATTACCTTCTTCTGATGGATTGGTTGATTCCTCAAGTTGATCTTCGGCAGGTTGTTCAGACGAATTAAGATTATCCTCAGTAGAAGTTTGGTTGCTACCCTCTTGAGATGTAGATTCCACTATTGTTGATGGCTCCTCAATAGTTGGTGTTTCCATGGTTGCTGTTGCTGTGCTTGGGAAATCACCAAAATCATCATTATTTGCAAATCCCTCATCTGAATTTTCGTTATTAGTCTCTTCAACAACACTATCGGAATGTTCTACTTTGTTTGTACTTTCCAAGGTGTTGGACTCATTGGTTTGTACAGATTCTTCCAAAGGTATTTCCACTTGATTATTTACATCTTGGGATGAATTGTGTTCGTGCATTGTCTCTCCAATAACTATTGCTTCTGAAGCATCCTCTGAATAATCTCCAAAATCTTCCTGTGATGAAGTATTAGGAATTACTTTTTCGGATGATTGTTCTTCAACTATTGGTTCCTCAGTGTTTGTTGTTGTTGCTTCTTGTTGTTCATCTGTTGATTGAGCAGAAATAACACTATCACTCACTAGATTTGTTTGTTCGGGCAGTGTGCTATTTTCAGTAGAAGATTGATCGTTATTATACAATGTTTCTTGTTGATGATCATCGGTTGTGGCAAAAGAATCACCATCCAACCAATCACCATTATCAAAATTGGTCTCACTCGTTGGAGAAGTTACTTGTTCTTCTACCTTTGTAGATTCTTCTGTTGTTGGTTGAATAATAGTATCGTCATTGTTATTACATTCAACAGATTGTTTTTCTTCTATTGATGTATTTTCTTCAATTGTTGTTTCTTCCTGCTTTGATTCTTCGGAGGTTTGTTCGACAATATTTGTTGTTTCATCTTCTGTTTGTTCATTAACAGTCGATGTATCATTGTTGGTATCCTCAGTGATGCTAGTGGTAGTATTTTCCACCTGATGATGATCATCATCAATATTGGAGGATATTTGTTGTTCCACAGGTGTTTCCTCCGACATGTTGATAGTGATTTTTTTATTTTTATTTTTTTAAATATTTTATTTTAATATCCAATTTAAACAGTTGATTAGGGATTAAATTCGTTAGATAATTCCTGAACAAGCAAATTCCATTGATTCCACGTTTCATTAGGTTTCTTGGACTTCTTTTCATTACGTTCAATCATCTGTTTCATTGCTTTTTCTGGAACTATTATGGTACTAGGGTGATATTTTGAAGTATTAAGGGTTTGACGCTCAAGTATTGGTTGTTTTGGAACTACTCTGCTTGTTGGAATATTTGTAATAATGGTACTCTTGTTTTGGGAATTGGTAGTGACTTTTCTTGGAGATGCAATCTTTGATTTGTCAATTTCTGATTCTGTCTTGTTGACCTTTTTCAGAGAAGGAGGTTTTGGTTTAATTTTCGATTCGAATGCTGATCCATAGGCTTCTTTTAGCAGGTCTGCATATGAAATTTTCTTGTTAGAACTCGAGTTATCTTCTGAGTTATTAGACACGTTTGTGATATTGGTTTTTGTTCTCACTGATGATTCTCTCATTTTAGTTGCAACTTTTGATGAATCATCCAACTGTCTTTTTGGCTGACTTGAAGGTAGCAGTGGAAGATTGCTAATTTTCGAAGGTGGTTGAGGAGGGCTGCTTAATGGTAGTTGAGTTCTATTTGAATGAATCAGACTATTGCTGATTTCTTGTAATGAATTCCATACCTGCTCTTCCTTTTCCTTCAGCTTTTTATCTACAATGTGCTGTTTCACAAAAAGCTTCTCCTTTTCTTCAAGTATATGTTTTTGATATTCCAATTCTTTGGTTTCTCTTACAACTTGCATCTCTTTATCTTTCAGTCTTCTTTCCCTTTCTTCATATTCTTTCTTCCTTCTCTCTCCATCTCGTCTTATCTTTAGAAGAATTTTCAATGACCTTTTCAACTTGTAAGCTCTCCAAGCCCTTTGAATTATGATCACTGCCTCAATTAGTTGTTTTTGAAAATAATTTTCCTTATAGTTGACCCATGCTTGTTGAATCTTCCTAGCGGCAACATTCAATTTTTCAATCTCATGTTTCTTTTGCTCGTTTCTCTTTTTTATCACATTAATCTTTCTTTTTCTTATTTCTCTTTCAATATCATTCCTCTTCTTTTCTCTGTACAATCTTTGGATCTTTAAACTAAGGTCAACTTTTTTAGACATATGTCTGGTTGCCAATTTACCACGAATTAATGCTTGAATTACAGATACCTGAGTGTCGATATCCACCTTTTCTACCTTTTGTGGCTTTGGTTTCTTCATTGGAGAAGCGGCTCTCTTTTTAATTGCCTCTTTTCTTTTTACTAATCCATAAGCATATGACTTTTGAAGTTTCTTCTTCTTTTCGCTTAGAGGAGTGGTGCTGACAGCCATCTTTGGCTTTGAAAACAGCACTTCTTCATTTGGTATTTCAATTTTTTGAGGAGAGGGCTTCTTTTTAATTTCTTTCCTGTTGTTTTCAATAGCCTCCTTAATAGATTCCCTCAATTTCTTTTTCAACTTATAGCGCCTCCACAACTTTTGAATAACTGTTGCAGCTTCATTCATAACATCAAAAACGTGCGCTCTCAATGTTTCGTAAGTATCTCTTTTAAGCATAACTGAGGATTTGCCAATAAAATAAAATTGTGTTTGACCACTCTTTTGAAATCCAATAGAGTGGAGAAGTATCTTTGAAACTGCCAGGTCAAGAGCGGTATCTTTTGAAAACTTTTTGTATGAAAGTGGATGAAAAACTTTCCAGAATGATTTCTTCGAAAGAGTAACATCAAAGGACTTTTCACATACATCAGAGACTGTCATAACTTGGCTATTAATCATTTGTTGCATTAAATCATTAGTTGATGTATTGGTTTTCAAATGGAAAAAGGTTACAAAAGTCGGATCCGAGTTCAAGGCAGTCGGTGAGAATAAACTCTTCATTGAATGAAGGAAATCCTTGTGTAGATCAGATATTTCAACACTTGGTATTCCAGCCTTCAATATTTGGTGCTGGACATCTTCATTGATATATTTTGGAAAGAATGAACCAACTTCATATTTGAATTTTCCAAATGAATGGTTAATCATGTAGTGATTTCCATCATTTTGATCCATATTTACACTGCTTAGTCCATAATATGAATTATTACGGAAGAAGAAAATAACCTTATCTATAGCATCCTTTCTGTCGTGGTAAGTTGATGTATCTGAAAGAGAAGGATAGGAACACAATAAACCAGTATTCCCAAACAAAAAGTCAATAATTTCTCTGCTTGAAGAACCTTCTAAAATATCAATAAGAGGATCAGTCACAAATCCTTCCTTTGTATGGGTTGTTGAAATATCCTCTACCAAAAATTGTAAAGCCCAAGAGTAGGCGTGCTCAGAACTGGCATTACACCATAAATCTCCAAAGGAATAAATGATGTTCTTTTCTGCTGACAATTCTGGGAAACTTATAATGTGAACTGCTGCTATATTTTCGCATTCAAGATTCTCATCAATTTCAATACTATTTACAAAATCTTTTGATGCTTTTTTACATTTTTGTCCTATCCATCTGAATAGTGATTCAACCAAAATACAAACAAAACTAGTGCACTTGGTAAACGCAAATCCTAGCTCTTCTCTCTTATTGTCTATCATCATTCCAACACTTTTCAATACTTCAAATTGTTCCATGTGTAATATTTCACATATTTGACCCAGTAACTCAGAGTCAAATGTTTCCAAATGGCTTTCTATTTCAGACTTTATAGCCTCATTGAAAGCATCAGATGATGTGTTATCTTCCAAATCCAATAATAGCAGTATGATGGATAACGTTCTTAGAAGAGTATTAATCTCTCTTGTTGAACACAAAAGAGCCCTCTTAATATTCTTGAGAAAATCATAAAACCTAGACTCTGACATTGGTACCTCCTTTTTCAAGTTATTAATGAAAGCGAAATATTTCAATTCAACAAAAGTTTGGCCCAGCAGAGGTTCTAACATTTTTGAAGGTGCACACAACAAGTCTTTGAATATTTCAATTCTTTCTACAATACATTGAACAGCTGTTTGGTAAGGACTCTTCTTCTCAAGTAAATATTCAATCTCAAACCTATTGAAAAGAGAAGCAGCCACATCAAAATCGAGAGCTGATAGTTGTGACGAACCCTTTTCAGTTTTGAATGTAATTCCAATATTGAAAGCAAAGAGTGGTTTCAAGTACTCTCCATGTTCCAAACTAGTTGAACCAAATCTGTAAAATAACGAAAGCTGTTCGGAAGCAATAGATGCACTACCTTTTGCTCCTAATAAAAGGTTCAACAAGGTTAATGTTGTTTTCACTCTCTTTCTTGTTGTTTTTCCATTAAGAACAATGGTTTGCGACCTAGAAGTTTTTGAAATTGAATCAACGAGTCGAGAGTACAATACATTGGCTACTGATGAACAATCGTCCTCTCTACTCTCATCGGAATATAGAACAGCAGAGAGAAAATGAGGCCTGACTTGTGTAACAAACTTTCCCATCATTAACCGTTTCATCACCATATTAGCTATACCACTGACTTTTTCTTCCTTTTCACTTGTAGTGTTATTCTTTCCAAAATTCATATTGTTTGATATTTCAGTTTTTGCAAAATTCCTATGATTTTGTTTTGAATTCCTAGAAAGCCGTATCAGCTTTTTAAATTGATCGATAACGTCCTTATCATCTTCATCACCCGAGTCTGCAAATTCTTCTCTAGGGCTTGTGAGCATTTTTCTTAGTGGATGATTTTATCATGAACGCATATTAAGGCAACCTGAAAGCATCCATGTACAGCTGTAAGTGAAAGGATTGAAAAGTAGCACTAGAGTTTTTTATATCTCGAGTGTAGAGCTGGGTAAATGGAGGAAATTTCTGTGTTACTTCATATTTCCTTTGATTGTCACACAAGGATAATATTCAACGCCAAACATAAACTAGTAATATCTAGTGTGTAACATTCAAAATGAGATTCATATTCAGCATTGAATCTCTTTTGTAAACAAAAATTAAAAAAATGTCACAACAAGAACGTTACCTCATCCTTCCAACCTCACCTATCGATCAAGTTTTAAATTCTGGCATTGTAAAATTATCAGAAAAAGACCAAGAATTAGAAAGTGTTTCTTTTTGGACCATTTGTCAAGCTCTATGCATTGATAATGATGATTCAACATCATATTCATTGACTCAAATAATTGATTTATTACGTTCCTATCGGGAATCTAGTAATTCTTCATCAAATTTTGTAATTTCCCGAAAGTTTGATGAGAATGAGTTGGAATTAACATACATGAAGACATGTGTTTCTACGCTTGATTCACTGTGTGAAAGTAATGGTGAATTATTGGATTGTGTGAAAGGTTTAGTGTTGCTTCTTCCTGAATTATTCCCAGATGGGCAAGTTTTACTATGTTCAGAAGCTAATCAGAAGGTAGAGTTGACCAGATTGCAAATTGCAACTCTTGTGGCCTGTATGTTGATTGGAGCAATTCAATATCCAAAGAAACAATTATGTGGAAGAAAGTTTGTTGGATTTGAGACGAGTTTGAGAGAGTGGACTCACAAGTCGACTCCTTCGAGTGAAACTTATTTGAAAATATTGGCAAATTATTTGAGGAGAATGTTTAGAATAGTTGAATTGTCTAAAAGGGATGAAAGCTATTCGAATTTTTTGAATGAAAAGATTTCAGTGAGGAGAATTCGAGTAGATTCTAATAATGTGAAACAATTGGTTGAAGAAAATATGGAAAAATTAATTGAAAAGCAAGTAATGGAAATTCTACCTTCAAGAATGGAGCAAATGTCCACAAGAACTTCAATTTCTACTGTTTTTGCAAACAAAATGATTGGTCCAGGAAGTTACTCAACTCAGGAAGAATTATTCTTTGGAATTTACCCTGAAATGCTTCCATTTTCAATGATTTGTAAAGAAATTGAAGCAGAGGAATGTTTGATTGTAGAAGGAGTTTATAGACAATTGGAAAATGTCACTGATTTCACATTTAATAGACATGTTTACTTGAAAGAATCGAATGCCTTGAATGAATCTCTGAATTATTTGCAACCATTTGGTAGCCCACAAACTCTCCTTTTTATTGATGCTATTCCATTTGATACTGAAGTAGAATTAAATGAAAGATCCAACAAGTGTATCATGAGAGAAATAACAAAAGCCTACAGTGCATTTTCACAATTCAATGGTCAATTAATCAATTCAGGACGATGGGGATGTGGGGCTTATGGTGCTACTTTGGAGATTAAGGTTGCCATTCAAAAGATTGTCTCCACACTGACAAGTAATCGGCTCCTCATATGCACTGGGCGATGAATGGAATGATAAACCAGAATGGTTAGAAAGAGATGGTATGACCATTGGAGATTTATTGAATCGTTTACTGAATTAGAGATCACTTTCTTTTTAAAATACATCAAAACAAATGTACACTGTTAATTAGTTGACAGAAAATGAATTGAAATCAATTTAATTAATATACAAGTAACTTATGTACAAAACAACGCAAGCAAAATTTTAGAATCATTAAATGACCTTATTGTAGCAGACCGAGTTCTCTTTCCAAATCAGCATCCTCTTGTTGCTTTTTAGTGAGCTTGCCAGTGCTAATATTCTTGCTAGGAACATCCACATCAATATCCAAATAAGAATCATCTTCTGCAACCATATCACCTTCAAGCATATCCAGTTCTGCCATCAAATCATTATCATCAACTTCCTCAGGTGTTTGATATGATCGTGACATGATTTCTTGTAAATCATTCACATCTTCCATTTGATCCGCAATATCATCATATAAATCTTCAACTTTATCGGCGTTAACTTCTTTGAATTGTTTCTTCAAAGTTTTAGATGCGTACTTCATTGCATTAATTGTATCAACAGAATCCTTGACAGTATTGACTGTAAAATTAGTTTGATCCACATTCCATTGTTGTCCCATCAATGATTCTTGTTGTTTTTCATACATTTTCTTTTGTTTTAATACTTGCATAGCTTTTTGCTTTAATCTTTCTTGCATCATTTGATTCGGAGTCTTTTTAATTTGATCCCTCAACTTGGCCAGCTCTGCCTCCAGCTGTTTGATCTTTTTTCCGAGCACTTCCTGACGATCTTCCAGTCTCTTGCTTGTATCATCGAGAGTAACAGTTGGTGCCTTGTCCTTACTTCCTCCGAAAAGTCTTCTCATTTTTTTTTTAAAATTGATGTGTTATAGTTATTGTTTTTTACTTGGAAGTTGTAACATTTGCATTGTTCTAATTCCTTATCCACTGGAACAATTGTGATAAAATTAATATTAATAATTCATCAGTGTTGATAAATAAGTTATGTTGTTGGAAGGAAAAAGATTCAAATTAGAAGATAATGTTCCTCCTTGGGAAATGATCATTTTTAAAATTCCGAAATTCATTAAAAACAATCATCATGACAACACTTGTAAAATGACTTGATCGTCTGCATGAAGTTGCAACTTGGACTTTTCGCGCTCAAAATTCATCATTTGAAAGGCTTCCGAATTTTCATAATAGAAAAAATGCTTTCACAACCTACGGAAGAAGAACCAACTTTTATTGAAGAAGGGAATACAACAACAGCACCACAAGTCTCCTTGACTCTTGATGATGTAATCCGTATTGAAAAGGAAAAGAAGAAGCGTCTCAGTGAAATCAACAAGTTAATTAAATCTCATACTAGTAATCTTTCTAAAACACTCAAGGAATCTTCCGTGTTGAGTAACAAAGAGTTGAGTGAAACTAGAGAACGTGTAAAGAGTCTCAATCAACAAATTGATAAAATTGAAAGTGAAATCAAACAAAAATTGGCTGAAGCTGAATCAAAACTTGAGGAAAATAAATTGGAAAGAGAAAAGAAGAATTTAATTAAATCCAAGTTGAGATCATTCGAAGTTGATTATGATACTGCTTTGGTAAACAAACAAAATCTTGAAGAGGAAAAGGGAGCAATAGATAATGAAAGAGCTTCATTGGTATGTACAACATTTTACATAACATATTCATTTCGGAATTATTTGGATCTTTCTCAAAATAGAAAGAAATTATTATTGCTAAGAAATCTTCTTTGCCATACTCTACTGTAGCTGCATACAACAAGGCTATGAGTGAGGTTGAGGCTAAACTTGAATCTAAGGAAACACCAGAATCTGAATTGAAACAACTCAAGACAAAATTCAACAAGTTGAGAGATGCTAAAAGATTATACGACGAATATGAGAATATACTTGTCAAACAACACGATGTTCACAAACGATACCAAATTGTTGTTAATAATTTCCAAAAGGCTGAAAAGGAAATTTCAGAAAAGAAGAAGGCTTTAAAGAGAGCTAAACAACAATACGAACCAATGCTTGTAGAGGCTTCTGAATCAGTCACTGGATCTGACGAATTGAAGAAATTCATCACCAAGGCTAGAAAGCAAATTGCTCAGCTCAAGAAGGAAAGAAAGGAATTGCTTGAATTAATTGATACCAAGAGCAGAGAAGCTGTTGTTACTGGATCAGACATTAAAAATGAAATTACAGAACTCACTCTCAAGAGATTGCAAATCCAAGAAGAAGTTGATAGTCTCTCAAAGTTTGTTCACACAGAAAAGATGAACATTGATCCAGAAATGATTGGAAAAGTTTTTGGTAAAAAGGGTGCCACCATTAAGAGTATCAGAGAAAAATCTGGATCTGATGTCAATATCAATAAGGAGTTGAGTCAAGTTGTTATTAAGGGTACTCCAGAAACTGTTGCTGTAGCTAAGGAATTAATTGAAAAGTTATTCACCACCAAAAAGAAGACTGAATCAACTTCAATTCGTTTCAAGATGGAAATGTTTGTTCCACTCACCAGAGTTGTTTCTCAATGGAAGAAGGAAACCGGAGCTGATATTTTCGTAGACAAGCTCGAAGGTTCTTGTAAAATAACTGGCTCAACTGAACAAATTAAGGCTGCCAGAAAGCTCATTAACGAATTCTTGGAAAAGGGTCTCCAAGAAAAGACAATTCAAATCACCAAACTTGGTCAATCTCACGAAGATATGATCGATCTCTTGTTTGGATTGAAAGGAGAAAACCTCAAAAAGATTCAAAATCTTGACGGAGTTGTCAATACAGTTATCGACAAGAAGGCTAACGTAGTTAAAATTTCAGGAACTGGATCAGGTGCTGATGTTGCTATCAAGCATGTTGCACAACTCATGAAGGATGCCTCAATTGCTGAAATTCCACTCCAAAAGCCAGCTCATGGAGAAGTAATTATTGAAGCCTCCCAAAAGATTCAAAAGGAAACTAACACACGGGTAACTGTTGTGAAGAAATCAAACACTATCAAGATTACAGGATACAAACAAGATGAAGTCCAAAAGGCCAAATCTCAAGTTGAAGCCATCATTTCTAAAGAACTTGAACATGAAAGAAAAACTCAACACAAACAAGTTTTGAGGGTTGATGTTAAGGTTGCTAGGAATATTAACAAACAAAGATCTAAAATTCAAACAGAAACTGATACTATCGTTAAGGTCAATTTAAAGGATTCTTCCATCACTGTCTTTGGTGAAACAGAAGAGAAAGTGAAGGCTGTCGTGGAAATAATTGAAAAGGAAAAGCAAATTGTGGAACAACGTGCTAAAGAAAAACAAGAGAAAGCCCAAAAGGAATCTAAGGAAACTACCACCACCCAAACTGAACAAACAACCGAAACAGAAACTAAGGAAACAGTTGAACAAACAGAACAATCAACTAACGAGGAACCAACAAGTCAACCAGAAGAGCAAGTAACTGAAGTTCCACCACAAGAACAATCCACAATCGTTGAGGAAAAGACTGAATCAACAGAAACTACTGAATCTTCACAAGAAAGCACAACACCTTAAATTAAAGTTTAAATAGATTTTGAAAATAAGTTAGTTAAATATTTAATAATTTACAATTGCAAGTCAGCTCCAACACATTTCGATTGGATTAATCTCATATCCATTTTAACTGTTGGGAAATCATCAGCACCTCCCAATTCCTCAAAACCATCAAATCTGTCCACCATTACACCATCCTTAAAACAAATAACTGCTGGAAGCATTCTGACTTGGAGTTTAGAAATGAAAAATGGAGCCTTTTCAGCATTAACCTTGAAGAATCTGGTTTGCCAATACTTTTGACAGAGAGTTCCTAAATGCTTATCAACAATTTTACATCTTTCAAAGTCATTATGGAAAAAGTGACAAACACAATACTTGCTCTTGAGCACGGTATCCAAAAATGCTCCTTCCTCAACTTCCACATATTTACCGTGTTGGCGTGTATTAATCAATTCCATTTTCTTTGAGTTTGCTTCCTTCAAAATTTGAAGTCTTCGTTCTCTGAGTGATCTCAATTCTTCATCATCATCTTCCTCAAGAAGATAGTCATATTCATCATCTTCGTCTTTTTTCTTTTCTTCCTTTGGTCTATCTTCCCTCAATCCGGAACTACTATCTTTAATGAAAACATCTCGTTGTACATATCTTGGTTTATTCTTGTCCTCTTCTGCTTTAATATTTTCTCTGGCCTTCTTTTCCACCAGCGATTTGGTAGCAAATTCAAAAGCGTTAGCAGCATTAGCCTTATCTTGGTCAGTAAAAAATCCTAATCAGCATCAATGTATCACTAATCCTCTTCAAACAATATAAAAACCTACCACTTGACTTTAACATTGTGTTTTATATGAGGGGGAAAAGAGGCACGTTGTTGAGTGTTGTCTTTTTTTTGTATTTTAAATTTTTGTGTAATACAAAATGGCGCAAAATTTAAGCACCAAGTACTCATACAATATTTGTATTTATTTTAACAATACAAACATGTGGCATCTAAAATAGATATTGAATGGATTAGTAGTAGCAATAAACTTCCATAATAATTTGATAAGAGCAGGTTCCTTCATCTTTTTCTTAATGAAGATACCCAAATGAGATGGATTGAATTCATTATGAAGAGCAGTGTTGATGATTGAGTATTATTCTAAAGTACAAGAGAAAATAGTTTATAGTTTTTTGGGAGGTGGAAGAGGAGTTTTCTTCACAAGTGTTGGAGTACTGCCATTGCTGTTGCTAGTAACTGACTGAGTTTGTGGAACTTGAGGAACAGGTTTCGGTAATGGTTTGTCTCTTGGAGAAGGTAATGATGGAGTATTTGATGATGGAGTATTAAGCTTGTTAAATCCACCAATTCTCAATGAAGAGGAACTATTTGAATTTGTTGAAGATCCGAATGGTGACGTGGTTGTACTGGTCTTTCCTGGAGATGATAAATCATTGCCGAATTTAGAGGCAGCTGTTTTGAAAGAGTTATTTCCAGTGGTACTTGGAGGAGTGGAGATAATGTTGGGTTTCTTTGGAGGTGGTGGTTGAGTTGAAGGAGGTGGTGGAACTGCTGTTGTTGGTGAGCCACTTGGTTTTGGTGGTGGCAATAGTTTACCAGTTCCAAAAGAGCTCGTAGTTGGTGAGTTGGTAGTGGAAGGAGGTGAAACACTTGGCTTGTTGATTGGAGTTTTGGATGGTGGTGGACGTGGTGGAGGTTGTGGATTATTGAAATTCATTTTAGCTGCTGCCAAACCCAAATCACTTGTACCATTCATGGACTTTCTGAGTTCAGAAGGTGGAGGAAGAATGTGTTTAGGACGAGAAGTAGTTGTTGGAGTATTTGGAGAATTGTCTGTGAATGAACTGATATTTTGAGGTGAAATATTACTGCTACTACTGACTGGTGTTGACCTTGCAGGTGAATCACTCTCAAAATCAAGTCTTGTACCAATGGAGACATCCACTTTGGAAACCTCTTTCAGAATGGCTTGAATATCAATGTGCTTGTATGAACTGCTCGAGTTCATATAGACAGTATTATTGATTGGAGCTTTCTTCAATTCAGAAGGTACGTCTACAAGGTTGTCTTCACCAAAAACGAGACCAAAGTCCTCTCCAACATTGTGTAACATCTTATCAAAGAGAATTTCATCACGTTGTTTGATTTCCTCCAAATTATTCTTGAGTTGAACTTGAATATCTGCACATTGAACTTGGATTCCTTCCATTTCCTTGATAGTGTTACTCTTTTCTTCTCGTTCCCTACAAATGAGTTCAACAAGCTTTTTCAATTCTTGTTCATGATTTTGTAATGATTGATCCAATTTCTTCAATTTCTTTTCAGATGAATGGAATTGCTTTACATTGGCTTCCAATTTAGCTTTAGTTTCATCTCTCTTCTCAGCCAAACTAGCTCTTTCTCTACCGACAGAGTAACAATCTCTATCGAGTTTCATATTCTTGAAACTTTGACTTTCTTCAATACTCTTGATTCTTTCGTCGAATGTTTCATAGAGAGCTTTGGCATCCTCCTCTGATGCTGCAATCAAGGAAAAGTCTGTTTCCTTGCCTCCGTTAATGTAACTCAACTTGATTTCAGCTCCATTTCTTCCAAGAAGTTTTGTGAATGAAAAGTAAACAAACATGAATGATTTCTTTGAAAGATTGAATAAACCACTTTGTTCCTGTAAGATAATCATTGCATCTGTGAAAATATATCCTCTATATTCTTCCTTTTCAACTTTTTCCCTTGTTCTCATTCTGAAAACATAATCTCTAATAACTTTTCTTGTTGGTTTTACAAGTGCCTTGTAGTGTTTGCTCAATTTGGTCTTTAAATCTGTGAAGATGACGTTGGAATCATCTTCTTGCCTCTTTCTCTCGTTCACGAATACAGCAACATCACTGATGGTCTTTAATGCAGTTTCATAGTGTTTATATTCAACATGTTCTTGAGGTGTTGATGCAAGAATTTGTTCCAATAACATTTTGTAACGTGGAATTCTATTCATTATCAAAATAGTAGAAGTACATAATTCATGAAAAAAGTTCAATATTTTGTAAAAATCAACAATTAAAAATTACAAACCTTTGAACTGGCATAATCAAAAGTGATCTCAAACCGTGTTCTGTTGGGTTTTTAGCAGTTTGATCTGACATGTATTGGAAGAATTTGTTCTTTTTCTTTTCACATCTTTCCAATAATTCAAAAGCTGCATCATAATTGTTAATATAAGTTACATAGGCCTTGAAAAAAGGTGCCATTCTATTAAATGTTTCACCCAATTCATTCTTTGAAGGCCATTTCATAATAGCTGCTTGTAAACTAGCCAATACAGTTTCATTAATACCCAAAATTTGTTCAATATTTGAAAAGATGATTTTTGATTTCTTTTCAGATAATAATTGAGTATTTGCTTTTGCTGGTTTAGCATAGGAATTTACAAATAAACGAAGTGACTGAACATAACTTTCTTCAGTCTGTAATAATTCTCTAACTAATTCATTACGTTTACGGAAACTTCTATTTTCCTTAATTGACATCCAATCACGAAGTTTCTTACGTTTGGCAGATTGTGTAATGAATTTTGTAATCAAAGCAAAGGCTTCAGTTTTTGAGTGTTTCTATCAATTTATATAAAGATCACATTAATATTAAATAATTGTTATTAAATATTAATAATTAACAATTGTAATAATAAATGTCAATTACAATAAAAATTTGTAAAAACTTACCATTGGACCGGTTGGTGAATAAAGTTTAGAATTGGAAGATGAGGCATTTCCCAAATCCTTTCTAACAATTTTAATTCCTCCAGCCGAAATGCTCACATGTTTGTTGGCCGAAATGGCTGATTTATCATCAATTTGAAGTTCGTTTAAATTTAAATTATTCGAATTGAGAGAAAATGCGAGTGATGAAGCTCCTGGTGTATTTGCTCCATCACATGGATTTTCATCATAATACGATGAGGGAATTAAACCTTTTTGTTTTTGTCGTTTACATAAACTCCAACCATCATCGTAAACTTCCATAACTTCAATAATTTCACCTTCTTTTACTGTTAGTTCACCTTCATTGGTCGCTTCAAAATCGTATATAATCAAGTGGCTATTGTTGTTGTTGTTATTGTGATTAGATCGATGGTGCAAAGATTTTTAAATGACTTACTGCTCTCCTGACATTTTTTTGATTGATGATTTCAATGTCACACTGGTTTATAAACACATAGCCAAAGTTAATGAAAGGTGAAGATAACAAGAAACAAACTACTCCCAATTCAAATAGTGAAAATATTGTTTATTAACATTTTGTGGTTGATCCTCTTTTCATTTGACGAATAAAAGATCTAACAATGTCTTCCTCTGCACCTAGGGTTGTCTTACACAATTTATACAGGAATAACAAAACAAACGATTCGGCCAATGATTGATCAATTAATCTTCTAAACATTTGTGATAGAGTTCGAACAAGGACGTTAACAATTTCCACCTCTAAAACCATTCCTCTTACTTTTAAATTCCACCCCAAATCTTCATTTGGGTCAAAATCAAGGGTTTGATCAAGGATTGGAGGGTCGAATCCTTCCAACCAATCAAACAGTAAGTAGGTGAGAGTTGGGAAATTATTACACCTCCTCAGGCTTGACCAGTCATCGATATTGATTTTGCTCTTGTAAGCGTCCAAATCTCGTGTTATTGTGTCAGGACTAAACAGGAAGAAATTTGTTAATAATTGAGGTAAATTATTCGAAGCAAATAAAATGTTTGATAATTGTTGGCAAATCTCGAAAACTAATTTGGGAGTTCTCCTTAGAATTATATATTCTGTACCACAACCTTAAAACATAACTTTTAGGATTTTCAGAATGGAAATTATTACTTACAGATTGCTCTTTGCTTTTCCATTGCAAGTTTTAATGTGGCCGAATGAAAAAATGTTCTACTCCTTGTCAAAAAATTATAAAATTGAGAAACAAATTGAACCTGAGATTTCGTTTGAATACTTCCAGGTCTTCTACTTCTCACAAATAGTATAGCTTTTGTTGGATTATGAAAATATTTACAATAAATCAGAAAGCAACAAATCACAAGTCCAGTTCTTCCTAAACCAGCGTGACAATGTACAAGTATCCTTCCTTTTTCTGAATCCAATTTCATTGTTTTTACTACACTAATCATCAAGTTTAAATCTGGTATTGACATGTCTTGGAAAGCATAACTATAGTATTGAACTGATAGAAATTCAAAAATTCAAATCTAAAGACAATATTATACATACTCTTATGTTTCATTAAATCCTCCTCAGGATCATATGAAAATCCACTCTTTTCCAAAATTCCATCTCCACAATAAGCATGTTCTCCTCTCTCCTGTAAATTTACAACAGATACTACATTGTAGTGTTTAAATTGTCCTATAATATCAAACTTTTTGATTAATCGACTCGATAATCTTTGAGAAGCAATTACATTATTAGTAACATGATGAGAATTCAGCCCCTCAATAGCATAATACTTTCTAATTCTTTTAGGAGAGGTGACTGATGAAGACATTTCCTTCTTTTGATGTTCTGATTGTACAGTTCTTAGATAATCCTCATGTTTACAAAGTGTTCCTCTACAGAAAAATGAGCAATGTATTTTCATTAAGAGAGTAGAACTTGTTGGTACAGGAGAGAATTGCAATCCTAGTGATGAATTGATTGGAGTAAAATCCGAGGGTGACTTTTTAGTCGTATGGCGATATGTATTGATGGAAGTTTTTTAGGAGAAAAATTAGTATCCCCAGAAACTGAATATTTGCTCATACTCTTAATGCTATTCTTGTGGGTTAGAAATCGCTTTGATGATGATGAAGCACTCCTCTTCTTCCCCGAATGAAATGATGACCCTTTTGAACTCTTTTCCTCTGCATCCTGCTTGATATAAATTGGAGAGAAATGTTGTTGGCTATTCCGCCTATATTCTTGTATTTGTTGTTGATGATGATTCATCTCCCCTTCATCCTCAATCTCTTCTTCCTTATTCAAAATCAAGCTATCCTCAAGAGAAATCCGAGGAGGCACTTCAGTGAGTAGCGTTGTCATTTATTTTTTGGTCGTTCTGTTATCTCTGTGGCAATCATTAATGAGGCAGCTAAAAAATATATCACCTTCTGTTGTCTCTACTGCACCGATTGCTTTGTATTAATTATTTTGCCGCTCTTCTTTGACATTTTTCAAAAGATCCATCTAAGGGAAAGTCTTCCTTATTAGACTATTTCCGTTCGAGAAAAGTTGGCAAAAGTTTCGGTTGCAACAGTTAAACACAATGGATTGTAAACTTTATTGTTCATTTGCAATGAAGAATTGTTCAATTTTCTCTGCTAGAATGGATGGCTTTTCAATCATCATGTTGTGAGAGGCACCTTCAATAATGCAGAATTGACTATTTTCAATGAGTTCATGCACTACTTTACCACGTTCAGGTTGTGTTAAACCATCTGTTTCTCCTGAAATGACTAGTGTCTTTACCTTAATAGTAGCAATTTCCTCCTGAGTTGGCCATATGAGTTGTGTGCAAATAGCTTTCATCATGTACATGGTATTGTTTTTAGTGTGTTCTGACTCGGCTTCTTTCACTTCTATTGGAGTTGACTCATGATATGCCAGCTTGGCAAATGATGCAGAGAAAACACCTCGAATTAATTCCAAAAATAAAGAAGGAAATACCCAAACAGGTGATTTTCCTGGAGCCTCAGGTTTTGTTCCAAGTAAAATTAATTTTGACACAATGTCTCTATGATTGATGCAGTAACGCATAGCCAATCCACTGCCCACACTATGAGCAGCAATACACAGTTCAATTTTGTGATCTTTTTGTTGATACTTATTTCTGAAATGATTTACAATGAATTCTGCATTTGAGTAGAGTGAATCAAATTCAAAATCAGACCACTGGTATGAAATATCACTTGAAAAAGATCCTCCATGACCAACTTGATCAAACGTGACAAAATGCCAATCTGGATGGTTTTTAGCTAAAATTTCGCATGTTTTTTCAAACTGCAATCCTCTTCCTCCTTTTTAACATTCGATTTTTTATCAATTTTCAAAATTGTCACTTACCAGCTCCGTGAAAAATACAAACTAATTTTTCAGGTTTTGTTGCTTCATCATTGAATGTGTCGTTCCATTCGTAGACACAAAGATCGTGTTTGGTTGTAGGATTTGAAAGTTTAGTTGTTGTCATTTTTTTTTCTTAATTTTCCTAATAGCACTGATACGGACTCTTAAAATTTATCTTTTCTTGAAGAATAGAAATATTATTAGACATTGAAAGAGAACTTGATATTTTTGAAAAACGAAACAATGTTCACATACTAACTCAACTAATTCATAAAAATGTGATGCGATTAATCATTTTATTAACCAAAAAATCGCATCACAAAATATTCAGTTAGTTGCCTTAGAAACAAAATTGGCCTTAAATAGCCTAGGGTACTCAGTTATTAATAATATTTACAAGCTGCGCAAGCACGATAGACAACACATGTTTCTTCAAAATCTAGCTCTAAACAGTTCACATTGCATTGAAAATTGCAATTAGCAATTTAACTACCTGAACTAGATCTCTATTTCACTTATTCCTACCGCGCTTGTGAGCCACAATTTATTGTGCTCGCAAAAAACTATAGAGGATTTTTACCATCTCTTGTTGAATCCACCACCGAATCCACCTCTACCACCACCTCTACCTCCTCTGAAGCCACCGCCTCCTCTTCTGAAACCACCATCACCTCTACCGCCAAATGGATTGTAAGCAGCATTTTCAATAAATTCTGGAATTTCTTGATTGGCATCCTTCAAAATCTTAACCAATTCTCTACACAATTTACCATCTTCAGATGGATCAAAGAAAGCAGTAGCAATACCCAAGTTACCAACACGACCAGTTCTACCAATTCTGTGAATGTATGAATCAATTTCCTTTGGCAAATCATAATTGATAACGTGAGCTACCTTTTCAATATCCAAACCTCTAGCAGCAACATCAGTAGCAACAAGAATATTAGTATAACCATCCTTGAATTGTCTCAATGATCTTTCTCTAGATCTTTGATCCTTATCACCGTGAATAACTGAACATTTGAATCCAAGAGGAGTCAACAATTCATAAATACGATCACAAGTACTCTTTTGTTGGACAAAGACAAGAGTCTTTTCTCTTTCTTCCTTCTTTTCAGTCAAAACTTCAACAAGCTTATCTTGTTTACCACGTCTGTCAACTTGATAGAAACTTTGTGTAATGTTATCAGTAGTACCACCAATAATACCAACTTGAACAAACAATTCATCATGTAAAAAGTCGAGAGCTAACTTTTGTGTTTCCTTAGGGAAGGTAGCACTGTATAATAAAGTTAAACGATCACCCTTTGGTGGCATTCCACTACCTTCGACAATAGATCTAATTTGTGGTTCGAAACCCATATCCAACATTCTATCAGCTTCATCCAAAACCAAATATTGAACACCAGACATGTCGAGCTTTTCTCTTTGAATAAAGTCATTCATTCTACCTGGAGTACCAACAAGAATATCAACACCTCTTTCTAATTGTTTCATTTGATAACCACTTGAAGCACCACCATAAACAACTACAGTCTTCAAATAAGTTTGGAAGATGAACTTTCTACATTCATCATAAATTTGTTGACACAATTCTCTAGTTGGAGCAAGAATGACAGCCTTTGGATTACCCTTGTTTGGAGCAAATCTTCTCTTATCCTTGTGAATTCCTGATTTTAAGAGAGCATTAATAATTGGCAAGAGGAAAGCAGCAGTCTTACCGGAACCAGTTTGAGCACAAGCCATCATATCTCTCTTTGAAGTAACAATAGCAGGCATAGAGTGCTTTTGAATTGGTGTTGGTTTAGTATAACCACTCTTCTTAACGTTAGTCATTAAAAGTTCATGTAAATCGGCTTCTTCAAAAGTGGCGAGTGGAGTTGGAGGATCTCTACCAAAAACTTCAATAGGAATATTTTCATACTTTTCAAAGTTAATACCAGTGTTTCTCTTATTGAATAAATCTTCTTCTGGTTCATCTTCTCTGATGTGTGCTGGACCAGCACTTGCTTCATTATCGTTGAATGATCTTGGACCTCTATCGTTTCTGAATTCGTTATCACCTCCATAACGGCCACCACCGCCACCTCTTTGATTATTGTATCCCCCACTACCACCACCATTACGGTCGTATGGTTGATAACGGCTTTGTTGTGGTTTGAAATAGTTGTTTTGTTCTCTCATTGTTAAATGCCGTCTAGTAGTTGTATTGTTTTTTTTCGATTCGAAAATCTATTATTTTATTGAATATGCAGTTTATCACCCCTTCGCTTTAAGTGTTTTGTGGTGACCTTCTTCAACAAGTTTGAACACGACAAGAATATTTCCAACACCTCAAGAAAGATTCTCAACCAGGCTATCTGGATAGAATATTTTGAAGACATGAGAATAACAAATGATCTAATTCCAAACATCAAACGAACAAGAATATGATTTATTAGTATTGTAATGGTCCAATTAGATCATCTAAATGATTATTTGGAATTATATAATGCAAGTAATAATACAAGTATTTTTAGTTGTTTGTGCCTTCCGGAATAATAATCTTAATTTTAAGACTTCAATATTTTTCAGCAGCGAAGCTAAAGGTTGAATCAAGCACACAACATGAACGCACAAAGCACTCCATCACATTGCCACTACCCATTGCCTCGAAATGCATAATTTCCATTCAAAAGCAGACTATAAAAAAATGAAGCGTACCTACGAGGAAGACGATGCCACTCATAAAGAGATTGTACCATCATCAACACTGTCATCCGATTCAGGTTCCATAATTGCAGAATTACCAAACAATGAAGAAAACAAAAACAAAAAAGTAAAGACAGAAAGAATGTTGTATAAATATCATAAATTCCTTCCACCTGAGATTAGTAAAGTAATTCCAGAGGAAAGTGATGAATGGAGGAAGGAATTGTTTCAACATTTTAGAATGTATACTCCAAATGATCTTTGTGTAGAAAATATTAACTGGGAACATTTAGATTATTCTCTTCTTTTATTAAAAAGATATACCGAGATTAAATATCCTCTACTAATCAAGGAAAAGGAGGAATTGTGTTTAATATTATACAACATCCTAAAGATTGCTAGTAAGAATATCTATAGTGTTGATTTTTCAACTCAAGCAAAATGTTGTTATGGATTGTCTTCTCTCATTAAAAAAGGAGAAGTACTCGATATTACTTTTGATTGGAGAGTAGTTTATGATATTCTTGACCAAACATATTTCAAGAAATTTCGTATTTCTACCTATAGTCCAAGAGAACATGGTGCTGCTCTAATTGACTTGGTTAGAAAAATCAAGAGGTATTTCTCCACTAATTCTACTGAAGAAATGCTAGAATTTTTCAGACCAATGTTATGTATTAATGATCACAAAATATTCAAAGCCCAATCCTTCTTAAGTATATTTTTACCAACAAGATTGGAAGGAAATGACAACAAAAGTCAGGAGGTATTCAAAAATAATCACTATGGAAAATGGATGGATGAATTTTTGGGTATCTGGGATTGGATTGGTGTTTATCCAACTTGGGACTTGAGCTTCTTTTTACTGTTTGCTAATTTGTCACAAGATCAATCTGGTTATATTAACTGGGATCCATATTTGGAATATATTTTCACTAAAGTCATGAAATGCTTTGATTTACCTATTGGTAACACTCCATTACCATCGAATTATGATGAATATCCATCAGATGAACTTAATTTAATTACACCATTTGATATTGCTAAAAATTTACTTTTAGCAAATTCAGCTAAATTAATTGTTTGGATGATTTCTAAAAATTCAAATACCCTTAAATATTTGAAACAATTAATCAAATCCATCTCCAACTTTTATCAGCCTTCAAACGAAGGACAATGGACAACAAAATGTGCCGATTTCCTTCTCATTTTATGTACAAAATTTGGTAAGAGATTGGATATTGAAAGAGGTATGAATCAATTCTCTGAGAATAATTATATTCCTTCAAAGAATGGAGGATATTCTTGGATTCCAGAGGAATATAGATTAAGCAGTGATGACTGTAAAGCATTTGTTCAAATAGTTCAACCTTTAGCTATGACATCATTATTCTCAAAGAGTAGTCAAATGACCACATGTGCCAATCACTCACTCAAGCATTTGGCTTACATTTCTCCTGAAGAAGTCTTTCCTTCATTAATGGAAAGAAGTTTTTATGCATTAGAAACTTTAACGAGTACTCATCAAACTATTTCTGCTTTAGAAACCCTTTCTTTGGTTGTTTTCCCTCTCCTTAAGTATTCTATTTATCCTGAAGGTGCAAATTATCTTTCAAATTTACTCCAATTAACACTGCCTGGCATTGATGTAAATGATCCAACAAAAACCTTCTCCACTTTCAAATTCTATACTTCCCTCTTGGTTTGTGTTCCATTATGTACAACAGGTTCCTCAATTGGAGATAGAACACCTCCTGAGGTTATTAGAATTTTCGAAGAGTGGAGTATTGAACTTTTAGAAAGAATCTTCAATGTCTTATCTCATCAACAAGATCCAAAGGCAAACCAAGGTGATTCAGATATAATATCTCCTAGTATGTTCTGGGGTCTTTGTGATTTACTGTTTAATCAAATGTCTACTGACTTGTTGGATATTTGCTTGAAGAGAATTTACAAATTTGTAGAAACCAACTTTTTAATTAATGCAAGAAAGAATATTGCACACATGTGCTCCTCACTAAGTTATGCATATCCTGAACAGACATTGGCAATGTTTATTCCAATGCTCTATCATAAACTTGTAAATAGAGATGGAAAATCGCTTAAGAATTTAACCGAGATGGAAACACAATATTATTTACAAATCCTAGGACAGGTTTGTTACAGAACAGGCCATCACCTCTTAAAGTACAGATCTCAACTTGAAACAATTATATCTTTATGCTATGTAAGCGACAAGAGAAAGGTTGTCAAGACAAGTGGAAAATTATTCAGAAATATTCTTCGTTCTCTTACAAAATATTACTTGATGGAACTCAAGTCTGTGAATGCTAGCCAATGGAATACTGAAGAATTTAAAAAACATTCTCATTGGAGCTCATGGGGAGAATTTATTTCACTGGATGATTTTGAAATTAATTGGCATATTCCATCTCAAGAAGAGTTGAGGTTTGCTAATGAACTTTGCAATACTTATCTCAATTTATCTCTGGATTGTGTAAAAACATGTGTAAAAGTTATGAAAGAGAAGGAAGGTAACATTCCTGATATTCAAAAACTGAAAAATAGTTTAATATTTATCAGATATGTGATGAGAGGTGGTAATACTTTATTCCCAGAATTTGATAAGGATATTCTAGAGGATATGAATCAATATCCAAACTCTAGACTGATTGAAGCTGGGTTGTGTGTTGCTAAACGTTGTCCTGATGTACCTCTGACTGTGGGATATGAACAAGTTTGTGATACTCTTCATGAACTTACTACTATTATTCTCGAACATAGATCTGATAAGGATCCAAATCTTATTGGAAAGGTTTGTAAAGTATTCTTCCCAATGATAGCTATGAGAGGTGGTAACACTAGATACAGATACAAGAAGAAGAAATCTTCTCATGATTTTGTAAAACAACACAGTTATAAGGATGTTTTTACAAAGACTCCAAACAAGTATCCAAGATATTTACTTTTAATCCAAGCCCTATTGGAATACAAAGTCAGATGTGTTATACATAATGAGTCTATTCCTTACACCAAATCTCATCAAAGATTACTCGATGATTTGTTCCGTCTCTCACTCCACTCTTACTCTGAAGTTAGAAAACGTGCTCAATCTGTATTAATGTCATGTATTAATAAGTTTTCTGACAAAGTAATTAAGAGTTTCTTACCACTGCTCATTGATGTTCTTGCAGACAAGAATTCAACTGATGAACAAAGAACAGGTGCTATTTTCATTTTGGAAAAACCATTTGCAGTTTCATGTGTTATCAGAGATTGGGATTTGTGTTCTAAACTTATTATGATTCTTTGTCAAACCAGCCATATTGAAAAGCAAAGTATCCAACAACGTTTGGCACAACTCTATGAAACCTATTTCAATGCATTCTATCATATTCAAATTGCAACTGATCAAGATAGAGAAAAATATAGAAGTTTAATCATTAATGTTTCAGATCTTGCCAAAATGAATGGAGGATGGCATTGGAAATACCAAACTCTTGTCAGCAGTTTCTTAATGTTAATGATTAGACCAGATCAAGTATTCCCTATTGAAGCTGCTAAATTTACAATTAGACAAATGATTAGTGATTTAGAAAAGACTAGAATAATTTCGTACGAAGCAGTCAATTTAATTTTGAGCCAATACAAGCCAAGACAACCAACGAAAATGGTTGAACCTGAACCAAAGACCAAACACAATACTCTTGATTGGGTTGCATTGGGTACCAATTTAAATTCTGCTGAAGAGTTCAAGAATGCCAAGTTTTATGAGAAGAACTACTTTGGATGGTTTAATTTACCTTCTAAAGTCGAAGTTTATGACTATTCTGCTCCAAAAGATACCACGCAACATAATATTTTCAAAAAGGAAATTTATTCAACAGTAATAGAAGAGGATTTCGTACAAAACTTTATTGAGTTATTGAGTATTAGAGATGATGGTTTCAATGAATCTAATGCTCAATTATTTAAGGGTTTGTTCCAGGTTTTCCCATGTGAAGCTGGTAGTGTTGGTATTCTTGATATGTGTAAACCTTACATTCAATCACTTTTAATGCCAACTATTGGAACAGGTAAAACTGAAGAAACTCACCATGTGGCTTTAATTTCTGAAATTATGGGAGGATTAATCAGAGGTATGAAACACTGGGATTATGATCAACAGGTTAAAGCCATCCACGAATTCATCATTCCAGAAATATTTGAAAAAGTCTTGGAAAATTGTTCTATGAGTTGTATTTCTGAATTGTGTGAAGGATTTGAGTTTGCTGTCTGTGATAAAGATATCAGACGTATTGGATGGATTGTAGATTTTATTGCTAAGAAGACCAGAGCTGCCCTCGAAAAGAAGGATAATGAAGCTGACAGCAACGCTCAAGTTAGATATTTGAAATATTTGTATGGTATTGTTGGTGAAATCAGTTGGAGAAGTCCAACCATTATGAAACAATTGTTGGAAGATATATTTTCAATTTCTCTTTCTCATCACTCTGAACAAGTTAGAGAATACGTAGGACTGTTTATTTCCTTTATCTTTAAATCCTTATGGCATCCAAGAAGATTGGAACATAACAATCTTCCAACATTTGGTTTGGTGAATGCTTCCACTGACGAATCACAACATGAATTCCTCAGGAAATTCAACCTCAAGGTTTATGGATCACTTGAATCAATGGAAAAGTCTTTAAGATCACTTCCTTCAGAGAGCCCACAATTCGAACGTCAATACTCTGACTTTAAGAATCTCAGCAAGACTGTCTTGTGCTTTGTTGCTAGTTTGTTCAACTCAAGTTCTCCTCACTGTGGATCTGGAGAAATAATGAATCATATCAAATTGGTATCCAAGATTTATGAACATACAACTTCTCATGATGAGGATTTACAAGTTATTTGCCAAAATGATATCATTATCCTTTCTGGATATGCATTCACTTCTCGTTTGGCCAATGAATTGATTGACTTTTTGTATGATGAAATTGTAACCAAGGAATGTTCCAACTTTGCTAATTGGTCTATTAGAAGCGCACTTTTGGAATGTTTACAAATATTTGCTTATAGACAACAATTCTTCTTGCAAGAAAAGCTTCCAAAATTATTTGAAATTATTACAGCAATGCTCAGAGACTCTCAGCCAGAAGTTAGACAAATGGCCTCTATTACGCTCTCAGGTTTCTTAAAGATCAGCAGCACTGACTATTCGAAAAAGTTGATTCCTGAATTCCAAGAAAAGGCAACCAAACCAAAGAAGACAACCAATGACAAACTCCCAAAGGAAAGTATTGATCGTCACAGTGGTATCCTTGGGTTGAGCGCTGTTGCTTTGGCATTCCCATATTCCATTCCTGATTTTATGCCAGAAATGCTCGTCTTTTTGGCCAAGTTCTCCAATGATAGTGTTCAATCTATTAGAGAAACTGTTAAAAAGACATTCCAAGAATTTATCAAATGCCATTCAGATATGTGGCAAATTCATGAAATGAAATTCACTGAGGATCAATTAAGAACTCTTCATGACCTATTCCAAACCAGCTCTCCTTCCTATTATGCTTAATAAAATTAAGATTTTGTGTGATTAAAGAAGTATCCACCAATAATAACCATCAAAAAATAACTAATCAATTCACAATGTAAATTAAAAATAATTTTGATGAGGGTAATATTTTCAATTTGAATGTATTCCCGTGTAGTCCAATGGCTAGGATACCTGGCTTTCACCCAGGAGGTCCGGGTTCAATTCCCGGCATGGGAGGATAATTTTATTTTTAAAAGAAAACTGTCTTGCAGTAACCAAACACCAAGACAAGTGAACTTAAAAAAATGTCAGTAGTAGATGAACCTCTGAACCTTGTTCTAGATTGTGGCAGCTCGTCTATTCAAGCAGGTTTTGCAGGAGATGATGCTCCACGTGCAGTCTTTTCTTCTTGTATCGGGACAGCAAAATATTTACCAGCCATGATCTGTCCAAGTCAACGATCAACCTATATTGGTGATGAAGCAAAGAATCACAGTAGAAGAGGAATATTAAATCTTCACTATCCTATTCAGAATGGAATTGTTAAAAATTGGGATTTGATGGATATATTATTGGAATTTACGTTTTTTAATGAATTGAAATTAAGTCAAGAGCATATTCGTGGAAGTAATGTTTTATTTTCAGATGCAGTAATGAATCCAAATTCTAATTCTGAAAAACTAGTGGAATATTGTTTTGAAAAGTTTGAAATGAGAGGAGTTCACAAGACACCAGCTCCTGTTCTTGCTGTTTATGCATCTGGGAGAGGAACAGCATTGAGTATGTGTTTAGGAGATGGTGTAATTCAAATTCAACCTGTTTTTCAGGGATATACATTTGCAGAATCAACTTTAAGATTTAATTTCGGAGGATCAAATATGGTTGATTATATGATTCATTTGTTGAAGGAGAGTAAGGGAATGAATTTAACAAATCAAAGATCAATTGTGGAGGAAATGATTAAGAAAGTTTGTTATATAGCATTGGATTATGATAAAGAGTATGAAAAAACTCAATGTTCTAGTGAATTAGATATGGAATATGAACTACCAGATGGTCAAGTGTTGAATCTATCTCACGAACGGTTTGCATGTCCAGAAATATTATTCAATCCCACAATAATTGGGAAAGAAATACCAGGAATTGGTGAAATATTTTTTAATTCCATTGCAGCAACTGACAATGACAATAGAAAGGATTTATATGGAAATTTATTAATTGGAGGTGGTTTATCGTTAACAGAAGGAATGGCAGAAAGATTGACCAAAGAAGTGGTAGCTCTCAGCCCAACAGCCATGAAAATTAAGGTTGTGGCTCCACCAGAGAGAAAGTACTCTAACTGGATTGGTGGCTCGATCCTGGCGAGTCTTTCAACCTTTCAACATATGTGGATAACGAATGAAGAATACGAAGAGGCTGGCCCTTGCATTGTGCACAGAAAATGTTTCTAACTCCAACTCAACTTGGCGAATTATAAATATTACGAGTTACCCAGTTTCTGAATTCTAAATAAAAGTAAGTTTATTAATGTCTCTTGTATCAATAACGACCTGAGAGACCACACGTTTCGGCATTTAAGGATTCTGTGCAACATTTGAATGATTTGGTTTCTGAATCCTAAATCTATAACAGTTGGCTAGGTCCGTATGGAAAGAGATGACTGAAAGATCCCGTAACAAGTTTTACATAATCAAGAGGTGAATTTTGATTTGAATCTAATGCAAACCAACAATTTGGACCAGCAATCTTCTCTAAGTGTGGAATAAGAGGCCATCTATTACTACTACCACTACAGGCATAATGAAGGGGTGTGAGATTTTCATTATCCACTTGTAATACCAATGCTGGCTCTTTTTCTATTAATTTTAAAATGGTGTCATTACTTAACTGTGGGTTTTTCATGGCAATATGTAGGGTATGAAAGAAGGTATTGCTAACAGAAATATTTGAAGTCTTTACAAGAAGGGATTGAGTTGGAATATGCTTAATTAAAGATTGGAAAATGTAGTCATCCACTTGAAATCCTATTATTATTATATGAACAATACTGAAACTATAATGAGAACACTTAAAGTCTCCAAAGAAGTCTAATTTTTCAACCTCTGTTAAATTTTCACAGGCAAAGAACAATAATTTCAAAGCTTGCTCCATCCACGGTTTTGTTTTATGATGACGAATAAAACATTGCTTCAATGGAAACACATCTATCTGATACAAATTCTTTTCTTTCAAAAATTTCAAATGAGCCAATAATAAAGCTGCAAGATTACCATTTGGAAAACTTAGTTTGAGTATATTGTTTGTTAAATCCAATCCATAGTATAGTAAATGAGGTACATTTGATGAGTCAGTCATTACTCTACCATTGTGATAACTATTTGAAAGGTATATCAAGTATTGTTTCCAACTGAGATCTTTCATGTCATTACTTCTTTGCATTCCTGCAAAAAATAATGCAAAATCTTCTACGTGTTAATCGAAATGAAAATGATACTTACCCTCCAGTGGATAGTTTTTGGCAATAAAGTTTGTAAAGGATTTTTGTTCTTCCAAAGAAGTAAATTTGCTAACCCTAAAGAAAAAGCTAATTCCTGATATAAATGGGAAGAGCGTGTACTTGTGAGCTATTTCTTTGAAAAATTTAAAGTCACATGATTTGAAAAAGAGTTTCGGTGTAATCAAAGAGGGATCAGTTGCAATTTGTTGGGTAAATTCGTTTTGCATTAGCTTACCGTCGAGATACATCTCTAAACCATGATACTGATTTAATGGCCCATCTTGTAGGAAAGTGTAAAAAGTAGTAATCTTAGGAGGAAAAAATCCTGCAAAATCGCTCCATATAAGATTTTTTAGTGCTATTACGTTCACTGATTGTAAATTAGTTCTGCTCGTCAATCTTAAATTGGCCAAACTATGGTATAGCTCCAAACTGTCATAAAGAATAATGGTAAGATGCTCAATGTTAGGAAGTAGATCAAGTATTCCACTCACAAATGTAGTACTTGAGAGTGAAATTGCAAGGGTTTTAATAGAACCATTGATGCAATTATTGGAAAAGTCGCTTCTTGCAGACATATTTGTATGGCTGAATTGATTGTAGACTTGTGCAATTCTCACACTCTGTTTCGCTACTAGATCAACAACTTGTTTCTCCTTAGACTGACAAGTAATATCAAATGGTGTTTCGAGAGAGAATTCATTCTTTGTAATTAATTCTTCCTCAATGGATTTGATTGAATTAAAATCAATAGAGCTCAAATCAAGATTATTATTAGTTGATTCAAATTTAGTTGAATTATTCTCATTATTTCCAAAAGTAAATGAGCCACCAAATTGTGTTGCATAATCGTAATCATTTTGAGGATGTGAAAAAGGATATTCAACCAAGTTGAACTTGCCATCCCATTCACCTTGAATAAATCTATTGTGAGATTCCAACAATGAGTAAACAAACCAAATTCTCCTATCAATTGAGAGGAAACATTTCATAACAAAACCAGTAATATCAAGTCCATTGTTAGACAAGGTTTGAATAACAAGTTTTCCATAGCAACTTTAAAGGATTTTGACACCAATCTATATTTCATAAAGGTCATGAACCAAACATCCAAATATTCAACCTCTGGAACAGAGGCAAGTTCTCCTCCACCAACGCTGTAACATTCGAGAATGGTAGACACGGAAGGATATCTGCTGTATGTTGGAATAAAAGAAACAATTTCAATCTTTAATTCTTCCGGTAATTGTTTCAAATATTCTACATCATTGATTGATTGATCATGATCATTCTCACTCTTCATCATATCTTCCAACATCCACAATTGGGCAAGTTTGGTACAATTCTTGTATTGGGCAAGTCTCGAGTGCAAAGATTTATCATCATCCGAACGTAAAGCTTGACAATTTTCTCTCAACAATTTGCTGAATAATTCTGTTTGTTGAACATCATTGGTAAAGCAGGGTTCTTCTGGTCTGCTGTTGTGGAAGGCTCTCGCCGTTTGTCTTGTTCTTGCCATTTGTTTTTTTAAATATTTGTTTTTTAATTGAATTATTTCTTGAAAGGAGGGGAATTCGGAGTTTGGTAACCATTACAAAATATTCTGAGAAAATATTAACAAAATATTAAAAAAATAGAAAGATGAAAAATGCATTCCCTCGATTGAAGAGAATTATCTCTCCGATTGATTCATTTTTTTGTGTTGGGAGTTGTTCTTCGACATTCCTTGATTCTACCATCATGGCTCATGATGATTCAAATGAAACATCATCAATTGAAGAGTACTTGGATAGTAATTGTACAGATGAAGCAACAACTGAGGAAGGATTTAATTGTGATTTATGTGGTCAATATGTTGGAAATAATTTCGAATTTGAGCATCATTTGGAAAGTCTTCATAAACATGTCTGTACGGAATGTAGTAGAGTGTTTCCGAGTGCATTTCTCTTATCGGTGCATTTAGAGGAAAATCATGATTCATTCTTTAGTGTTATGGCACTCAAAAAGGATTGTTATCAATGTTTGGTTGAGGATAAATCTATTTGTAATGCAAAATTTAGAACAAGTGAACAGAGAGACGAACATATGAGGAAGGATCACTTGTATAAGAAGGATTTCACTTTTCAAGATGTTGGATTTATTGTAAATTATGAAGAAGATTAGAGGTTGGAATATTCCAACAAAAGTGGATTGTGAAATTAGCCAAAATGAAATGTGGAAGCGATAGATCCACAGAGATTTTAATAAGCTCAATATTATCAATTTTATGAAAAACCTTGCAATATTATTCATTCAATATCTGTGCCTTTTCAAATATCAGCATGCATCAGACTTTGTAACATATTTCGATCCAATCATAGCAAGCTACTTCCTATAATTGTTGAATTGTGTTTATATCATTTTTATCCATGAATGTAATATTTCAGTTCCTGTTTTTCAATTCATCCATGTTAGAAATTATAGTGCATGTATTCATGTGGAAAGATAATATTTAATAGATAGTGAAACTGATTTTCACATGTGTAGCAGCAAACTTATCCATCAATTTTCATTTGTATTCATTGTCTAGCCTACACATGTGAACAATCATTTTGACAATCAAGTTTAAGTGGAGCATGTGAAGAGAATTTATTTTCTGATGCCAGAACAACGTAAAACAATGTTAAAAAATCAAAGAACAGCTGCAGTTCTAGTTGAGGAACAAACAAAGTCCTTGACTGAACACGCATTCCAAGTGGCACATTCCAATTATCCAATGAAGGAACCTTTGTGTTTCGAATTGTAACCTCTAATTGAAGTGAGCCTTATCACTTGTTTGCCATTGTGGTATGCACAAGAACTGAGCATTGATTCAAGTTATAGGTGATTGCAATAAACCATTCAAATCACTGTAAATAATCAATCTTTGAAATTCCCAATCAAGTTGTTCAATGAGTTTTTACTGTAGAACATTAAGAATTATTGAGATGTTTAGTGGAGTTTTAGGTATTAGTTGAATCAAATCCATCCTCAATACATCAATCAAAAGGCAACTGTCAATAATTCCTATTCCTGCGGCTAAATGTCTCGTTAACCTCCAAAAAGTAAAGTGTACCAACAAAATAGCCTTCATTAGTGGTCCTCATTTGAACACTTTCGCACCTCATTGTTGTTCTTAGGCCTGTTCCTTCCAAAACACCAGCATCCTCTCCAAATCATTACTGTTCAATTTAGCTTTGAATAAATTGGTGGGAAACTTGAGCTATGCTGGGCATTTCTTCGAAAACTCCACCCATCACAACCTGTTAATAAATCCTTCAGTTTGAAATATATTGTTGATTCTTTTCTTGACCTTGTTCTCCAAAGCGAACATTCAACAAGGTCCTGAGTCGAGAGTTTCAACAAAAAGTTATTAGAATTAGAGAGGGGTTAAATGTGCGTTCAGTAGTTGTCCTCCATATTCACTTCATGAGTTTCGTATTAAACATTGTTTAGGTCTCATTCTCAGATTTCCATAAACAAAAAAAACAAACTAATCATCTCAACCAATATGCTTTGTCATTATCCATCTGAAAGCCACATGTTCCAAAATACACATAATATTTATCCAACAAGCACTTCTTCTTCACCTTCAAACATGTTTGAGGATAAACAACAAACTAATCTCATTTCTAACTATTCGAAACCTGTCCCAACTGCTACAAGACCATGCCCAATCATATCCTCCTTCCCAGCTTCTTCTAACCCATATACAACACCAATGATGATGAACTCCACAGCCCAACAAACCTCCAACCACCACATTACTACCACTCAACCAACATCCACAACCAAAAACAGATCCACAAGTCACAGCCATACCAATAGAAACACAACCTCATCTCCACTCAGTCATACATCCAGTAAATCCTCTTCAAATAACCAACATCACCAACACAACAATTCTTCATCCTCTCCATCTGCTCGAGGCATTCAAAAGAGAAAGAGAGAATCAAATAATAGCAAAAAATCATCACATGCATCTTCACCTTCCTCCAATAAGAAGAAGAGTAAGATTAGTGTAACTGTTTCTGATTTAATTCGAGTCATGCCACTTCCACAAACTGTTGCTGCTAAAGAATTGGGAATTTCCTTGTCAACTCTGAAAAGAAGATTTTACGAATTAAACATGGGAAGATGGCCTGGACTTGTATGTGGTTCTACATCGAATACTGTTCATCATCATTTCACTCAACACATTGATGATAGATCGTCGTCGAGTTCCAATTCAAATGGTTCAGTTTCATCAGGTAGAAAGGCTGAATTGTCCTATGTGTTAAATTCAAGTGATTTGGAAGCTAATTTTATGGATCAAATTACTTTAGCTGTTTTGAATATTGCTTTCAAGCAAAATTTGTAAATATTTGTAATCTAGAGTGTGAATAAAATTATTTGCGAGAGTTTTGAGAAGTGTTGTGCATGTGTTTTAGATGAAGATGAAATTGAGTAGCAGATAATCATTTATTGACCTTTGAGTGTCATCTATCTGCATACACTCATTACTCACAGTAAATTGGTTGCTCAAAAATGGGTAGATATTCCAATGGACCACTTTCAACTAAAGTATTACTAAAGCTGCATGTAGATTGACAAGTGTAAATCATGATGAATGTGTAGATCAGCATGAAAATTGTTCTATGGAAATTCAGTAGATCTTCACTGCATGTTTACATCATGGCGCACTTATAGATGGTGTTATGGATTTACGATTAATTAACAAACCGTAGTTTAAGTTGTGAAATTGTTTGTTGAATTTTCTTGAGAGTGAGTCTTAATGAATTTGTTTACATGTAACAATTGTTTCAAAGCTTTAAAACTTTGATTCAAAATATCGGCAGATTTCCACACAGCCTTCAGAAATATCTTGTTTACCATAGAATCTCCCAAAGCCGTAATCATTGAATCATCAGTCAAATCAATCCACGTAGCAAGAACAGAATTACATTGAGCATATTTAAACACCAACCAAACTTTTTCCAAATCAATTTCTAATAGTTTCCTCCAATTTTAGCATTGAATGCAAACTCCATTTTCGTTTAATACCTTCTTGGTAATTGGTGGACAAACATTGAGAGCATTCTTCAATCAAATGAGTCTTGTTAATTTCCTTCAAAAGTGTGGTGAAAGCTTCATCTACGTTAGACTATCAAAAGATGTTTCCATGAATAAAACGTTATGTACGTAACCAAATTTGACCCTTGATAGAAACACCATCATATTCAATAGATTTAGCACCGTATTCAACACCGATAGTTGGTTTTGTGACTTTGTTTGAGTAAATCTGGTAATTAAAATGGATTTTCCTTCTTATTCATGTTTTTTAAGGTCCAGAAATAAGACAAACAACCTTAAATTTTGATACTATTCCAATTCTGCCCAACTGAACGGTGATGTTTAGGAACGAGTCTCACAAAATGAAAGATTGATCAGAATTCTTATTCTGTATCTGTTCGGTAGATTTTCGAGGATCATGGTTGTGGTTTGTGAAGATATTTTCTAGTCAAAAAAAGTCTTTTTGACATGTGTCCAACAACCACCGTGAGCAAAACCATTCTCATTACTTTTAATTGAATAATAATGATCTTTAAGGTTCAATCTAATACTTCACTGTATTACCATAAGATTCAAGAGCGTCGCTTCTTTTCCTTTTCAACCACCCCTTCCAATTAAAATATTTTCTTGTTTACAACACCACAATAACTTAAATTCTATTAATAATCGGACAACGGAACAAAACGAAACTCTGACGCCTTGATCGATTTGATGTGGTCACCCAATAACAAAATAAAACCAAAAAATTACCTCCACACCAAGGCCATCTATCTTCACGCAATGCCAACCTTGAATATTACCGTTTTGAGTGCACATAATCTTGTCGCAAAAGATATTACAGGTACTAGTGATCCGTATGTTTTATATTGTCTATTAAAATGTTTATCATTGTTTTCATCAATTTTATTAATTTAAATAATTATATAATAATAACAATATATTAAAAAAATCATCATGAAAATTTTCGAATATTTTAATGATGAATATTTCGGACTTGATTGGAAATTTGATAAATAGATATTGTATTATTAAATGTGGACGTGCTAAACATCGTACTTCTACCAAGCCTATGACTTTGAATCCTGCCTGGTTTGAAAGTTTCACTGTCAGTGTTATGGATCCTATGAGAGAATCTGTCACTTTTGATTTATATGACAAGGATTTAATTAGTAATGATGATCCATTGGGATCTGCTGTTGTTCAATTGAATACTTTGAGAAGAGGAGTTCCAGAAAGAATGACATTGAATTTAATGGGAGCTAGATCAGGAGTTTTGATGGTTGAATTGAATGCTCTTGATTTTGGTCAAGCCATGATGTCACAGCCGATGATGCAACCAATGATGCAACAACCAATGATGCAACAGCCAATGATGATGCAACAACCAATGATGCAACAACCTATGATGCAGCAACCAATGATGCATCCAACAATGATGCCAATGGTTCAAACTCAACCTATGATGCAACCAATGATGCAACAACCAATGATGACTCAATCAACAACTTATACTACTGGATATCCACAACAACAAGCCTATGGTGTTCCTCCACCAATGGGATATCCACCATATGGTGGTGGTTACTATTAAGTTGACCAACAATTATTTTTGAAATAGATCAATATCTGTGACATTCTTGTAACTTTAGATGATGTATATAAAATCTACACTAACTTATTTATTTAATCACCCTTGTAGGAATATTCTTCACAGAACGCTATGGCTTTTTCGACAGCTTCTCTTTGGGCTGGATTTTCAATGTGAATTCCCCAGAACAATTGCTTACATCTATTGCACATAGAATAATGATCATTGTCATTGTAGGTATTTTGTTCAAGCAAGTGCTTGACTTCTTCCTTGTTTGGAATCTTTCGTAAAGTTCCACTGCAAGATGCACATCTAGTAAACATCTTCTCTGGGATGTATCTGATTTTGAATGTATTTACAACTTCGTTAATTTGATTATATCTTCCTTTGGTCTTTAACAAATAATATTTGTAAGGGTAGCTCAAAATTGGATCACTCAAGTCCATTTCGTATTGTTCAATTCTTGTTTGAATCTTTTCCTTAGTTTCTTTCCACTTATTGTAAGGAGTAGAAGTAGTAGCTGAACTATTACTTATTTGTGGCTTTGTTTCATCTTCAACTTGTAGTTCATTCAATTTCTTTTTCAATTCTTCAACTCGTTCCTTTTTCTTTTTGTAATTGTTTAAAATTTGGTCAATATTTTTTTGTAATTTCATACTAAATGTTAGAATAGTTCTGTGTTGAGTTCTAGCCAAGTAGAGAATATAATTTTGGGAAAAGTTATCGTGATGAAGAGTGTCAATTCCAAGCATTCTCAAATGTTTGGCAACTCCAGGAATTGTTGTGTCGCAAACAAACTTTGGCTCACCATCATCAACTGGTACTTCATCTAATGAATAATCCAAATTGTTAGGACCATTGACATTTTCAATGTCTGATGTTGGTGATCCTTCTTCCAATTCCTTCAAAGCACTTGCTTCCAAATCAAATTCTTGTTTATAGGAAGCTAAAATTTCATCCATTTCGTCATCAAAGACGTCACTATCTTGTAAAGTTTGCATACTGGTTCCAAACGCTGATGATGATCCCACTGTATTTAATGTTGTTTCTAAATTATTATCTAATAAATTGATGTTATTACTATCGTTGTGTCCTGAAGACATTTTTATTTAATATGTAAATTATTAAACTAAATTTCTAGATGAGCTCCTCTTGCTGATGATTTTTACTAACTGGAAAACAAACGTGTCTCTTCCGAAATTCAAAAAGAACAAATTCCGTACGGATTGAATTGCTGTATTTTTTTAAATTTAGAATTTGGGTTGTTTTTTTGGAATTGCAGTAAAATTTTACAACAATGAAGAACTTGTTTTACAATGAGAAAAATTACTAGAAATTCAAGTGAGCACTTGGATGGATTTGATTTTTTCCTGTAGGAAACTTGATGACTGACCTATCAGCTCAAGAGATTTGGAAAGGGATATGTAAAGTTCAATGTTTGGAGGTGAATTCATATAGGCATCTCTTAATAGATTGAATGCCTTGTCAAATCTCTTCTCATTCATCAGGTATTTGGAATAGTAATGGTTTACAATTGGATCATTGGTTGATTTTTCGAGGGAAGAAATGAAAAGATCGAGAATATCATCTTTAGGTTGCTCAGGAATTTCATAATTAATAAATGCAAGACATGCATATGGGAAACCTAAATCTGGACTGTTGGTAATGGCCAACTTGAGACAATGTAAACTTTCAGCTCTATTCTTGGTTGGATTCAGTTCAAAGAGTGAAATGGCAAGATAACCAAGTAGTGAACTATCTTTGAATTCCTTCTTACTTAGTGCCTTCTTGAAGAGGTAGACACTGTTCTTGTAATTTCCAATATTGAGATAGCATTTAGCTAACTCCTCACTTGCACTGGTATATGATTCTTCAGTGATGAATTTGAAAAGTTTTGGGTTTTTCTTCTTTCGACAAGCTCTCACCATGTCAATGCATCTCTTAAAAAGAGGAATCGAATAGAAATACATTCCATAGAGGGAGAATAATTTAGCCATTCCCAAGTATGAATTGATATTCAAAGGAAAATTGGAGAGGCCCTTTAAATAGTGATGCAGTGCTGTGTAAGCTAGCTCATTTCTTTCTAATGTGATCGTATTCGAAAGAGTCTCTGAAAATAAGAGTAAATCCTTCTCATATGAAATAAACTGATTCATAATGAAAGATCTATCCGAAATTAATGTAATAATCTCTTCCACACAATATTCCTTTTCAGGACTTTCATTTTTAAAAGGACGATTCAAACCCAAATCTTCCAAATTATTCCACTTCCTCTGAGATGCCTTCTGAAACCTTTCTAAATATCTTTTCATATACAAATTTCCTATATATACATGTAACTTTCCAGCAGCACTCGCATTATCATTCGTTTTCAAACAAAATTCCAAAGCTTTTTCGTAAGATTCAATTGACTTGATTAAATCTATTTGATTTTTTGCCTTCTTCTTGTGAAAATTCTTTTTCATTCTATTCGTAAAAGATTCAATTTTTGAAAAGGAATTATCATGAATACTCGATGAATAGGAAGGGAGTTCATATTTGTTAATTTTCTTACTTTCGTCCGTTTCGTTAATTTCGTTTCCTATAAAACTACTCGCCAGTGAATCTAAACTGTAAGATACGGAATGATCTGGATGAAAGCCACCCGGTGAAGAACCATGACCATCACCAACCACAGAAAGTGCAATCATTTTTTTTAAGAAATTTTAATTTTCATGCATAACCGAAACAGGCCTAATTATGTCAAGATTTCGTTTGAAGAACTGCTGTTCACACTTTGGACTACTCATAAAAACAAGTGAACTTTGTAGAGAAGAATGTGAACAGAATATTTGGACTAAAAATACCAACTCACTTTGAAATTAATGTTGCTAGCTCGTTTAAATTCTCTCTTACCATCATTAAATTCCTTAATGAATCGAATTCTTAAACGACAATTCAAAAATTCATGAAAATTCCAACCATCAAAGATTCTCCAGGAGTTTTCAACTCCACAACTCTCCGCCAAAAACTTTCTCTTTACAACAACAAAAAAAATGAGTACACAACGATTAACATCGAGTGGTGGTGGCAACAATCACGCCATTCAATCATACTATAGTACAGAGGCTTCTCCGTATGACCCATCCCAATTTCAAAATGATGAAGCAAATTTGACCGAGTTAACTCATGATGACAATGATAAAAGCAAACAATCAAAGTTTAAAGAATCAATTTTGTTGTACGTTGCGACTGTAGTCATGGTTTTGGCAAGAAGTGTCGATTTTGTACTCTATGTGAGAATGACTAAAAAGATGAGAAATTACGAGTAGGTGTTGTTTTGTTTTTATAATGATGATGACCATAGTGATGATGATGACTTGTGAAAATAATGTATTCCGATCGAATGATTCTTTTTGTTGGCGTGAAATAATTCTCTTGTGAATAATATGATGTTGATGTTGATGAATTGAATTGATATTCTTTATTAGATACATGTTGGCCGATGTTTTCCTGAGTTTGGGATTTTGTTTCGTATCTTGGCCAGTGACTGTAAGTTTTTTCACTCCCTATAGTAATAGAAGAAGTAACAAATGATGATTGTGTTTATTTAACACATCTTTAGTGGTTCAAAATGTACAGAGGAACTATCAGCAAGGAAATGCGTACATTCCCATCCTATAAGTTTATTGTTATGGGTATTATGGACAGTTTGAACACATTGATTTCTACAATTCCATCAGCACTTGTGAGTGGACCTGTCAACGTTTTGATGAGTCAAAGTGTCGTTTTTATTAACATGGTTGCCAGTTTCTTCTTTTTACATTTCCGTTACAATGTTTATCACATCGGAGGTGTTTTGCTTGTCATGATTGGTATTATTATTGATATTTTCCCAATGTTTGCCAATAGTGCTGGAGGTGATGATCCAAATGCTTGGTTGTGGATTTTACTCTTGTTCGTTGCTAACATTCCAGCTGCTGCTTCCAATGGTAAGTGAACTATTTCACACAAATTTCTAAAATTTATGAATCCATTAGTTTATAAGGAAAAGTATTTGAAGGAAGCTAATTTGGATGTCTTTTATTTGAACTCTTGGGTAGCTCTTTATCAATTCATTTTTGGTCTCATGTCTGCCTTTACAGTTTTCATTCCTCTTCCAGATGGTTCAGGTGGTACATCCTATGTTAATCCAGCCAATTTGTATGAATATATCTGGAGTGGTATCAAGTGTTTCTTTGGTTTCAATTCTGTCTTGTCTGATCAATGTGAATACTTCTGGGCTGTCTTTATGATTTTCATTTGTTTCAACATGACCTACAATATTTTATTGTTGATTGTTTTCAAGAGAGGTAGTTCAACACTTGCTGTAGTTGCCTCAGTTGCTCGTTTGGCTCTCTCCAACTTTGGTTTCTTGATTAAGTTCCTTGCTGGTGAAGCTTACCTTGCTGCTTTGAGTCCATTTGATATTATTGCCCTTGTTATTTTGATTTTGGGTATTATTATTTATTCTCTTACAACTGAAAAGGTTGCTGAAAGTAACGACCCACTTCTTAAAGCGTACAATTATTGTTGGTCATTCTTGCCATCTTTCAATAGAAAGAAGAACAAGAACGCCTTTGATGACGAAGAAGATGTTTATCATTAAGACATTATACCTATCGCTTTATATCTGTAAAGCATTTGTCCTTAATTGATTTAATTATCTATTATTTATAAATTTTTAAAATACATTTAATAAAAAATTTAAAATTATTCAATCATGATTCTAAACATTCTGAATACTACATTCACATTGGCAGCAATTATCTTTTACATAACATTCGAAACTCACCAAAAGAAGGTCCAAGCAAAATAACAATAAATTTTTTAAAAAAATAAAAATTAAATAAACTTTTTTCTGTTGAAAAAATGAGAATAGGCAACAAGGTCGTCAACGACAAAATCATCAAGAGTATTGTAGAGCGTTTGGACGCTGACCAATGCGATAACGAATATGAAGCTCTGTTTGCTTGTTTACATGCTAGAACACCAGAAAAATGTCTCGGATTGTATACTAAATTCATGGTTTGCGTCAATCGTAGTAATGATTACTTTAAGAAACACTCATACACTGCCTTCGGTAATGAATTTGGTAAATTCTCAGCTCGTAACCAATAATCATCATCAACACATCATCTAAGTTTTTCTACTACTCACGTTCGCGGATTTAATAAAACAAAATTATTTAAAGTGGATGATGGAAAATTGGAGTACTGGATAGTCAATTGATGGAATTAATAGTAGATATATTCTCTGTGATAGTAATAGTTCATCATAAAACCTACACAAACAATAACAACCTTTAATTTTATACAGCAATAATAATTATTGAGGAAGGAGATGAGGTATTTGGATTTTTACGGAAAATTCAATCAATTTTGGTGATGATTTCAAACAACAATATTATTTATTTTGCTTTAATTGTTCGAGTTCTCTCTGCAATTGCAATACTTGTTGTTTGAGCATAAAATTTTCTTCTCTCAATTGGTCAATATCAGAAGGTGTACTAGGGGTTGCTCTGACTGATATGGATTTCAATTGATTCTCCATGATATCTAAATCCTCCATTCTCCTTTCGTATTCCTCAATATTGGCTGTTTTTGCTTTTGTGTAGGATCTTGGTGAACTACTAGCAGAGGATCCATGAATCTCTGTATCACTATCTGCAATACTAACTCTATCGAAATCAAAATTGATTGAGGAGGAAATCATATTCTTCTCGTTCATTTGGTGGAATAGATTATTTTCATCCAACAACTTGGAGTATAATTTAAATTCCAACTTGCTCGATCCAGAATCTCCAAAGTAGACTGCATCGTTAAAAGTCTTTTCAATTTCTTCCATTTTTACAATATTTTCCATTCCATCGAGACTGGAAATGTTTGGAAGTTTGTTCATTTCAGTTTGTGAATAAGAGCCAATGAGGTTCAAAATTTCATCTCCACTTCCAGGCAATTCATTAATCTTGTCAATGAGTTGAGGTGGCAAGAATTTTCCAAATGCTTTGAAAAAGTTCTTTCTATTTCTTGTCTCTTCATCCCTGAGTTCTTGAATGATTTCTGATGCTCTGATAACTTCAGCATCGAATTTTCTAATGTAGGCCCTTCGTCTAATAATTTCCAAAAGTGCCATAAAATAGGCTCCAGGAAGGTATTTTGGAATTGAGACGTGGTGGAATTTGGACATGATATTCTTCAATACGCTTACAAAGGTTTGTACTTTCTTATTCAATTTGAGAATACTATACTGAATGGTAGAAATAACCTTTAACTTTTCGAGTAAGTATTTAGTTAGCATGACTTTGGACTGGGCAATCTTCTCACACGTCACTTTCATGCCATTTTCAAAATCTCTCAATTGAATAAGATCATGTTGATGTGTTTCAATGAGTTGGACAATAACTGTTACATCCTTATGACTCTCGGATTTGGATGCCATTTGTAGAAGGGATTGGAAGTTACGGTTAATATTATTTACAAGTTCTTTTTGATTATTTACAATGTTTTCCGATTCAGTACAAAGTTTGGATAACATTGAAAAACTATTTAAAATTGTAAATTGAAATTGATTGACAAATTATACTTACTTGACTGGTGGGACAATGAGTAACAGTTGAGTGTCAACATCCCTATCAATTTGTTGGGATAAAGCAATGGTCTGAATTACCTTTTCTTTAAAGGTAGACAAATCTTGTGAACATCTGGTGGCCCACAATTTGATTTGCTGTATTGGAATGCAATCTTGAAGTGTACGCCTTGATGATGTTTGAATGGTTGGATGCAGTTCGATTGAACTTAACTGTTTGATTGATCGTTATTAACTGATAATTCACTTTAAACTTACCTTTTCCATATCTGAATCGAGAGTTAGTATAATATCCATATATTTGGTATCAATCTTATCGAATCTAATATTAAATAATAAGCATAAAGTAATAATGAAACTCTTACCTTTCCTTAAATCTTTTTAATGAGGCTGAACTACCTTTCGTATGTCCTTCAAGATTGAGGAGGGCAACACTTATCGACTCGTTCTGAATTTTCATTTGGTCCAATTTCACAACACAATAATTCATCCTATTCTGAGTAGTCTTGGCAATGTTCTATAGAACAAGAATAAATAATTAAAATCATCAATCACAACCTACCTCAGCCTGTAATAATTGAATGTAAAATTGTTGAACATATTTGAATAGTTCATTGTTCTTAATCTTTTTCTGAATTTCCTCTGGTAGAATAATATTTGTAGGATTGATTTCTCGTAACTCTAACTGTCCAAATTCATCGGAAATAATTTTTAATAACACTTGAGCCTTTGATTTTGATGAAAAGGACATTCTATCAAAAAGATACAAATTCTCATCATCATCAAAGTCTGCAATAGTTTGTTCATTGTCTACTTTTGCTCCTTTTGAATCCAATAATATTTGATTCTCAATAGAAATGTTCGTTGATTTTTCCAAAACTTGTTTGAGTTGAAAGATTGTATAAATGTTTGGTACATTGTCTCCGACATTATCAGTTATTGTTGTTGTTGGTGTAGTTGGTAAGAATTGTTTTGTATCCAACAGCAGAGTTCCATCTTCTGCTTGGCATACTTTCATTCTGATGATGTTGTTCTAATTCTTTTATGTTGATGTTGTTGATGAGGTTGCACTAAAATGATTGCATATGGAGATTGATTGAAGAGAATATTAAAAATAGACCTTTTCTAACGGTTGGTTGAATTACAGTGTTGTGTTCTCCAAATAGTGATTATTGTTTGTTTTTCTAATAAAAAACACAATGTTGATGGATTCTCTTGTGTCCAAAGAAAAAAAGGCTTTCCGAAACTCTTGTATATTACTTGATTTCCAGCTTATTGTCCAAAAATCTAGAATATATTATAATTGTTATGAATAGTACACGTGTCCGAGCTGCTACTACTACTCAAAGCAAAAAGGCTTTCAAAAATTCTCTCTGAAAATGGCGTGGTGAATGTTGAGCCAATTTTTTGTTGTGAAGCTTGTGATGATTATTGGAAAATAGCAGCAAAATGACAAGTTTTGGAAAAGTTGGAATTTTCAAAGGATTCTTGTTTATTCTTCACATGTGTAGTAGATGATGATCTTCGGGGAATTTAACAATGCCACGATGATGAATATTTGTGGAATAATTTACTTGTTTAAATTCTGTTTGCTCTTATCATCTTTATTGAGAAAGAGTACTTGGAAGTGTTTGATTTTTTTGGCGCCAACAACATTTTTATTAAGAGATTGAGTAATTAGGAAATTATCAATTTGAGGTTTACAACAAACGTTTGTCAATATTACTAGTATTATAAACCAATGTTTCCACAAGTTTAAATCCGTTAAAACTCAATAAATCAAGCAATTCCTGTAATTCTGATCGAATATGTGATATAGATGGTATCTTAATAGCATTATGAGACCAAAATCTTCAATATGTAGCATTAAGGTTTTTGTGATATTTATTCAATATCATTGTCTTCTTCCTCTTTTTTAGACCCATTATAATCTGTCAAGTTAATTATTTCTGTTCCAACCTTTTCAATAAAGTATCTGTCATGGGTGGCTGCAATGATAACACCAGGGAAATTCATCAATGCTTCCTCTATTACTTCCAAACTTGGAAAATCAATGTGGTTTGTTGGTTCGTCCAATAAAAGAATTGAGCATTTTCTCATGACAATTTGACACAATTGTACCTTTCTACGACATCCAATACTCAAGTCACGTAAGGTATTATTCAAATCTTGCCATGTATAGACACCATAATTACACAAATTATTAATAGCCTGTTTCTTTGAGGCATTGATTAATGGATCTTCCATAAGCAGTTCCACTGCAGTTTTGTCCAATGGTAAACTTTCTTGCTCTTGATCCAAATATCCAATCCTAGCAGAATTACTGACCTGCTTTGTGCCTTCATCAGGTTTTATCAAGTCCATAATAATTCGAAATAGAGTAGTCTTACCAGAACCATTCGGTCCTTGAACAATCATTCTATCACCACTCACCAAAGTGAAGGACAAGTCACGAAACAGCAATTTATCTCCAAACGATTTCGAAAGATTCGAAACTAGAATATGAAGATTGGTTGTAATATTGCTGTCATCAAATTCAAATGAAATTTTGGCTCTTTCTGGAATAATTTCAACCATGTTTTCTGTGATGCTTTCTTGTTTCCTAGTGAAACGATTAAATGCTTTAGATGTTCCCTTTTGAACTCTTTGTTCTTGATTGTTGTGACTAATCTTGTCTCTATCCCAACTTTCTCTAATTTTCTTTTCTTTCATATTAGATTTGAGTTGAGTTGCCTTTTGTTTAAGAGCTTTCAATTCCTTATCTTGATGCTCACGTTCTTGAATAGATCTTAAACGTTTCTTTTCTTCCTGCATCAGATAATTATCATATCCTCCTCTAAAGTGCGCAAACTTTTTAGTATGTGGAGATAGTTCGGAAATTCTATTAGAAACTGCATTAATTAGACTTCTATCGTGAGTAACCATGATTACAGATCCATCATATTCCTTCAAAAAGTCTTCCAGCCACTCAATTCCCTTTCTATCTAAATGATTAGTCGGCTCATCCAACAGTAAAATATCAGTCTCAATAATACTCAATGCACACAACATTGTTTTCGTCTTTTCTCCACCACTCAACTGATTAAAAGGTTCCTCCAATAAATTATTTGTCAATCCAATCAAATGTGCATGTTTAAATATCTCGTATCCTCCCAAAGAATTCAATTCTTGATACCATTCCGAAGATAGCTTTTCACAATTGGATTGTTCAAGAAATTGATTAATATTAGCATCATTCAAATATCGTAGAATGGTAACAATGGTCGGCTCATCACTCATTATGTCCTCAAAATGTTGAGGCAAATATCCAATTCTTCCCTCAATTTCAACAGTGCCCGAATATGAATAATCGACAGTGCCACTCAACAATCGTAAAAAAGTTGTCTTTCCACTACCATTATCACCTACAATTGTAACCTTATCTCCAACAGAGAGTGAAAAATCCAAATCCTCAAATATGATCTTTTTATCAAAATTCAAGGAGAGATTGGTGATTGAAATACCAATACTTGGTGGTTTCATTATGTGAGAAGTTGATGTATTTTTTAAAGTTTATTTTAAGAATGATTGTTATTGTTTTGAATTAGTATTTTTTGATGAGGTCCTATTTTGGAGATGGTATTAACTAATAGTAGTATGATGCTAATATGGAGTTTTTTTAGTAAATGTAGAATTAGACTTTACAATCTAAATTTCAAAACTTTTGGTGCGTAATAATTTTATAGAAGCAGAAACAGCACAATATTGTGCCAAAACGTGATAGGCTATCCAATACCGAATCGTATATCATTCATGAAGAAGAAATTGTAAATTCTCTTCAAAAATTCGAAAATTATTGGAATTAAGGCAATACATTTTCTTGCAAGCAAACATATTTGAGAATTGTAGTGAAGAGGAAATCATAAAAAAGTACCCAATAATACCCCAATAAACAATCACAAATAACTTTGCAACAAAAATTATCCTCCCATGCCGGGAATTGAACCCGGACCTCCTGGGTGAAAGCCAGGTATCCTAGCCATTGGACTACACGGGATTACATTCATTATGAAACTTTGACCCTCATGAAATTTATGATTCAGAACGAGATTGTAAAATCCAAAATTCCAAAAAGTCAACCCTCACCAATAACCAATAACAGCACAAAACAAGACACAAATCAAAATTGCCAAAATTTCCAAACAAGTGTTAGCATCACATAATACTGAAACACATCATTACATTCACATTTCCTTAATGAAATTAAAAAGTATGTAGTATCCCCTTTTTTAAAACAGTATTGAAGATGCTAATTAAATATCTATTGACTCAATCTTTAGAGGTTACACACTCCTGAAAAAAATATCTTCACAGTATAGACTGTTAATTGTTGCAACTTCACTATGATAGCCAACAATCAGGACATTCTGCTGACCATTCTATTTGATGGCTATTTATCATGGAAACAAATTTTAAATTGCAAATTCGTGTGCACAGAATGGAGAGATTTAATTACAAAACACTTTTATTTGTACTTTCAACATTTAAACAAGAGTTTGAATAATTCTCACTCAGAAAACTTGAAGATTGATCATCATTTGATTGATTACCAACGTGCAATGCCATTTATTGTGTTTCTTTCTAAATGTGTTGCAGCTATTAATGAAGGAATGATGATTCCTCGTTATGAATTCAAGTTTTACAAATGTAAACCTTCATTCAATATAGAAAATGATAAGATTTTTCAAATGAGCAAGTGGATACTTTGTGATTGCATTAATGTGACCAAGAGGAATAATTCTAAGGATGTAGAGATAGGTAATTTAAATTATTTTGCAGATTATTCAATGGTTTGGCATCAGGAATGTGATGACGAAGGATATAGTAATCATTTGGGATTAAAATTTTCCTCAGCTGACCAACTGTTTACAGGAAGAAACAAAAAGAATCGTTCTGAATATATTCTCATTCAAAAGTTGGAAGAGGGTTTCTACCATAATGAGAATTGTACAGAGCTCGTTGGCATCCCCAATGATGACACTTCATACGAACACAATTTAGTGAGAAATGTAATTTGCCTTTCGTATAATCAATTTGAAGTTGCCCCTTCCAATGGAAACCAAATGAAAGGTGCTAAAAATTTCATTCATTGGATTAGAGAACTAGTTTTGACATGTCATGAATGTGGAATTTTACACAATCAATACCTTCTTCAAATGATGTTGAACTTTCTATTTCGAATCAATTACTATGTGCATGATCTTCATCGAATTACATTTTACGATAACATTGCTGAATGTTGTCCTTATAACTTGAACACTTTGGAAATTTTGGACGAATTTAATGAAAATACAAAGGCGAAATGGAATGAAGATCCAAACATTACAAGTTACACAACATTTATGAAAGTTGAACGATCCTTCAATTCACAACTTTTAGGTGATGCCATTGATAGCTATATTATTTCCTTAATTGTCAATCCCAACAATATGGAAAATCCCTTCGAAGTAGTTCTTTATCAATTCTATGAATATCACGCTAGTGTATGTTTCAGTGATTAAGAAAATATGGTTTCTTATAATAAAATTTAATATTAATTTATTTAGTTTCATTTCGAATTTTTAAATGGAAAAAATGAAAACATACATCATGAAATGTTCACCTGAATCCGGTGATGCAATTTTTGATGATTTAATATTAAATTTAATATTAAATTACATGAGCGGAGAGCAAATTTTGAAAAATTGTAATCGTGTGAATAAGAATTGGTACTCACATTCTTTGAAAATTCCACTGTTTTTAACGATTAATGTGGAAGATTCGTATGTTTGGTTCGATAGCGAAGTACAAGATGTTGACGAAAGAATTGTCGATAAGTGGATTGAAAAATTGAAAGGAGAGAATTGTAGAAATGTGAGAGGAGTTACAATCATTGGATATTCAACTCATACGAAACTGTTGAAAATGATTGTTGAAACTTTCGAATTGAACTATTTGGAATTAAGAACACACGATCCATATGATCAATATTGGAGAAATCCAATGTGCGGAATTGAATTGATTGTTGGAAGTCGAATGAAAAATCTTGAAACTTTGATAATTTCAGATGAAGTTTATGGAGAGCATTATTTCGATATTGAAATGTTTGATAGTCCTTATTTAGCAAGTTTAAAACGTCTGGAACTTGGAAGTTTTATGCTTAGTTCATCATCATTATCAGAGAAAGAATGTTTCAAAAATATTGAAAGTTTATCTTTGAATTCATGTATTATTCATGAATGGAATAATTCAGATACATTTTCCAATTTTGGAAACCTTAAAAAATTATCACTGGCCAATATTTATAGCGATTTATCAATTGTAAATACTCTAATGTCTGAATTGTGTTCTAATATTGAAATATTGAAGTTATCATATCATATTAATTTACAAATATTGGAAACTATTTGTAATTCAAAATTTTCCAAATTGAAGGAAATTACTCTTGAAAATTTATATAATGTATCTAATAATTATACATCTATTGAACTTTTCCTCAATCAATTGGACAATTTAGAGCAGTTAAAAGTATTAAGGTTTGGAAATGTTCTACTAAGATTGAATCATGTTAAAATTCTGATAGGCAAGCAAGTTTTCAAGAATTTGAGAGAATTACAATTTGAATTGAGCTCTGCAGATGATATTCGTAGATTTCATTGCTCAATTTCTCAACATTCATTCTCCCATCTAAAAAATTTCAATTACAGAAAGATTGAGCAGGTGCACGATGATCTACTCGATTATTCACTTCATATGCTTTCAAAATTAATAGATGTATTTAAAAAACTATTCCAGTGATTTCAAACCATGTCAGAAACTTTGTAATTCGTTGATATTAACCAAGTTGGTGTTAGAAACCTTTTCTGTACGCAATGCAAGGACCAGCCTTTACGTATCATTCGTTATCCACATATACTGAAAAGTGGAAAGACTCACAAGGATCGAGGTACCAATTCATGTAGAGTGATTTCCCTCTGGTGGAACCACAACCTTAATTTTCATGGCTGCTGAACCACTTCTTTGGTTCTGCCATTCCTTCAACAAATGAATCAATAATCAATCGTATTTGATCCTCCGAAATTAAACCTTAAAGTTGATTCTCCAAATGTATGTACCCTTAAAAACAGGTGTAATTCCTTAATTTCAATTCATATAAAAATTGTCGCTCTTCTTTCATACGATTGTGAAAATAATTGTAAAATTCATGAAGAAAAAAAATGGTAAAAAAACGACTCTTCATTAACGCAATGTAATTTCTTATAGCAGCCGCGGCGTTGTTACACCATAACAATCATCAACAACATGTGTGGAGGATCATTCACATGCATCAACACTGAAAATTTTCGTTACATCTACACAACACGTGTAAACCATAACAAAAAAATGGGCAAAGCGTCCTTCTCTAGTATTATGCTAGCACTTAATTGTGTTACAGTTGTTCTTGTAAATATCAAGCCGAAGAATAGAACCATTTTGGATCTGTTTAATATTATTGCAAGTGGTGATCAGCAAAATATTGATTCTACTGACAGTATGGGTGCCATCTTTAGTTTATTGTTCACTGTTTTCTTTATTTTCACTATCTTTCTAGGTATTGATTATGATCACCCACATAAGATTGGATATGGCTGCTTGGTAATGCTAATTATCAATTCTGCTATTTGGTTTGGTTCTTCAATTTACAATTTTGAAACAGTCATTTTTGATGTTTTGGTTCTATTAGTGTGTTTCATGCTCTTTTTCCACTTTTGCAAAAGAAAGGACGAAAAGTTTGTCGAAACGTTATTTCAAACCACTTTGAGGAATATAAGAAGAAATTTGATGGCTTTAAAGAAAATAATCCTCACCTTCATATTGTTGTAATTGGAATATGGTTGACTAGGTTCTTATGGAGTTTACAAATAGATGGCTCATCAAGTTATCATATAATTTTATACAGTATAATGAATCAATTAGTTCAATATTTGGATGGACAATTGTTGGTACTTTCATCCTTCATTGGGTTTCTGATTTTATCAAGTTTTTAACTAAGGACAAACAAAGAATGGGTTTTTTTTATAATTATTGGATTGTGCTTCTTTCATTCTTGGCAGTTTTTGTAGATTTTGGATTGTTAGCTGTGTTTGGAACAGTTGATAAAAACAAAAAGCCAAATGGAGCTATTATAGCTTGTAGTATTATCAATGGTATTGTAATATCAATCAACATTATTGCGATTTGTTTCATGTGTTTCTTGTGTTGTGAGTTTGATATTGAGAACCAAAACAGGAAAGACCAATCAGAAAATATTGAAAACCACCAAAATAGAAAAACAAATTTTGAAACCTCACTCTTTCAGCACAATCCAAATATTTTAGTCAGACGCACACAAAAACAAGATTCTATGTTTTAACAATCTCATAAACTCTTCATTCCTCAATTAATTCATTATCATTTATCCAACAATTTTCATAAAAATAAAAAATTATCCTCCATGCCTAGAATTTTCTTGTTCTTAATGACTATTTTTTTACAAATGACTGAAAAAACCAGACTGTCGATTGGTCACAAAACAATATCAAATGTTCTCTGTTAAACATTTAACAGTATTCTCTCATGAAATTCGAATACATGAATTAAGTAGAATACTTTGGAAAGCTGAGTTGATATTTGAATAGTAAATTGAATCAGTTTTCTATCCAAATTTGGAACCTTACATCCAACTATTTTCAGCTTGTCCCAAATGAAAAACAATTCGAAATGGTTTAAATTAGCACCATCTGGTTGAACTATCCAATCCAACAAAAACAAAAAATGAAAGCAAATCTAATCTTTTCAATTGCAATTCTACTCTTGCTTGCAATCCTTTCAGTTCAAGCAAGTGACAGCTATCAAACCAATCCTCCAGTAGTTGACAAGTATCACAAGCCAAGAATTTGTAAGAGAAAATGTTTAAAGCACAAGTGGATTAAGAAGTGTTTGAAACACAAACTCGTTGGTCAAAAGAAGGTCTGTGATCAATATGCAATTGTCGGTGCTGGTAAATGTCTTAAACATAAGAAATATTCCAAATGTGACAAGTACAGTAAGCCAACAAAGAAGTGTGTCTTGCATGCATACAAGATTGTTGGATGTGCCAAGAAGAAGTATTGGAAAGTTTGTGATTCTTATGGAACTAAGAAGATTTGCATCAAGAAGGGTTTCAAGAAGTTCTGTGCCAAGCACAAGATTATCAATAAGTGCTTCAAGAAGGGTTTCAAGAAGGTCTGTAAGAAATTCAAGAAGGTTCCAATCAAGAAGTGTGAAAAGAAGAAGGTCTGCGACAAGTACACTGTTGATTCTTACAATAAGAAGGTTGCCAAATGTAGATATGTTAAAAAGTGCAAGATTGTCTCCTGGGCAAAGAAATGTGCCAAGTATAAGAAGGTTAAATACTGCAAGGAAAGAAAATCTTTCAAGAAGTGTTGTCTCATTAAGAAGAAATTCTTCTGCGCCAAGCATAAGACCATCAAATTCTGTAAACACAAGAAGACTCTCTCCAAATGTGTCAAATATAACAAGAAGAAGTATTGTGCCAAGTCAATTGTCATTCCTCCAAGATGTATCAAGAAGAAGTATTATAAGAAGTGTTTGAAACGTTCAAAGGGAAAGAAGATTTGTAAGAAATTCAAATTAGTTGGTGGAAAGAAGAAGTGCTGCAAGTCAATCAAGAAGAAGATTTGTATCAAGAGAAAGACATGTAAGAAGCCAACAAAACCAATCGTCAAACCACTTGTAAAATAGTTGACAAATTTTTCTCTAATTACCTGTAAAATAACATGAGAATTAAATAAAGTATTGAACTTTAACAACAATTAAAAATTCAATGCAAAATATCCTCCCATGCCGGGAATTGAACCCGGACCTCCTGGGTGAAAGCCAGGTATCCTAGCCATTGGACTACACGGGATTATATTCATTAAGAAAATTTTAACTTAATGAAATATCTCATTTTCAGTAAAGAGAGCCTTCAGAGTCAAGATTGACCTCGATCATGGTGGTTTTTACACCGTCTGCGTACTGATTAATGCAGCAGACTGTTTTAATGAATAAAGGAATGGTAATAATTACCAAACTCCCAAAAAGAAAACCCTCATCCACTGCCAATAACAGCACAAAATGCCCATTGCTTGAGATGCAAATTAAAAATGCCAAAATTTCCAATCTCAACACTTCCAAAACAAGTTAGCATCACGCAATACTGAAACACATCATGACTGAAAAACAACTTATCTCTCTTATTCATACGACATCAATTACTCAAAATAAGACCCTTCGACAAGCAAATTCAAAAAAATGGCGTCATTATCTTTACTCCCTTTCGAATATACTTCAGATGGTCTGAATGTCATATTACCTCGGTGGATTATGTTTTACCAGTGTGGGTCAATTCTGTTTCGATAGGGAATAGTACATTGTACTTGTTTGCCTATTCGATATTTTATATGAGTTTCTTTACAATGCTGTACTATATTACTATTCGAAATAAGCTTGAATTGAAAAGGAATGCAAAAATTCTCTTTCTGATGGTCGGTGTTTTCGTTGGTATTGGATGCTTGAATCTACTTTCAAGAACAATGGTTGATATCATGTATATTAATGTGAGGTTTCGACTGGAGAAGGGAGAAACAATATTCGATAGAGGATACTTTATTGTTTGGAACTTTTTTGCATCAGTGACTACATTCTTAATGTTTTCAAATTATGTAGTCTTGTACATTATTGTATATTACGTCAAAATGATCTTGTAAGTTTCTCTTTTAATGCTAAATTATTCGAAACTTGTAGTTGGAAGACAGCTGTCATGATTAGAGCCATGTCGAAAAAGCAATTCAAGCATGTGAGCATTCTCTCCAATATCATCTTTGGCTTCTTTGTTGTGTTAATGTTTCTTGTAGTGTTAGTTGCAGCTCTTTTATTCTTCCTCTATAACATGGGTTTCGTTTCGAAAGCTAATTCTAATATTGCCTATTATATCTGTTTTGTTTTTGCTGGTGGAATGCTTATTTTCGATACTTGCTTTGCCATCTATTCTGGTGTTGTGGTGATTCGTACAATTGGACGAAACAATACGATTCAATTACAAAGAAATCCAAACCTTAAAAAACAGGAAAATTATTCAAATCCATTCATTGTAACTTTTGGATTATTGGTTGGATTAATCCTATGCATTCTATGTCAATTAATTGCAGCTGGTGTTGCATCTGCCGTTGGTTCTGACAAGTCAATTCTGAAAGTTGTTTGGCACTTTTTCAGTTGTCTTGCAGTTTTGATATTTGCAGTGTTGAGCTTGTTGATGTTTTATCCACTTTTTGTGAGGGCAGAACATGCTATTAAGGAGATGAATTTAGATACCACATCTCATGATCACAAGTCAGCAAGAAGTACTGCTAAGAAATCAGAACGATCAGAGAAGAGTGAAATGAAAGTTCAGTCAATTGAACCAAGTGAGGGTTTATCGAAATGCAAATCGAATATTGAAGAAAATTTACCATCCCTACCAGAAACTAGTGAGGTTACAAATCAAGATCAATCAAAAGACAAGAACGATGAGGAACTTGTTGGCGACAATTTACCTAATCTACCAGAAACTAATGAAGAACCAAAAAACCAAGAACAATCAAGTAATCAGGTCTAGTCCAATTCATGGAAGTTAATCTCTGTAAGAACAAATGTACTTGGTTGAAACAAGTAATCCCACAACTGATATCAACAAAATGAAACATCCAATAATGATGAGTGAGATGGCGCCAAGTTCTGAATTAAACGTTGGATATTTGAAACTAATTCCACCAACCAAAATCATTCCTAAAGAGCCAATTCCAATAATTGGGCTTACTACTAGGAGGATAAAGCAAGAGGTATAGGTGTGGCGACGGTATTGGTGAAGTATTTCGCCTGGTTTCTTCTTGAAATTAATCCAACGTTTCATTTCAATTTCTAATTGAGTTTTGTAAAGTAAAATATTAATTGGTCTTCTATTTGAATAGAAATGAAACCTATTCATTTCTTCAAAATATTTCCTTAATGGGATTAATGATTTTTCAATTTGAAATACGTTACTTCTATTCGAATATCTGAAATTGTAAATTATATCCGAAATTTCATAATCTAGAAATTGTGTAATAATTCCATTCATGTAGAAATGATAATAAAATGCAATTTTGTGTGGATTTTCTGATTTTCTCTTGACCAGTTCAACAAGATACTGATTCGGTAAAATAAACCAGTCGAAACCCAAAAACTTGGACGAAATTTGTTGATTTCTAAATAATTTTTCCCACACTTGATTATTCATTACTTCTCGTGCAGTTATTCCGAGTAATTCGAATGACAGCAGTGCAACATTATCATTTGATAAATATTCAATAATTAATGTTAATAATTCTGGCGGGAGATTTAATAATGATGAATTTAATGTTTCGGAAGAATTAGTTTGTGAGTAATGTAAATTAATCTCTGATTCTTCTATTGGAATGGTAGTGTAATCATTGTGTGGTGACATTTTTTCTGAATTTTCCAGATTCTAGTTCAACAATAACACTTTCTAATAATTTCAAGTTTACAATAAATTTAAATTCTAATAATTATTATTGAATTAAACACTTTTTCTTTGGTTTTACAATATTCGGTTGATAGGTGCACCCATTTACTAAAATTTCCATAAAATTCTTCATCCCAAATCCACTTTTAGAGGAATTCTCCCAATAGGATATAAATCCGAAACTTTTGGCGAATTCCTCTGCTTCCTCACTTGTTACAATTGATTGGTTATCTTGATGTGTTGATGATTTGATGATTTCTTCTCTTAAATCATGTTTACAACCAACCAGAATAATTGGAGTATCTTTCAAGTGGAATCTCAATTCATGAATCCACTTGTTTCGAATAGAATCGAATGAATCTCTGTCCACAAGTGAAAAGCAAGCGAGAGCCAAGTGTGCTTCTGGATACGACAAAGTTCTCAATTGATCATATCTTGATTGAGATTAATCTCAAAATATTCTAAATAAAACGAAACTTACCCATCTCTACAGGGAAGGTCCCACAATGACATCAGAAAATTTTCATACACTAAATTGGGATTATCTGAAGTATACCAAAAAGTTTCTTGAAATTCTCGAGTATGAACTCTCCAATAAAGTGAAGTTTTGCCACATGTTGAGTTTCCAATAAGGCAAATCTTTCCATATCCTGGAAATTCATCTTTTTCTAATGATTTTTGGAGTTTTGGATTGATTTCCATCATGTTCTCAATGGGAGTGAATGAAAAGTTGGGTTTGTTATTCGAAATTTCCTTTTTAAACTGCAAGAGATGATATCGAAAATTAGACGAAACTTTTCCATAAATAGAATAAAGTGAATGCACATTAGAGTGATATTCTAAAGTTACTGGATTGTAAATTACATATTTCTTCTCATCTGCATTGCAATGATACTTAATTTCCCTCCAATAAAATTTCGAATAACAAGCATCGGAACAAAGTTTCTGATATACTATTCGATTCACCAACATCCACTTGTGAAATTCACCAAGCAATAGAAAATTCCCAATTTCACTCAAAATTTCTTCTGGTAATTTATCAAAAAATTGAAAGGAAAGTTTTTCAAGTTTTGACATTTTTTTTCACTAATTGACAAGTTCATTAGTTCCAATACTATTTCACAAACTTAACTTCAAAATGCTATTATAATAAACCCAATTCGACCAATTTCCAAAAGAATCCACAATAACCAATTAAAAAGAAACATTAAAATAATTAAAACTAAACTTCAAAAATATCAGAAACCATTCAACACCTTGACCAGAGTTTCCCCCAGCTATGGAATAATTTGCAGTTAAGTTCCTTATTTTCAGATCAACTCTCCATTAAGAAAAATGTTTTAATTCATAAATAATCTTTGGTTTCGTACAGGATTGTGGTTTCCAATAAATATTTTCAATTCTAAACTTGATTTCCAATAAGTACACTTCCAGTTCAAAGAGAACGAAAGCAAACTTTCTAAAACTGAAACTGTGCATTGAACAATTATCAATATTTTGTAAAGTCTTGATGATATCAACAAGATAAGAAGCCACCAAATTTGAACAAACAAAACCAAAATATTGAATTATTTAAAAAATATGGCAAGCAAAAGACTGTTCGGCTAATTTGAAAACCATTGAATTTCCATTCTGGATTGTCATGATTGTAACTATTGGAAACTAGCAGAAAGTAGAAGAAAGAAACTTTAAAAAAAATTACACACAACTTTGCAGCACATCACGTGATCATCATCAAGCTTAGTTCCACTCATCAAAGAACCATTTAGTGGAACACTACCAGAAAAAAACCCATCTGTCACTTTGCACTTGTTAGCTAAAAAACAAAGTGCAGAAAAAAACTCAACACATTTCTAACCCGAAACTATTCGAATGTCAAAACCAACAACAATTGCGTTGACAGCATCACCAAGTGGTGAACCTCACGAAAGGTTTAATAATATTGTTGCATGTTCTCCATTTTCACCTCCAACTAATGATTCAATTTTCTTACAACAACCATTTTCTGATACACAATCATATTCGAAACATGGACAAGACTTGGAAACTTCTCCGAATCCAATAAGTATACAACTGCCATCAATTCCTCCACTTCAAATTCACCATCAACAACAATTGGATCAAAATTCCCACGATCATCACATTGATATTGCAAATTATTATTCGAATGAACCATCCAAATCATCAGTTTCAGGTGTTTCCTTTTCAGATAGTAATCATCTAGTCATGATGATGGAGGAGGGAAAGGAAAATCCATCCTCCATGATGAATCAAACCACCTACTACAAGACAGAGAATGTCAAGGAAAAGACTTGTCATTGGTTTCTTTACATTTATTACATTGCATACGTGTGCAATTTTGGTGGCAATGGCTCTCTTCTTGGGAGTTTATATTTCTGATTCAAAATCAGAGGGAATGGATTCTGGAAATTTGAATGGAACAATTGTCAATTCGACCATGATGATGCAAGATTTTTCATCAACTGGATCAGGATCGATATCATCGCCGACAAGTGTGGATATTCGAAATGATAATTCAATAACTCTGTTTGGAATTTTGTGGAATTTTCTAATTGAAAAACTGATATTTGGAAAATAAATTGGAAAAATAAGTTAAATTTAATGAGATTAAACTTGTTTCTTGGATTGGGTAATTCTTCTTCTGAAGAAAATCCAATACACCCATCTCGTTCTATATTGTAAAAATAATCCTAGAATGAAAGCAAAACCACACAATGATGATGTGATAAAGAATGTCAATTGGAAGCAGTCATGGCCATGACATGTGGTAGTTCTTGGTGCATCAATATTAATTTGATATAATTGACCAGTGACAAATGTTGCCAATCCATAACTTCCACAAGCAGCTGCCAAATTCATAATTGAAAAGTTCATACCAAAATATTTAGCTCCAAATCTTTCAGAACAGAAACTTGGTGCAAGTGAGAAAATACCACCATTGAAGAAACCCATTACACAAATGAAAAAGTACAATGAATTGACTGGAGCCCAAGCAAAAATAAAGTGCATAACACCCATCATCAATACAGCAATATTGAAAAAGGTAACTCTGGTAAGGTGATACTTTGGAAGAAGGAATTTATCACTCAAAAATCCAAACGCAATTCTTCCAAGACAATTGCTAAATTATCATAATTCAGTTAAATCCAATCAATTATTCAAACTTACAAGATTGACAATAATTGAACCATCAAATTTTGTTGACCATTGTAACCTCCATAAGCAATGACAATAGCTCCCAAATTGTTGATAATAACCAAACCACATCCTGATCCAATCATGTACACAATAAACATTATATAAAAGTCCAGAGTCATGAGCATTCCAAAAGGATTATTAACTGGAGGTTCCAATGACTTGTTTGCACTAATATCAGCATATACCTTCTTTTCTACTTGTGGTTCAGCTGCTTCCTCATAGGTCACAACTGCACCTTCCTCTTGTTGTTGATCTTGAATTTCTTCCTGTGGTGGTGGCAAGAGAGTTTTTTCTGCCTCCTTTTTAGGTTCCTCCTTCTTTGCAATAGAATTCATGAAAATACATCCAGAGAAAATGACAACAGTTCCAAAAATTGCTGTGAAATACAAGTATCCTTCCAATTCTCCTGAAAAGACATAGGTATAAATTGATGAAAAGACGAAACTTGACAATCCAAAGCATGAAGCCAACACACCAACAACCAATCCTCTATTCTTCTCTGAAAAGTTCTTCAAATTTGTTGAAATTGAAGCCAAATAACCTCCAGCTGAACCACTACCCATAATCATAAAGAAGAGACCAGCCACAAGGTAGTGATTTGGCATGATTCCAGTATATAAGAGTAAAAATAAAAAGTATCCTGCAAAGAAGAGGAATGCCGAAACGATGGAACAAACTCTTGCTCCGAAAAAGTCATTCACCAGAGAAATTGGCAAACTGAAATAAGTTCCAAGATTTGCAAAAGCTGCAATAGTTGTGACCTCAGTCTGTGAATAGTCCAAAGTTCTGTAGCATGTTAGTTTTCACACCAATAATTGTTAAACCCAAATATTTCATCATATCATAATTAGAAAAATGGAATTATTCACACACAAATGTTGAAAATTAACCTACCTCTTGATTGTTGGACTAATTGATGAATATGTATATTGTGTTCCCGAAACTAACATCATCAAACAACCCACAATAAGAGCCAACCACTTTTTAGAAAAATCAAAAACTTGTCTCCAAGTAATCTTCTTTCGTGAAACTTGTTTTATAGCCTCATCATCATAATAAGTAGCAGAGCCTGGTCTCACCATCACCAGCACCACCATCATTTTCAACACCTTTACCAGTACCATATCCAGTAGTACCATACGATGATTGATTACCACCACTTCCCATCATTACTGAATTTTCAGATTGTTTATTCAAACTTTCAGTGTTAGTAGTACCACTTCCACCTGATGTCGGTACAAGTAACTTGGTAGCAACATTATCATCCTCCTCTTCGTCATGATATGAAGCCATTTTTTTATTCTTTGATTCTTTTTGCCAATAGCGGAAGGCGCCTACAATTTTTCAACCTTTTGAAAATCGTGAAACTTCAAGAGAGCGAGAAATTTTCGCGTTTTGTGTGAACACAAAAGAATATTGTAAAAAGTGGTGATGGTGGTAGTAGTATTGGATTTTTGGAGTTTTTGAGGGGTTGGAGTTGATAACTGGATTGGTTGGGAGTTAGTTTCTGATAAAATCTTAAGGTTAAATTGAATTCCAAGAGATTGTGGAGTGATGATTATATTTACAGGGATGAGTTTGGTTGGATTTGGGAATGAATGTTGGATTGAGAAAAGAATAGATAGGGATGATCCATATTTTCACGATTTTTGGAACTTGTTTCAATGTAAATGATGGATTGATCCCAAAATTCACAACTTGTGTCAATAACTTTCATCAGTTGACTTGCCAGAGATTGTTCACTCAATTGTCTAATATCACTCTTGGTTCCAATTATACAGAGTCTATTATTACCCATTTTCTTTCTAATTTTCTGAGGAGAATCTTTGGAAATATCAACTTGAAATAAAGGATTCAAAATTTTGGATAAATCAGAGAGAAAATAATTATTTTTCACTGATAAATCAATTGTAAACATGATTGAAAGACTACTACCCAGTGATAAACTATTCATGCTAACCATTCCATTATTTCTAAATTTCAAATGAAAATCAGGATGTCCAAAACATTCAATTACAAAATTCGTATGGCATATTCCACTAATATTTCCATTATGATGAGAGGATAGATTTTCCATCTTGATCAGTACTCTTTTGAAGAAGAAATCCATCTTGATAACACTCTTCTGATCACTAGGCCTTGAATAACCTCTCGTAGAGCAAATTCCCAGAGAATATTTTCCAGAATTTGATTGTCCAAAGAGGGCAATATATTTCTTTGTTTCAGGAATGAGATCTGTGTCAACATTATAAATTGCAGAACGATTTTTAAAGACTGGATTCAATTCGTGTGGGGTAGGGGAGAGGAGAAGGTTCTTGTAAATGGTTTTGAAACTTGTCTTTTCAGAAGATTTGAGATATTCTTCAATTCTTGAAAAACATAGTATTGGTTGGAAGTTTGAATTTGGTTGTGTAACAGTAGGAATTTTCTCATCATGACGGTCTAATATTAACCAGAATCTTTTATCCTCTGTTAATGAATAGAAGGATTTATTCACTCCTGAAAACAATCTGATAAATTCAAACCGATCGAGAAAGGATATAATCTCGATCACAATATCCAATGAGAGACTTTCCAATATTCCTGCTTTGAAGTCATTCTCATCAATGCTATTCTTCAATAAAGATGCATAAAGATTTTCGGATCGGGTTGGGAAAATCCACCACAAATATGAGAAGATGGAATGAAACATTTTTTAATAAATTATGGATTACATATCCGCTTTGTATTATTCAGATCATCAAATCACAATATCAATTAAATATTAGTAATTACTAGTTTTGTTTTGCTTAAGAATCTTACAAGAAAAATATTGTTAATTGTTTTTTTTATAATTTATGTTTTTTCTATGGTGCAAATTTATTGTTGTTGGAATCCTTTACCTCTACCACCAGTCTTTGGCTTTTCAGTAGCAGTTCCTTGTGGGACAGCGGTTTCACCTTCCTTTGGAGCAGTCTTTCTGTCATTTCTGTATTGTGGTCTTTCGCCAGCCTTGAATTGCTTCTTTGGTCTATCAGTGCTGATGATTTGGATCTTCTTACCAGTCATCTTGTGGGTAGCTGGGACGACAGTGGTTGGCAAGTTCAAGTATTCTCTCAAGAAGTTGACACCATTGTTAGTCAAGAACCAATAGTAATGTCTCCAAGCATATTGTTGCTTAACCAAACCTCTAGCAGCGAAACCTTGCATGAATTTGACGACGTGCAAATTCTTAACACCTTCAATGTGTGGGTGAGACTTTAATCTCAAATCATTCTTGGCGACGACAACACCTTCCTTGAACAAGTATTGCATAACAGCAACACGGCTTTCGCTTGGAATGAACATTTTCAGAAACTGACTTTGTAGTTTTTTTTTCGAACAAATTTTATAAAATTTCTAGTTGACGACCATACATCAATGTTTACAAAATATTTTTTCCACAGCAGAACACAAAGAAATTACACCACGCGCTTCTTGTCTCTACCACAATGACAATCCACAAGGAAACATGAAGAGGACTCACGTCGTAACCTTGAGAGAGTAATGAAGAAATTCATCAACTTAACAATCAAAAAGGACAACATTAGTAGTAGCATTCTTTTGCGGAAAAGTGTTTTTCAATACCTTGACATATAATTATTCAAATCATCATACAGACATGTATTTGCACATTGCTTTTCGGAATAGAAAATAGTAATAGCAAAACAACAATATCATGATACTATTAAATAATAATTTAAATAAATAATCTAGTTTTTATTACATGGTTTTTTAATACTACATTTATGCTTCAAAAGCAATCGAAATTGACTTGATACCAGAGAAGACCCAAGTATTATTAACAGGAATACGTTGTCTGGTACACAACTTGATCAATTCTTGACCAGCAACACCTCCCATCAATGATGAAATATTATGGAGTTCACAACCACCATATCTGACCATTTCACCAACATACTTATCCATATCATGACAAGATTCGGAAACACCAAATTCAACAAGCAATTCATCAACAATCTTTCTCAATTCAACAGTGTCAGCTTCAACATTTTCATCTTCTTGACCTGGGTAGTATCCCTTCTTTTCCAAGAATCTATCAATGGCACGGAAACAGACATAGAATGGCATGGTTGAATCTTCATTCCATTGCATGTGTGATTGAATTTCTTCCTTGTTTGGTGACTTTAGTTCTTGTTCCAAAGATCTGAAATGAATTGCACGCAAGTAGTAAGCATTTTTACAGAATTCCTTAAGATCCATTTCTGGAATGGAATCTTCTGGTCTACCAACTTGTGTCAAAAATTCCTTCATGTACTTTTTAACAATTTCCATATCAGCACGAGCCTTCTTTCTGAAAAGTGATTGCATTTTAACATAACGTTCAGTATCAGATTGCATATCTGGAACACGTCCTTGAAGTGGTAATAAACCTTGTCCTTCATTTTCAACAAACTTTTTAACAGAGGCAGCCATAACCCAGAAATCATCAGATTCCTTTGTCAAATTTGTGCAAAGTTCATCATTGAAAACAGCACTAACAGAGTCTGGAATTTGTGGTTCAGAATAACAAAAGTGAGCCTTATCTAAAGCTTCTTCAAAGTTTGTCAACATGGTCCATGACTTGGAAAGACCCTTGATAGTATTTTGGAATTCTTCCTTGTCAGCTCTTGATTGTGGTAATTGGTTATTGTGAGATGATTTCCATTGTTGTAAAGCCTTGACCAACAAGATTGGGTAGGCAGTGTGAGCGAGGGCATTATTATCCATAGCATCCAATTCTTGGAGATCACAGAACTTTAAAAAGTCCAACCATGGTTTTGTGATACGTAAATCATCAATTTGAGTATCTAATTTAGCTTCAACAATAGTGTGGCTCTTTGTAAAGATACGTAAATAGCCGATCATACCATATGAACGAACAGCAACAAGGATCTTGTTCTTTTCATGACAATATTTGGCCAATTTTTCAACGTGATGCATAGGCATTTGTGAAGCAATGATATAATTGAATTGATCAAAGAATTCTGGTGATTTTTCAATGACAACAAGTGGATCTTCAGCAAGGAATTGACCTTTAACTTCTGGATTCAATTCTGCAATAATTTCAGAGACAGCTTCAGCTCTATTTCTTTCCAAATCCGATTTTCTCAAGTAAAAGTTTCTTCCCAAATCTCTTGGAGTGACCTTTTGAGCATCAACAACAGAAAAGCTTCCAAAACCTGGAAGAACAATATTCTTCAAAACTTCGCAACCAACAGCAGTGGCATTCAAAAGACAAACTTGAGCAGAATCAATTCTAGCTTGACCGTGAACTCCCCACAAACGCAATTGACGATCTTGTCTTTCCTTCCACTTTGATTCATCAGGAAATTCGACAGGTGATGGTGAAATTGGTGAGAGAATATAGGACATCTTCAAAGTAATATAACAAATAAATAATAATACAATGTACAACAATTAATGATGATGACGATTTTAAAGTATGCTTCTTCAAACTGTGAGGAAATAGCTTGTTCTCGTCGACCAATTTTTTCTTGATTATTTTTGCAAGCATGTTCAGCACGGCGAGTGTATTTTTAACTTTGATCGCGAGAGAGAAAACTTGTTCATCACCATTAGCAGAAGCTTCACTTGTGAAGTTCCATCTCACAAATGAAAAAAAGAACATGATGAACACTTGGAAAATATTTATTGTAAAGTGTTCTGAATGGAGAGGAGGTGTAATATTTTCAGAATAGCATTAAGAGAGTGATGGGTTGGAAATGGTATTGAAAGAATGAGGTGTTTGCTATTAAGTTTTGAAGGAATTTCCTGATCAAAAATCATGATGCATCTTGAGAAGAATTTTTGATTTCTCAATTTTGAAGTTGATTTTCATATTTCAAAAAAATGTCGATAATTGAAATGGAAGATTTTTCAGATCAACAAACTTTACTGGACTTGCCATCTGAAATGAGATTACAAATCTTGAAATTTATCATTCCCATAGAGCTACTCACCAACAAATCATCAAAACTTGTATTTCTTTCAGCATTTGAAGAATTACAAAATTATATTCTAATTTCAAAACGAATGTTTTATGATATTTTAGTGGGTGATAGTGAATTATATGTTCCAATCCTTGAATTATGGAGTAGAATTGCAGGAGCATGTTATTTGATATATAGAGAAAAGAAAGGAAAAGAGTTGGCAAATGATGGAAGGATGGGTAAACTAAAGGTTTCGAATTTTATTTCCATGATGAATAGTGCCTCTCTGTTCATTAGCACTTGTGAATTTTCGGATAGTTCAATGTCATGCAATTATTTAAATCTCTTAGTAGATCCAAATTACACAAACCATCGGAAATTAGAAACATTTCGAATGAGACTGGATAGAATCCATGGAGTAACACAAGACTTTAGTCATTTCAGCCACATTCTAAAATGGCTTCAAAGATTGAAAACTGATTATTCAACTGAAATTTCCAATTCACAAAACAAAAAAGTTAAATCCATTCAAGGATGAAAACATGTTGGATTTGATTCGAATAATTTTCAATAGAAAACGAATCGATATCTCATCAACAGATGGTTGGCTAAATTTGAAATATTTAGCAGCTTATATTGAACTTGTTACAGACATGGACGACGATTTATTTGATTGCTTAGTTTCGTCATGTGTTGTACCAAATTTGAAAGAAAGAAGAAATGTTTCCTCTTCAATCTTAAAGTTTTTATTTGAGAATCCATATGGAAGAGATGGCGATTTCAAATTTTGTGTTGTGCAAGCATTGTTTGCAAAGAAGGATTTTAAAAAACTTAGAGAGCTTTCGGAATTATTATTGGAAAATGAAGATGCAGAGCTAATTCTTTTGGCTGTGAAAGAAATGATATCTGCATTTTACTATTTTTATAACTATTTTGAAAATGATCCAAATTGTTTGAAGGAAATGTTGGAAATCATTTCAATTTACAGTAATTTTTCAGAGAGAAGTTTTACAATAATTGAAGTTTTATCCATTGTAAAATTATTGAACTCTCTTTCGAAAGACATCAAATCATTTATCAAGATCTATGATCATTTGTTGACAATGAATACTAAGGCAATCGGGTTGGAGATGGAAAATGAGCTTTTTCAAGATTCAATTGTTCAAACGGCTATACATTTCAATACATTCGAATCTATACTCCAAAGAAAGAATTATAAAGACTCATTCACGGAAATGTGTAAGAATGGAAGTATTTTTGACAAGATATGGAGTAAGGTTATCAAATATGACGATACAATTCAATGCTTTCGTCTAGTTTATCAACATGTAGAGGTGGAACAATTCGAATCGCGAATGAATAATATTAGAAAGGTTCTTGGACTGAAAAACTTTCAACTCTATTTGAAAAACTCTAATTTACAACAGTTAACACAAACTGTCATGAAACAATGTGCTTCATATAAGGAAACAAGTCCCATTAAGCGTAAAATTAATTTTATCAATAATTACTTGAATCAAATCACAAACCAATCAAAGTGAAAAGATATTGAACTATACATTTATCAGAAACTTATTTTTGTAAAGGTTTTAAAAGTTCACTGTAATCTGGTAATCTAACTTCTGAATTGTATGTGTTGTAACTGTAGAAATATTCCATTGGATAATTATTGAATGGATAGAATGGTAAATGTTCATATTGATAAGCACCAAAGTAACAATGTTCCATTCGTGATTGAAATAGTTCTGCATTTGGTTGAAAGCAAAACCCACTTTCTTTTACAACTAGCGTCTGCACCTCTGGATCCCTTACTATATTTTCACTGGCATATTTAAAACTCTTCCCATTTTGTTTGACGGCTGTCATGACAAGCTCAATATCATTATTAAACCTGTAAAATTCATGAAACAAAATCCCCTTTACAGAAAGAATCGTTTTGACAATTTCTCTGTCAATAACAACTCGTGGAATGGAGGTATGAATATCGGGACTATCTCGAACCGCCTTCTTTACCATCTCATACTCATATCTAAACCTCTTATCAGAATAGTATAGGGCTGTTCCAAAAGTTTCTAATGCAATATTGAGTATTTCTCTATCATCCCTCATTGATTGATCGAGAACTATAAAGTTCCTTCCATTTCTTTTGAGACAGGCTATTATAAAATCTCTGTCTGTCTTTAATTCTCCAAGTTGATTCCATACATAATCAAGTAAAAATCCATTCATTTCAGATAACTCTATTAAGAGCTCCTTTCCCATATTTTTGGCAAATACGAGTGATTTAATATTTTGCTGAGCTGCTTTCAAGATCAATTCAGGATCTTGTCTCAATTCCGAATCAGCATACTGAAGATTATTGCCATCCAATTCAACTGATTTCAATACTAAATTCTTATCCTTACGCACTCTAGACGCATACTTAAGTAGGAGAGGATTTTTCTCTACCACAGAAGTGAGGAATTGGATATCCAAATTTGTGGAACGAATAAATTGAAGAGCATTGGGGAAATACCGAAGAGTTTGCTGAATAATTTCCAAATCTTCTTGAAAATCAATCGGCAAGGAGAGGTAGCAAGTGCTCGAAGTTTCTAGAGCTTTTAGAATAATTTCTCTATCCTTCTTGAGTTCAGGAGAGGCATAGAATAATGCAAAGCCATTCTGAGATACAGCTTCCCATACAATTTCTCTATCTGCTTTCAAAGTTTCTGTGGCATGTGAAAGAGCTTTACCATCATTCTTGACAGCTAGTAAAACAAGATCTCTGTAATTGTGAAAAGTGTTTGGAATTAGAGCTAGGGATTTTCCATGTAAATGAAGAGCAAGTTCAAGAACTTCATTTTCAATTTCAAAAATGGTTAGCTTGTTCACAAGACATGAAAACATATTAGGATTGTTTCGAATAGCCATTTTCTGTAAATCTATATCATTCATCAATTCACTAGATGCAAAATCAAGTGCAAATCCATCAGTCATCACAGCTTGAGTTACAACTTGTCTATTTCCCTTCAATATATCTGAAGCATATTTCAATGAAAATCCATTCACTTTCACAGCAGTCATTACAATCTCATAATCATTCTGAAATTCAGCCGACACAAATCGAAGTGCACTTGGATTCAATTTGAGAATTTCAAGGACCATTTCTCTATTATTTGCAAATAATTGTGTGAAATTATTCCACTGATTTCCCAAACAACCAAACTTTTCAATGTAAATTTGACATAATTTTGCAATAACTTTTGGGATTTTGTAAAATTCCATTCGGAATATGATTGAGCAACTCTTCAAATGTACAACACGAATTATACTCGTTCAATCTTTCCAATATTTTCAAAACAAATGCCAAATCTCTGGTAAATTCTATCGGAATAAAATTGTATGATTTTTCTCTGTTTTCTAAATAGACAAGTCTTCCTTTTTGTTGATTGGAAAATTTATTCCTCAACAAGTTGTGCAGTTGGTTGTTGATCGTGTCAATTTTGAAATCGACGAGAATGAGAGTGGTGATATGGGAGTTCATTTTTTTTGTAAACTTTAACTTTGTGATTGTTCGAAACGAATTTCGCTTATGAAAGATTAGTCAGGTTTATTCAAAATTAAATAGGGCTTGATATGTACAATTCATCTACCTTTTAATAACGTGCACGGTACTATCCTTGCAGACACAGTAATCAGCAAATCTTCTTTCATTCTCAATTTCCTTTCCAGCAAAGATGAACCGAATCTTCTCCCATGAAACTCCCATTCTCTTTTCCAATAAGGGTTTCATATCCTTAATAAAGTATAAATAATGATATTGCTCTGAAAATCCAAAACCATCCAAAGTTTTGAAAAATAAGGAAAATCCATCAACTATATCAATGTTGAAATTTTGTTGTCTTGTTTTCCTTTCAATATTAATTCTTAATTTGATTTGATTGATGTGAATTCTCAAATTATTCAGATTAGAAATCTTACTCAATTCCAAATCCCTAATTCTCTGACATTTGACAATGGATAAACTCTCCAAACATTTCAAATTTTCACAAATTTTCTGCAATTCTTCCTCTTTCAAAAAGTACCATCCATCGAGATTTAACTTTTTCACATTTGCAAAACCATTAGCCAATCCATTCAAGATAATTTGAAACGCACTTTCCTGTCTCATCATTATCTTACCCATTTGAGTTGCATTAAATTGGATTAACTCCTTTCTCTTTGGAAAATCTCTTTTGAAAATTTTCCTCATAAGTTATTCTCTTTACTCCAGGTAGTATAATTGACTTGGAAGCCGTCTCAATTTCTTTCAAATCCATACGAAACCATGAAGATAAATCCATCTCCATTATAGCAAATTTACAAGCATAATAAATAGAGGATGATTTCTCTCTCAGTTGATTCCATTCCAAAACTTGTTTTCTGAATTCTTGATCGGAATTATTCTCACTATTCGGAATATACGGTGAAGGTAGATAGGAAAGAATGTGGACCCAAATTTCTGCAGGAAACAATCCACCACTTTCACACAAGGATGATGGTGAAGGAGCAACAGTGCATTGATCTTGTTTCATTTTTTTTTGTAAAGTATTTGATTGGGTTGGTTGTTTTTGAGGGATGATTTTTAAAGAGGGATAGATGTAAATTATGTATTAATACCTGTTGGTTCAACTTTCTAGTATAAATCTGTGAGAAGTGTGAACTTGCAAGAAAGAAATTGTGAGTAACAATTCATGAAATTCCAATCACAAGATTCTAATACCATTCCATGTATCACTCCATAAACCTTTTCCATTTCAAAATACTAAACATTATCAGAATCAATGGTAATCAAAAAATTGATTTTCACACCAAAAACACATTTGACTTTAAATTGTTTCAAATAAATATTGACACAATATAAAGTGCAAATTCGAGTTGCATTACAAAAAAAAATGGTCCAACTCATTCTCTATGATTTTCTCCCATCACCGCCCACCACCACCACCACCACAACCCGATCAAATAAAAATGATCATGATGAGTATACACATTCTGATTCAGATAATCTTTCCAATCTATTGAAAAACATTTGGAAACAAGCATCGGAACGATTTTTGCATGATTATGAGAAATCGTATGAATTTTTAAAATCATTCCGAAAGCATACTTATAAGAAATTACCTCGATACTATACGATTCCGAAAGAATATGTGGATAATGAGTTGGTGGCTTGGCACATGTTGAGGTTTATTAGGTGTGAAAACACTTTTTTGCAAATTTCTGAACGATTGAGAAATAGTATTCGAATTGCTATTAGAGCAGTTTCACAATTTGGTTACTTTTATGTACATTTGAGTGATGAATTGAAGAAGGATAAGAGGGTGTGTCTTAAAGCTGTGACATCTTGTCCGAGATGTTATAAATTGTTTTCAGATGAAATGAAGAATGATCGAGATATTGTAATGAGAGTACTGAAGAGTGTTAGTTCATATTTCCATAATTTTGAATTCAAACTTCCAGAAATATATTTAAATGATAAGCAAGTTGTGGAATTGTATGTGAAAATTCGAGAATTGAAAATATTATATTACAAACTTCCTAAGGAAATGCTCGATGATAGACAGATTGCTCTATCAGCATGTATTTCCTCTCCAAATAATGTTGGATATATTAGTGAGAGATTGCAACATGATTTCTCATTTGTTAAGGAAGTTGTTAGGAGAAACTACTTTGCCTATTCTGAACTTCCAAAAGTAATGAGAGAAAATAGAGAATTGGTATATCAATTAGTTGGAATGAATTTGCCACTATTCCTTGTTCCTTATGAGTTTAGAAAGGATGAAGAAATTGTTAAGAGATGCATTCAAAAAACAAAATATATCTATGAGATTCCTTTTTGGTTTAGAGAAGATGAGGAAATTTTCAAAATGTCACTCGTTAAGGCATACCAAGTGTGTAAGGAAAATCTGTCATTGGAAAAATTTATAGCTCCTAAATATTTGAATAATAGAAAGTACATGAATGACCTATTGAAGGAAATACCAGAACTTGCAACAAACAAGTATTACAACTTTATTTATTGAAATAATTGGATATTTTCATGTAAAATAGTTTAATGAAGAAGAAATGAACATTTTCTATTAGTCAATATTGAGAAATTACCACTCATTACCTCACTTGATGGTTCCCTTTTGCTTAATCATTGTCATTACAAATTCTCTATCTGATTTCAGTCTATCAGATGCATTCTCAAGATCATAATTTTTCAATACAATTTCTTTGTCATCTCTAAATTCAGGTAAAAGATATTGCAAAACATGACCATTAGAACAAACAGCAGCCATTACAACTTGTCTATCAGATTGCAATTCTTTAGAGGCATATCGTCGAGCACATCCATTTTGCTTAACTGCTTCCATTACAACTTCAATTCTGAACTAGCACCACCTAATCCAACTCCCCACTTTTGAACAAATGCCAACATGACTTCTCTATCATTTCTAAAGTCATACATAAAAGAAGGCAATCCAGAGTACAAGACAGCATAATAGGACTTTCTAATAAAGTGTAAAATAATTTCTCTATTTTTTAACCAGATAAATACCTACAAGGTGTTTTACAAATTCTCTATCTTGCCACAATTTCAATAATTCAACGACACGGTTTGAAATTTTGGTTGAGGAATGAATTTTGTATTGAGCTTGTTTTGCAATCAAATGGGAATATAGGTAGAGGTTTTACTTTTGTTCATTGAATAATTGTTTGGCAGTTTCATAAATAGCCAAACCAATTTTTTGATAATCTTCAATAGAGTTGTAAATTTGAGCTGAAACTCTAATGTATGCCTTCTTGTCAAATTCAAAAAAGATTGGGAAAGAGTTGAACTTTTCATAAATTATTTGATTCACCTTGTACCAAAAGTCCATATTATCAGTGAAAGGGAGTCTAATATTAGCCATAGAACCTGACCAGAGTCGTTTATCTTCTGTCAATAAATGAGTTCCAAATATTTGGGAATATAATTCACCAATCTTAATTGCAAGTTCAGTATTATATTTCATAATATTTTCCTCACCTCCACAAACTCTTTGTCTCCATTCTATTGCATCCTTGATAGACAAATAGGCAGAGTAATCTCTGGTTCCAACATAGGAAAATTCCTTTTGATAACTTTGAACTGGAGTAGTGGTATAACCATAACTAATAACTGTTGGATGGATTTGGAATCTTGCATTTGGATTCTTCCACAAAACGCATGATGATTTTGGAGTGAACAACCACTTGTGGGCATTACTGAGATAATAATCAGATCCAATTTCAGTAACATTGAATGGAATACTACCAATGGCATGAGCACCATCAATAACACTTGGAACGTTCAATGTATTGAAAAATTGAACGAGTTCTTTGACTGGTAAAACAATTGCTGGTGTAGAAACAATATGACTAAAGACAGCAATGGTGGTGTTTTCCTTATTGGCAAGAGCAACCTCTTTAACCTTGGATAAAATTGATTCCACCGATTGTAAATCTTCCAAAGTAAACGTTACTTCAACAAGCTCAGTACCATAGAAATCATGAATGTAGGCAATAGTCTTTTGAACCATACCATATGCAGTATTAAAGTAGATAATCTTGTCCTTCTTTGTGAATGGAATGGATCTGAAAATTGCATTGATGGCCACACTTGCATTCTCCACAATGACAACATCATCATCATTTTGAGAACCAATAATCTTGGAGAGCATCTTTCTGGATTGATCATATTTAGGAAGGACTGTCATTCTAAACCAAGGGTCTGGTTTTTCTTCCATATCAACTGGTAATATAATTGATAATAATATTAATATATTATTAAAATTTAAATTTTGTAATATAAAAACATACTTTGATATTTAAAGTTTGCAGCCATCACATCTTTAGGAGTACTTCCAAATGATCCGTGATTTAAATTTGTATAATTCGCATCCAAATAGAATTGATTTTTCATTAATTTTGATCCGAAAGGAATCAATGATGATGATTGTTCTTCTCCACCTTGACCAATAATTGCAGCGTTATTTTCCATTGTCTTCTTGATGAGAATAGTCGTATTACTACTTCTTGGGAGTGATGATAATGAAGGTATTCTTTTCGTTTGTGTAACCTCTATTACCAGTACTAGAAGACTCAAAATTAAAAGTGTTGCAATCGAGTTTTGATTTTGCATTTGTTTTGTATCAGAAGAAGCTCCAGCCAGCTAGTTTTAATGGTCTTGTCGTTGAATTCAAAAACGACTTTTAAGGTGCGTTTTATTGACTGTAAGCTTGAGCTATTCAAAAGGGCACCCTTAGAAGTTTCTTTTATTTTTTGTAAAGTTATTCTTAATAATTAATTTAATATGAATTGAACCTTTAATTGATTCGGAATAAGTTTGTTACAAGGTAAACAACCATTCTTCAATCACAAGTTTCACACAGTTAACTGTGATAATTTAAGGGCAGCCTTCACGACCAATCAGTAATCAGGATTTCTACTGATTCCACCAATTATTTATTATTTCTTTTAACCAATATTTAGAGGTAATTAAATGAATATCTTTGTGTTTTGTTTGATAATTTTAAAACTTGAGAAACTCTGATCGTACCTCAATTCAGTTGCCCAATATCAATTTTTTCAAATAATTTCAACAGACATTAGATTTGGCGCCATTCAAAACTGCCGCCAATTAAAAAACCGTTTACAGAATTAAAAAAAAATGTACAACAGTGCTGCTCAAAGCACTCCAGTGATGAATCCAACAACATCATCGAGAGACATGGCTTGTCAGGAATGTCTTTCTAAAGTTCCCGGCCTTGATTATGCAGTTCCACCAAGTCAATCCATCATGTTAAGGAATTATACTCCACCCGAATATCCAACTGTAGTATATGTCCCTCAAAGACAATGCCAACCTCAATATAACAATTTAGTTCTTCCTCAGTATCAGTGTGCCGATCAACCATCCTCCTCTAGGTTTGCAACAAGTGTTGCTACAAATATTCGATCATCAACTCCTGTCTATGGAAGAACAACTCTAGTAGCCCAACAAGAGTCTGCCCAAACAACTAATATAGGATGTGGTTGTGGAGGTGGAGCTCAAGTAATCTCCACTAATCAACAGCAAATACCTTCAATGAATACAAGCAATAATCAAATCCCAATTCAACCAGGAACATTCAATTATCCATCTAAGAAACCTTGTTGCTATCCTGAGAGTGGATCAACCAATAATCCAAAATATTTACAAGAGGTTGAAGGTCAAGAATTTCTCGCTCATTTCCCTAACAAGAAGTACAATAGGAAAAAGATCAATTTGGAAGCTGTTAAGGAACAAAGACCTAAAATGAATAACAAATGGGTAACTGAACATCGAGAAAACTTTGGATTCTTCTCATGTTCTGCTCCTGTCGGAAATGAAGCATACTCTTCAAGTGATTCAATAAGTGCAACCAATAGTCAACAACAATTGTTCATTTCTCCAACAATCGGTCAACCTCAAATGAATCCCACCCCAACTGGTTTAACTCAAATCTACAATCCAGACTATTATCAACAAGGCTTGCCAATCACTCCAGTTCCTACTCCAGCAACTGGAGGAAATGAAGATTATCAAGATGTTTTCGAACCAATGGAAGAACCAAGTGCCACTCCAGCAGCTGTGTCTCGACCAAAGTCACCCTCTCTAAAGAAGAGAACTGGGGCAGGAACACCAGCAACCAAAAAGGAACCACCTAAGAAGGAGGTCACTAAAGTTGAACCACCTCCAATGAGCGAGACTATCGATAGAAGATCAAGAGGGGCCTACTCGGAAGATAATGGTTCAACTAAGGATAAGAAAAAAACTAAACAGGAAATGTATGCTGAAGTTTACAATAGAACTCTTTCAAAAATTCAACAAAAAGAAACCAATCAAAAGAAGAAACTTATTGACAGACAAGATCAGTACTACGGACGTTTGGCTGCTGAGGAAAAGCAAACTATTGAGAGGAACCAAAGAGAATTACAAACCTATATGAACAGAGGTGAAAAACCTCCATTCTTCCCTTATGGACATAGCAATGTAACTCCTGTGAGTGATAAGACCTATATGAATACATTCAACGTCGCTCCAAGAGATCCAAATCAAATTGTTAAAGATGTGGTTGCAAGAAGGGAAAAAACAGCAGAATATGATGGTTGGAAGAAACTTTTGGATGAGCAAGATTTCAAACCTTGGAAACCAAAATCATACTACTGGAAATCTTTCGACAGATTTGAAAAGTATAATAATGAATCAAGGAGAGAAAGAAACTCTTATGGAGGTGGAAACAATGACTTGGACGATAAAATTGATTCTGCCCCAGTGACAACAACCAAAAAGAGATCATCATCCAGACCTAGGAAAGAGGAGAAGAAGACTGCCTTCGTTGAACCAATTGAGGAATCAGATGAAGAAAAGGAAAATATCAGACAATACAATGAGCAACCACAAATGAATTCTGAAATGAAGGCCAGAAACTCTGACTATTACTCCCCTGAAGAATACCAAATGATGTACGGTAATCAACAAATGCAATCTCAATATCCAAGCAATAATTATCCTCCACAACAAATGTATCAAGGAGGAAATTATCCTGTTGGCCCTAATACTATCCCACAACAACAACAGTATGTGTATGCTGATCAAGTTCAAGCAAACAATACTTCAACGATGGTTGGTCAATCCTCAATGATAAATTGTGAAGCAAAACGAGCAAATTATGAGGGTCCACTTTGCAGTGATCTAAAAGGATTACAATTTGCCAAGTTTATTCCTAAGGACTATTCCGATTTTAATCCAAAGAATTACAAAGCACTTCCTATTCATTATTTAAATTACATTAGACCTGCAGGAAAAGTGACACCTTCCAATGATGCTATTTCAGAGTGTTTCCGATTCTATGATTAAGTTTTGATACCAAAATTTTCGTATAATTTAACTCTGATGTAACCAAATTCAGGATCTAAGGCAATGTACAGAAGAAAGAGCAATAACGTGATAAAAGAAATATCCAATAAAAAACCTAGTCTACAACCACAACAGAATGAATTTTCCTTCTTCCATTTTTTCTTTAGTTTGAGGTGGCTGTGAATAACCTCCATACTTTCTTCAGCATCAATTTTACTATTTTTTTGCATTTTGTATTTTCCCTCAAAATACAAAATAGCTAATAACGGATCCCGAGTTCATATTTATTTATTTATAATATTAAGCAACCGATATTCCAACTTGTTTAGAGAGCTAGTTGCTTTTAATTGAGCTAAGGGACTTTTCAGTTAACATTACTTTTTGGGTTTTAATTTAATTGTCCAGGTTGACATATTTTACAGAAATTATAGATGACGCACTATTTATTTAATTTATTGAGTTCTGTTAATTGAGGGAATATGTCCACATACATTTCTGCTTTGAAAATTTGATTGATAACAGAGAATGTACTATCACTCTCTACAAGATTTTCATCCTCTTTCTGAGATATTTCTTTAGATTGTATTTTGGAATGTTGTTTGAGTTTTTCAATTTTTGCCCTTCTGCTTTCCAGTTTGGCTACAATATTTTGATTGATAGGTTGGCTGTAGAGTGATTCCGAAATCTCTGGTAATTGTTGACAATCTTGTTTGGTGTCCTTGTAGAAAATTTGACTCAGGCAAAATCTTGATTTTAAGGAATACCAAAAACTTATCCATTTTTCAATCTTTACAATATAAAATTCTCTCTTGAGTTCAATGTACAGTTTGGTGAGATTTTTCATGGGAGTATTATTTTCCGTATAGATACTATTACACTTTACAAGTTCCTTTTCAACGAGAGCTAATTTGTTAAGGAGAATGATTCTTTCAGCATCACATTCATTTATCAGTAGATCCATCAACTTTTGATCGTTTGAGCTCGTGTCACAACTCTGACATACCACTTTGAACTCTTTAAATCTGCTTGATAATTGGAAATAAAAAGATGTAATTTCACTTCTGAATTTTTCTATAAATTCCATTGTTAAATTTGGATTCTTGTCCTCCAACATGTCGTAGAGAGTAGAAAATCCTTCCACTATTTGTTTGGAATCATCCTTAGAAATAGATCCTGTATCAGAATTGGATTCTACAGAATTGGAATATTGAAGAGACTCGGCCAAGTTATCAGACTTGGATTCTGCCAATGGAATCGATGAAGATTTTCTAGCCATTGAGACAGCATTCATTTGATGATTCAATGTAGGCAGTCCTTGATATTTTTTGATTAATTTTGACAGACTTCTATCGACAAGGTATTGGAATGCTCCATTGATGGATTGGAAATTTCTAATCGATGTTGAAAACCATGCCAATAATCCAGAATCTCTAACATAATTATCTAGAGAGTTTGGAGTGATAATGTGTGGCTTTAACTCGGCTTTATGGGCAAGTAAAACTGTACTTGTAAGGAGATGTGATGGAATTTTGGATCGCCACTGATCAATAGCACTAATTGACTTGATATTAGTCACATCAAAAGCTAACACTATTCCATGTGCATTTTCAAAATATTTTGACACTGATTGTTTCATAAATTCACTATGTGGAACATCTAGTATCGTCAATCTCACTGGAAATTGAATTGATTTACATTTTGTTATCGAAGCATCTCTATATTTCTTAACAGGCTTACTATACATGTCGACTCCTATTGTTGGTATGTACAATCCACTCTTTGTTACTGATAAAGCAGGATGATCCTTATTTTTCAAATATCTATTAATTATTGCCGATTTTCCAACAGATGGTCCTCCCAAAACAACAATTTTCAAATAATATTCCGGTTGAACATTAGGTACTTTGGAGAGTGTATTAATTTGTGAAGTATTAAAAATTATATTTTGAATTTCCTGTTCAATATTATTCCTTTCCAATGAAGAGGATGATGAAGAATTAATTTTAGTATTACTAGTCGATCTAGAGAAATTACTTCTTGGAGTTTTACTTCCATTGTTATTATTATTTGATGATGGAGATGATGAAGAATCACCAACGGCAACACCAATTGATGATGTTGTTACTATAGAAAGGGAACCTTGCTGTTTGTTGGATGAAACTCTTTCATTACTAGTACCCGATGCTGAAGGTGATGAAGAAGAACCATTTGATGATGAAGATTTACCACCACCAAGAAACGAGGCAAGTTTTCTCATTTTTCTTCTCCTATTAATTGTCGGAGTTTTTTTAAAATCGAATTTAATGAGAAGAACAGCAATTTAATTGTGAATAGATAGATATTACAATTTTCAATACTCAATCAATAAAATTGTAAACAAATGAATATAATTCTTTAATACTACTACTTCAAAGTTCATCCCAGACAGAATGAACTCTGATATCAAAGTTGTCTATTTTTCCAGCTAATGCTCTCATCACAAGTTCAAACAATAACATTTAAAAAAAATGCTCCCAATTCCAAGAAGAGAGAACAACGATTCGACTATTGTATTGATTAACGAAGAAGAACAAGGTTCATCATCAGCATCGGTCAATAGCAAGTATAGAGTGCAGGATATTGCACCTGATTATTATGATGACTATAAATTTGGAGATGAAGAGGATGAAGAAGAGGAAGAAGATGTAGGACCTTCCGAACAATGGGCTTCTTCTGTGATTTCGTATAGCTCTTACTGGGGGTAAGTTGTTTTTCAGTTTGTATGGAATGTTGACATTGTTATTTTCTAAAGAGGTGATCCAACATCTTATCATGCCAATAATGTGGTAGGTCCTTGTAGGGTCTATCCAACCTATTCATCAAGTGGCTCTGCTTGGTGTCCAAATAATACTACAGGACCTGAATTTATTGAATTGGGTTACGATCATGTCATGTCTGTTTATAGTGTTCATATTTATGAATCATCAACACCTGGATCTGTTACTAAAATTAGTGGAAGACGTGAAAATTCAAATGAATGGGTTACTTTGTGGTCTGGTCCTGCAACAAATGGTATCCATGTAGCAAGAGATTTTGCTCCAGAATTGACTGTAAAAGGATTTAAAACTAATGCTATTAGAATTGATTTAAGTATGAATGGAGGTTGGACAGAAATTGATGCAGTCAAAATTTGTGGAAAAGGAGGTGTTCAAAAGGAAGAAGTTCCAGAAATTAGCAAATTTTATAGAAGTCTTTTGAAGAGTGGTTTGCATGCTGATTTAACTGTCGTTCATAAGAGTTCTGGAAGAGAAATCAAATGTTTGAAAGCTATCCTTGCTGCTAGATCTCCATTTTTAAAGACTCTTATCGATAGCTCTGTAAATAATACCATTGTAGTTGACACATTTGCTCCATTCCCTGCCCTAGTTGCAGCATTGGATTATATGTACAGTAGTTTTACAAATGTAAGACCATGTCATTTGATTGAAACATTTGTTTTGGCAGATCAATTAATGTTACCAGGATTATCTGAATATTGTGTCAATCTCTTCAGAAAGGTTGTTTCATCAGAAAACATTTTTGTATTCTACAGTGCTGCTAAGGAACATCAATCTCACACTTTCTTACGTTCAACCCTGGATTACATGGCCAGCAATTACAAAAGTGTCTTCCTCCAACCAGATCTTCACATTGTGGAAAAATCTGATTTGTTAACCATTTGTAAATCATTAGCAACCAAGAATAATTAAAAATCATCACCAACAACACATTGTAAATTATTAAATTATTGAATAGTATACTTTCATTTGACAATTTACTCATATTTGATTTTATTGTAATCAATTCCTAATTCTCTGTTGGATAACCTGTGTCCGACTTCATTACCCGCCATTTTCGATATTGAGCCAAATTCTAATATCTTTTGTTAGCCAAAAAATGACACAACAAAAAAACAACACCAAACACAGCTACAACAACAAAAACATGTGATACCTCCAATATTTGAATTTATTACACGGCATCCGAAGGCATTGTTATTGCTATTGACGATCGTTGAGATGCTCATGTTTTTTGATAGAGGAGCTATTGCTGCTGTTCTACCATATGTAAAGGCTCACTGGGATTTAAGTGGAAAACAAGAGGGAATAATCGGAAGTTCTTTTATTATTACATTTTCAATAGGAAGTGCTGTATTTGCATATATGGCTAATTTTGTGCGAGTGAATTTGATCATGTCTTTTGGATTATTTGTTTGGACAGCAAGGTATGATAATGATAACAATTTTTATAATTCTAATTATTAATATTATTATTTTGATATGATAGTGCTGTATTATCTGGTTTGTGGGGAACATTGTCGCATGGTGTTGATCAACAGTGGGGTTATTATTTATTGGTAATTTCGAGAGCTTTGATAGGAATTGGTGAAGCTAGTTTCGTCCCACTTTCGGTGACTTTAATTGATGATCTAGCTTCAAAAGAATACAAAACAACATATATGTAAGTTAATATTGATTAGTTACTGTTTGTAACAAGGTAATTTTAGGAGTTTCTTCATGGTTGGAGTACCCTTTGGTGTAGCAATGGGTTATACGATATCTCCTCTTCTTGTTGGATTGGGAAGTTGGACTTACTGTTTCTATATTGAAGCAATATTTGGATTATTCTTTGGATGTTTATTTTTGTTTGTTCCTTTAAATTCAGTGAAAACAAACAGAGCAAAGAAAACTGATGAAGTAACAGATCCTGCAAATACGAGTGTGGAAATTGAACACAAGGATAATGTTGCATCTTCTGATGAAATTTCCATTGTAAATATTTCCAAATTAGAAACACATCAAGATAAGCATGAACATTTATCAGATGATGATGACGATGGTGAGGATTCACAAGATGCTCTTTTGGAGAAAAAGGACGACTATCAAGATGATGAAATAATGATTAACGAACCAATGGATGAGGAGGAACTTAGCTTTACCAATGAACAAAGAAAGCAACAAGCTGAAAAGAAAAAGTATCAAATATTCTCCTTCTGGTCCGCTTTGAAATATTTATTCTGCAATCCAGTGTATTTCTTTGCAACTTTGGGCAGTTGTGGATATAGTTTTTGCATTGGTGCTATTCAATTCTATGCACCATCATATGTTCTTCACAAAATGAAACAAGCTGACAGTTCAATTACAGTGAATTCTGACTCTGCCAACATTGCAACAGTTGGATTTTCAATTGCCATGCTCATTGCATCAATTATTGGAACCATGTCTGGTGGTTTTATTGTGGATAGATTTGGAGGGTCAAACGGTATGAAGGGAGCAGCTCGTGGATTGTTATTCTGCACAATCTTTCTCATTTTAGGATTCCCGTGGGTCATTCCATGCTTCATATTCTCTGTCAATATTTATTTATTGTTAGTTTTATTTGGAATTTCATGTTGCTTCCTCTTTTGCTCAACTAGTCCATTCCAATGCAGTGTTGTAAATAGTGTTGAACATAAGAATTTGAGAAATTATGCTGTGAGTTGGCAAATTCTATTGTACCATCTTTTGGGTGATTTCCCTTCACCATTCCTTTTTGGCTTACTTCAAGACAGTTTCTCTATTGATATTGCTATGGGCTTTGTGTGGATGATTTTAGTTCCTTCTGCTTTTATATTCATGTTGGGATACTTTATTTCACAATACTGGTTACAGAGTCGTCATGAAGCACTCAAGAAACACTATACCAATCATCCAGTTGTGAAACAGGATGTCAGTTTAGAAGAAATTAGTTCGCCTGGTTCTGAATCTGAAGATATTAAATCCAAATAATTAAATTTTCTTGATCGTTAATAATGGTAATTTTGTTTTCAAGATTTCATGGTACTTGGATCTTGAGTTCTGGTCTACTGTAAGCTCTTTCAAATTTGTCAAGTCACCAATAATCTCTGCACCTTCATCTCCAATCTCATTCCCGCTTATAGAACTTAATCCTTCTGCAGATATGAGATTATAATCAATGTTAAGCTCAGTTAATTGATTGAGTCCACAAATTGACTCTATTCCTTCATCACTAATTTGATTTTCGTCAATTTCAAGTGTCTTCAATTGCTTCAATTTACTGATTGGCTCTACCCCTTCATCAGTTAATTCATTGTCTGAAATATCAAGTACGGTTAAGTTATTTAGCTCACTAATTAACTTGGCTCCTTCATCTAGAAGAGAGTTGCCAGATATAAATAGTGTTGTTAATTGTTTCAATTTGATAATATCTTTGGCTCCTTCACTATCAATTTGATTAGAATTAATGCAAAGATCAGTCAAATTCAGTAATCTACTGATATAAGCAGCTCCTTCGTTGAGCAGATTATTGTTTTCAATACTCAGTGACGTTAATTGGGACAATTCACTGACTGCTTTTGCCCCCAATACACCAAGATCGTTTGAACCAATATCAAGTTCTGTTAATTGATTCAATTGATCGGTAATATATTTAATTCCTTGTGCATCGATCATATTTTCCTCCATTTTTAGGGATACTAGTTTGTTCAATTTACTAATGTGCTTGGCTCCTTTAGTAGTAATATCATTTGAAGAAACGTCAAGTTTAGTTAATTGTTTCATTCCACTAATATCTTCAGCGCCATTGTCACCAATTTCATTTGAGTTGATATAAAGCTCAGATAAATTCATCAAGTTTCCCAGATATTTTATGCCCTTACTAAATCTGCTCCTATCACCAGCAGCATTGGCTATGTCGAGTGTTTTCAATTGACTCAGCTCACCAATTTTCTTAAGAAAACTATCTTTAAATATAGACACTCCCTTCATATCAAGCCAAGTTACTTGCTTCATTTCTTTGATTATATCCAACACATCCATAACACCACTAGTGGTCCTAAATTTGATATTTGTTAAATTGTTCAACTTTACCACTTGGTCACAAAAATTGTTCTTGCAAACATCTACTCGCAATTGTGAAAAACATGGAGAAAAAATACCTCCCATCAAGTTGGTAGAACGCCAACTTGTAACTTTGAATTTAAATTTACAGGATTTTTGAATTATTTTCAACCATTGTTTGGAGATTAAGGAACAATTTAGAATAATTGAATTCTGATCTAAATAAGAAAGAATTTCAAAAAGTAAATCATCAGAAAATATTTCTTTCCCATATGAGGATGTCAATTCTGTTATAAATTTGGAATAATCATGGTCAAGTGTTGGAAGATTAGTTTCTCGTTGGCTCTTTTCAAATATGATAATGTAAACCCTATCGTCAAGATGATCGCCTTTCATTCTATACATTCCATATTTGATACTCTCTACAGAAACATCGTTGGGAATGGCTTCGGAATGCAACAAAGTTTCTTCTGGTTTCGTATTTTCCTTCAATCCTTTAGTAATAATTGATGGAAATGTTTCTAATATATTTTCAATAGGAATAGCATCTTGTATTGTAACTTTGATGAAGAATGACTTGCTGGAAACATGTGAATATTCTAATTTGGTACAAGGAGATGGATATTTAAATACAAAGAAACGAAACTGATCGGATTCATAAATAAATGGACGAAGTAAACTGGAAGATGAACTGAAAAGATTTCCAACATGATCGGAGGAAGGCTCGTTATTTTTCTGCTTCTTTTCTTTCACAAATAAATCTGAGTCTTCATTCTTTCTCTTTTTCTGTTCTACCATTTTTAAATTGTAATAAATATTAAAATATTTCTAATTCTCTTGAATATCAAAAGGTATTGTATCATAATCAATATCTGCCACACATTCACCCATTAATGGTTCGTCATAAAGATACAATTTCGAGGTAAATGCAACACAATTTCCACGACCAACCCTCTCACGAAATGATTCCAAAGAGTCAACCAAATAGACATGCTTTTCACAAACATTACAAAACTTGACATCTATTTCATCACCACTCAAATTGAAATAACTTAATGGACACTTATAGACCCATTCACAATTTTCAATAATTTCCTCATCCATATTTGAATTTACAAATGATGGAATATCCAATTTAAAGTCGTACCCGTTACCCTTGATATGTTTCATTCGTTTCCTCAAAAATTGCATCCAATTTTTAACATTGAGGTTATGATCCACTCTTGGAAAATACGAAACTGCCAACAATTTCCAAACAAGCACTTGAACTCTATTAAAATCCAAATCCTTCTCATCTCTCATCTCATTCTTCTCCTTTCCAATATCTCTCTTATCAACATTAAAGAAAACCTTAAACGTTCTACTATTACACCTTGCAAAATTATACAATTGTTTCAAATCCATAAATTGAGCAATCAAAATAACCAACTCAATCGGCAAATCAATATTTAATTTCTTCATATAAATCCCGCAATAATAATCCTCCTCCACCATCTCATTCTTCTGACCATTCTCATCCTTATCATTGTGATCATCATCATCATTATTTAATTTACTATCATCATTTGTTTCCTTAATTTCCGTCGTTGCATGCCGATTATCGTTTGCCGCATTTTTTGTATTTTTTATTGTTGGTGATTGCGCAGAAGGTGTTGTTCTGATTTCTACAGAGGCTAAATCATCAGTGGCATCGGCGAGGTTACTTTTCGATTGGTGCTGTTTGAAGAAGGCTGTCAATTTGTTCATTTTTTTTCAGTAAGTTCATTTGAAGGGGAAGAGAGAACTAGGAGTTTCAGATAGAGTAGCGGAAAGTTTGAAACTGTAGATTGTATTAAAAGAGTATGAAGCAATACAGAACTTGTTAGAACTGTAGTGATTCATTGTATTTTACAAAGTTTCGAATAGATAATGAATGGCCAAGATGGTTCATCTTGTGAAATGTCTTTTGACAAGAAAGTACACACAACAACAAAATAGCAAGCCGAACATTTTACTTCACTTTTCAACACTTTAAAAAAACATCATTTTACATAAAAGGTGTTTTGCCGAACTAGTAAGAATTGACAGGTTCTTTCTTTTTCGCAAACACTTGTCAGCACGTTATTTAAACAGAAAAATCAACACGTTTTTTCACAATCTTAATCATCCTGTCAACTTGATATTAATAATTTTAAAAAAAGATCCTTTAAATCTATCATTGTGTTAATCTTTTAACATTATCATTAATTGCTGTGCAATTCATCATCATTTTGACAATAACTGTCAATAATCATAATATTAAATACAAAATTAAAGTAATCTTTCAAAGAGTTTTGACATCAACATTAAATACTCATCTCTCATATTCTTCAATAGTACATAATCAGCCCGCGATATTCAAAGTGTTCTCATAAGGTAAAACAACAATATTAAATTCTTGACGTTTAATATAAAAGTTCCCTCCAAATATACCGTATTGTCAAACTTCATCACTATTTTTCAAGTTTGTATTGCAGTGTTGACATTTCTACAACAACTCCAACTTTTGAAACTCTTCATTTAATCAGTTAATAGCACGATTCGAGTTTTCATCAAGAGAAAAAAAAACAACAAAAAGAGCGGCAAACAAACTCGTCTCTCATCAATACAACATTAGCTGTTGAACAAAGAAGAAGTAGGAACAAAAACATCAACAGAGAGACAACAACAACAACACCTCTGTAGAGCACTACAATAATTGTTTGGCCATTCAACTTTGTCGTGCATTTCATTGTTGCTATATTAAGATTTGAGCAATATTATCGGCACATTCAAAAGATCTCTCTCTCAGATTTGGTTTACTTTGCTGCGTGTGCTTGTTCTTTACAGTAATAACGAGGATACTCAATTCTCTCATCAAGTTAACAACTTCTGAAGACATTAATTTAAAAACATCTCATCAAAGCAGGTTCATCATCAATAGACATCAATTTCTCATATTATCAATTTCATTGTATAATCCGCTGATTGTTTGACCTGATATTTTAAATTATACGTGAATACAATCAAAAAAACAACACAACAAGAAACTTTACAATAGTTTTCAATTTTTCAAATAATAATTTCAATCATCAACAGAAGAAACCTATCAAGACAACAACAACAACAACATGGTAGTACTCGCTAATTTATTTTCATGCTTCTTTACAGCACCATCTCCCAATACATTAACCGTCAAGAAACATCCTGCTATTCGGTTACAGGCAACTACAACACAGACCAATAACTCTTCGAATAGTCAATTAGAATTGAGTGCCTCTACAAGAACAAAATTAGAGAATGCTTCAAATAATAACTCATCTGGTGACAATGAGTCCTTTGTTAAAAAGTCTAGATCTTGGAGAATTTCCTTCCGAAGAAAGTCTTCAAGTCCAAACTCTGATTCTACAGCTCTCCCACCACTTGTTAACGAATCCAAGTCAAAGAATGGTCCACTCACTTTGCAATCCTCGAAAAGTACTAGAACTCTCCCACTCCAAACTCAATCCTCCACCATTACTAATACTTCATCCACTGCCCGAAACTATGCAAGAACAAGAAGTAGAGCCAAGAGTAAATCAACTGGCAGTTTAATGACAACAACTCAAGGTTATACACCGAATGTTATTCCTGCAGTACTGAAACCAGGACAATCAAATCAAAACCAAACTCAGGGAGCAATAAGGAAAAATCCAAAAGAAAACTTTAAACCTGTTGGTTCATGTTCTGAGAAATCAGCCAAACTAAACCTTTCCCTTTCAACAATGCCTCCATTGGCTGTTAATACGAGTAGAAGGAGACCTCCAGGACAAACATCATTTGCATTCCAAGAACATACATCGCAACACTTTTCCAAAAAGCATGTCAATGAAACATTTATGGATTGGATTCAAACCACTGATTACTATGCCAAGATTGAGCAAAACCTAAAGAAAAAATAGAGATTGTAAATACCACCATAACAGCTACTAGGTCATTGTATTTTTAATGTACCATACAAAATAATTCTAACGTTAATGTATATAAGAAAATCACCAGTTTAACTTTTAAAAACACAAATGTACAACAATAAGGTCAACTCAATAACAATAACAATGGATTCAATAACAAATTTAGCGAGATAGAATAATAGTATCAGAACATCCAATTTATCCATTTTCGAATCGAGTCTAGTGCACATTTCCAAATAAATTTTGAATTGTGCCATTAAGGTTCTTGTACTCAACTCACAAAAAGTCAAAATCTGATAGGCAATGTCTATGATTTGAAGCTTTGAAATATTGGTCGTTATACTCTTTATAGTACTGATACAGAGTGTTAGCTCCATAAATATTACTAACAAATGGTTCTCAAATACAGAGTGCGAATCAAAAATTCTAAGGGAAACTAAGGGTGATGTCTGCTCCTTCTCAAAAATTATGTCTCTTATTTGAATGTGCTCCGTACACAAAGTTCTTCTGTCACAATGAACAATAGCCTATTGAGTTGGGATCAAGATGCATTTTGTAGACCTTGGAAGGAATTTTTGAATAAGGCGAAGAATATTAGATATTTATCAAATAAATTCAACTTTGTTTCAACAGAAACCCAGAAGTAAATCCAATGATTGTTTGCAAGTCCAATCTTCTAGCTCTGCTGACAAATTCTCAATGACAAAGATTGTGCATTTTTGCTGCGAACCAATCACCACTTTACAACAGTTTTACCGCACTCTTTCCAAGATAAAAGTTGTCTGTCCTTTCACAACCAACAAAAAACTCCACATTCAACCTTCATCAGCACTAGCTGCAACACTCCATAGAGACACAAATTGGTGGTATTGTCAATGCAAAAACAACAACTTTATTGGCAACCATGGCAACACATTAATACCTAGTAACCTCTTGGTAGAGAGTCAATATACTTTTCTTCGCTATTTACAACACGACCCAATGGCATCAAGGAATTCAAATATTGTTGAATTTCTCTCACACAAGCAGCAATATCCACTATTACTACATTGTTGGTAGGGGCACTATATTCAACCATATTGTTAGAATGACTCATCAAAGTATCCTCATCATTTGATGAATCTGAATCTTGCTCATGATGGGCAAGTGGAAGAAGAAGCTCTTTTCTTCGTCTTCTTCAAGCCTGGCAGTATTCACTTCACTATCATCATCAAACAAGCTATCAACCAATTGAATACTCTCAGAGTAGAAGCAAGGCAACAAGTGAGCGCCATGTACTGGTAATACATCAGCCACATTGTTATTAATATTATTAATACTAATAATATTATAATGGACACAATGATCAGTGTCTATTAATTCTGTTGCGATGGCTGCCAATTCTTCATCATTATTCACACTAGCTACATCAGATTCATCATTATCATTGTCAATAATAATATTGTTGTGATTATCACTTCTACAGACAGGAAGACAATCTTCAGGATAAGGGAAGAGTTGATTCACTTCTATGCTTGGTTGTTCAACATTACCATCAGTGCTTTCACTTGAAGAGGAGGTAGGCGAGGAAACAAAGGAGCTTTCTTGCCTCTTCTTCTTACGATTGCTTTCTAGGACTGGCTCAGAAGTTTTGTTAGATGATTCATCATCATTGTAAGCATCTTCTTCCTCATCATCATCATTGTGAGAAGAATTACTATCTGAAAATGACCGTTTCATTATCAAAAGCTATTTATTTTTTATTTGAAATTTAAATTGTTAATTTTAGCGGGAAATTTTAGCCCTGATGGTTATATTAATAGTTTTGAAAAAGACTAGTAGACCAGGGATTTATAATTGTTTGATTTCACAAATGTTGTTTTCCCGAAATCTTGATCATCTCTCGGAAATATCACAACAATGTCATCATCATTTAAAGAATGCACTGTGAATAATATCATCATTATAGGATTAATTGGAAAAATACCATTTACTTCTTGAAAATTGTCCACATCACTTGGGAAAACTTTGTAAATATTCAATATTATTTTAATTCGTTTATTCCAATAGTGATTGGAACATCGGCTAAATCTTATTACCAAATTTGAAAGAAAGAATATTGTGAATAAAGTATCATTTTATTTACATTAAACTAGATTTTAAGGTTTGTACATCTTTTCAATGGCATCTCTGTAGTGTTCTGTAATGGCATGTCTTCTCAATTTTTGAGTGGCTGTAAGCATGTTATTTTCAATAGTCCATTCAGTTTCACAGAGATAGATGGCCTTAATTCTTTCATAAGATGCCAATTTAGAGTTGGTAGCAATCTTGTCCAAACTTTGCAAGATGGCTTTGAGGATTTGTGGATTGGTGTACAATTCTTCAACCTTGTTAAAGGAAATTCCCTTTTCCTTAGCCAATGATTCCAAATACTTATTTTGAGGCATGGCAAGAGCAACAGGATAATCTCTATAACTGTCAGCATAAACGAGAATACCATTTGGTTGGACGAAAGGTGAATCTCCATAAATACTTTCCAACTTGTTCAATGCAACATATTCACCATGTTGTAATTTGGTCAAATTCTTAACACGATCAATAATCTTGATGGAACCATTTGGCAAAATTTCAACAATATCTCCAGTCTTGAAGAAGGTATTAGAGCTTTCATTTGGCAATTTACCATAAGCTTCCAATGTGAGATCCTTTTGCTTGTAATAACCAAGAGTAATATTTTCACCTCTTACCCACAATTCACCTCTTGGATTGCCACCTGGATTCTTGTGGAACATACCCATTTCAGGAACGTCACACAATCTAATTTCAACACATGGTACAAATGGACCAGTGTGGCCAGTGGAAAATGTTTGGAAAGCATTAGCAACAGAAGTTCCGGCACAAGTTTCTGTTAAACCATATCCTTGAATGAAAACACTATTCATGCAAATTCTCAAAAATTCATGGGTTTCAGGAATTAAAGCAGAACCGCCAGACAACATTAACTGTAATCTGCCACCAACACCATCAGTAAATCTCTTGAAAATAATCTTATTCCACAATGGAGTATCTCTGCCAGCAGCAAGGGCTCTCTTCTTGGCACTGTAAGCCATCTTGAAGAGAGTGTTGACAAGCCAACCGAGGAAAGGACCTCTCTTTTCAGCAACAGAATGGAGAGTGAGTTGAGCACCCTTCTTGATAGTATCAAACACCTTTGGGACACCAACCAAAACTGATGGTCTCCAGAATTTAATATCACCAGAAGGAAGAGCAGTACCTTCACTTAGGAATCTAGCATTACCATAACAAATTTGACCACCTCTCAAGAGAATAATACTATGGACAACAATTTCCAAAATGTGACCAAGTGGCAAATAGGCAATGTGAATATATTCCTCTTCTCTTTCAACACCGATACAGCAATTGAAGGATGCAACGGCAGACAAGACATTGTGGTGAGTAATCATGACAGCTTTTGGAGCAGAAGTAGATCCTGATGTATACATTAAAATTTGAATATCAGTACTGACGTGTGGCGTTCCCTTAATCTTGAATTCTCCCTTTTCTTGGGATCCCATTTCAATAAGTTCATCAATAGTTGTCAAGACAACACCATTACCATACTTTTGATTGAGTTCATTCAAGAGCTTTTCACGTTGTTCAACTTCTTCGGAATTATTTACACACATTCTATTGTTATAGAGAATATACTTGACTCTTGGACATTCTTTAGCAATTCTTGGAACAATTTCCTTCAATGAACTAAAATTAAGCATGACACCAGATACCTTTGATTCATTCAAAGCTTGAATCAAAGCATCAGTACCTAAACTAGCATAAATGGTGACAAGTGTGACATTTTGCTTGAAGAGAGCCAAAGCTGTGACAAACCAATCATAGCTAGTATCATCATAAATTGCAAAACGACTGTTTCTTGTCTTGTCAGTTTCATTTTCATCATTGAAAGTGAAGAAATCTTGATCTCCAGCACTGCTTTCCAAATTGAAACACTTTTGCATTGCCTTTGATAAATAATTAACTTTTTGTTCCAACTGTTCATAAGTGAAAATAACTGGTTCCTCATTGAATTCAGGAGTAATCCAAGTCTTTTTCTTATCATCAACAATGACTTCCTTAATATGATTCTTCTTCAAAGTTCTGTATCCAACACATGGCTTCTTGGCATACTTTCTGAAAATACTTTCAAAGTAATTGTAGAAAGTTTCTGGAACTTGTCTTTGGGATGCTTCAGCAATTTGTTCATCTTGTGGATAGCTCAAATCTTCAAAACGAGATTGTTGAATGTTTTCAACCTTGTCTTTCTTGGCACGATCAGTGAGCAACTTTTTGACCTTTTTACGTTGTGCTTCCTGGGCATCAAACAATCTATCTCTAATCTTTGGTGGGAGCAGTTCATCTAAAACACTTTCCTTCTTAACGAGAGCACCACTACGAGTATGAGACATGAGGTGACGATAAATTGGACTAACACCTTCAGTTTCAAAGTATTCAGCACGATTTGTCTATATCGATCCAAATATTAGAATGTAATAACAACATCATTTCCGAATAATAAATTGATTATCAATCACATAATATTATGTTGTATAACAGTAAGCTTAATTGACCAGAAAATACATACAATTTCGGTGGCATCAGCACTTGGGAAATATGGAGCAGCTAGAATATCATCTTCATATTCTTTACGTAAATCGTGAACCAAAGCTTTCTTTCCTTTCAAGAGGACTGAAATCTTGAAAATAATATAATCCAAAGTATTGATAATAATACTCAATACAATTTTAAATGGAATTTCAAGGAAGGAGAGACAATAACTCAACCATCCTTGTTGCTTTTTTGTTTCTGCCATATGTAAGCTTACAAGTTGTTGTTATATATATGAAAAATTCAATAAATAAGAGTTATATTAATAATAAATATATTTGATAATGATGATGATTGATAAAGAGTGATACAATCAAACAATCAATAAATAATAACAATGATGGGGAGAATTAAAAATAATAAATTAAAAGTAATTGATGTTGTGTGTTGATTTTTTCTAATCCTGCCTTCTATTAATAATGCAAGGTTTGCGATGTAATTAATTTCGCTTTGATTGTTGCTTGTCGGAAAATAATATGCGACAAGATTGTGGTGTTTGGAGAATTGGACAAGACTTTACGCTAAGAAAACCTTATTTGTACATGGATTGTTGCATGCTTGTGTATTTCGACTACAGTAAAAAATTCAATTCAAGTTTGAGCAAGTGATATTATTAATACCATCTCTCTTCATCATTGATTCATTGAGGACATTTTCTTATTTCTCCTCTGATAATTTAAAACTCCTCTTATTAAGATTCATTCAATTCAAAACAATTACAATTTTAAATTAATCCAAAAAATTCAATTAAAAAAAATGTTTTCATTCGTTAAAAAATCATATGATTTCTTCCGTGAGACATTTACAGAGCATCTAGTTGATCCGTGGTCTCTAGCTGCAATAGGATCAGCAGCTTTTGTAGTAATTATTTATTCAAAGAGAAAGGAGGCAATTTTACTCTCGGAAATGGATTCTAGGAGTGATTTGATGAATCCAAGTGAATCAAAATGTAATAATACGCATCATTATGAGAGTCAGAAACCTTGTAATTATGCAGTGTGGTTTGATCGTCCACTCGAATATCAAGTACTATCCAATTATATTAAATTACCAGCTGCTAGAGTGATTGTATTGATTGGAATACCACAATCGGGAAGATCTAAATTGGCCAGTAAATGTGTTTTGGAATCTTATCCTTTTGATGTAACTCATTTGGATGTTAGAAATTCACCATTCGATGATGTAAATGGTTTGGAAAGTAGATTTATTGATAGGGGATTTGATTTTTCGGATTTGATATCAAGTTTTATAACTGGATTGAGTAAGACATTTAGAGGAGAGTTGGATGTTTTGGAGGAAGCTTCAAATGATCATAAGAATCAAAGTGAGGAAGCTGCAGCTGCTGAATCATTGAATAGATTCAAGACAGCTCTGAGAAGATTTAAACATGTTTCACTACCTGATGATAAGTCACACTTGTTTTTCATTAATCATATGGAAGCATTTAGTACACTGACGAGGGATAAGACTGGAATGAGAGCATTGGAATACTTCTTATTTTGGCTTATTAATTTAACAAGGGATAAGAGAAATATTCGTGTGGTAATGACATGCTCTCCTATGTTTTTCTATGATTGGTTGAGTGATGTGCCATTGCGTGAGGCCATTCAAATTGTAGGATTGGGAGATTTACCAAAGGATGAGGCAGAATCTGCCTACTATTCATTACTGAATAGAATTGTAATATCAGATGAACAGAGAGAAAATGCACCTGAGTTTGAAAAGGTTTATGAGAGATTTGGTGGAAGAATTCACGATCTCAGTAAATTTGTTGAGGCATTTGCTGCCTCAAATATGGAGCTTGATTCCTACTCTGAATTTGGTACAGTGGTAACCAAATTTACTTCAGTATTGAAACCAGAGCTCTATTCTGAGCTAGTTAGAAATAATATTTCTAGCCCAGTTTTATGGGAAACTCAACATGTTATCAGTGCATGGGAAATGTTGCTAAACGCACCAAATAATATTGTTTCCTATCTTGATTTTGTTGAAAAGATTCCTGCTAATGTTTTTCAATCATTATTTAAACATGCCATTATAACATATAGACCACAATCCAACACCTTTCAAGATTATGAGTTGTGTAAATCGACTGATACTGTTCTATTCAGAAGAAGATTGGATATGCATGCTGCCAGAGTTGTTTATAACAAATACATGACATCACAAAATTAAATTGAATTTTAAATTATTCACAAAATTGACATTAGATGTTTTGTTGTTTGATTGATTCGAAAAAAAAGAGAATTAAATAATAATGTTACAAAACTGTAACCATTTAATCAGTTGATTGATAAGGAGAAACTTCTTGTGTGGAATTTTCATTAATTGGATTGGTCTCAATAATAGTACCATATTGTTGCTTGTATTGATGTTCATCTTTGAGTTTGATAATGTAATAGATGAGCAAGTTGCTAACGACACAAGCAATGAAGAGAACGGCAATAAAGATACCCACCAAAAGATAGACACTAACTTGAGGATCAGTTGATTCAGCAACATAGGTATCTTCATAAATATTATAAATTCCAAATACTCTTTCATTATAGTATGGAACACCAGAAGTATTGAAATTAATCAAATCCAAACAACTGGTATCAACAGTGAGGGCATTAGGATTTTCCATACTGACAAAATTGACAACAACTTGCAAACCAGCTGGAATGTAAGAATTATTAAATGTTGGTCCAACAATTGTACCATGAGCTGAGAATGGAACAATTACCAAATTGTGTGAATTGCTCTTAATACCAGCCTTTTGAGAAAGTGCAGACCAGAGTGGAGTATTTGGATCCAAGTTACCATTCAACATTAAAATTGGGACAGTGGTTTCAAAGGTTTGTTCGAAATATTCTGGATCGAGGTCATAGACTGGCCATTGAGTAGCATCGAGTAATGACTTCATTCCAATACCAATACCTCCAAAAGTAATTGCTGAACTATTGTATTCATCCAACAATTGTTGCATAGTAGTCGTACTGTCCCATAATTCAGAGTAGACAATATGTGATTGCAAAACTGGAGATTGGAGTGGCACAGAGGTTGGTTGAACACTAGTCTGCTTAACTAATACATCTCTAATGTGGAGCAAGAATGGAATATCCATATCTTCATCACATCTGTCCATTCTGTAAATAAAGGCAGGAACGAAGAATCTGAGGTAAGAACTTTCAATAAATACTTGGAAGAGAGTCTTCAATTGCAACAATGGAATACCATCAGCAATAGGTCTACAAGTATGATTGACATAGACACTTTCAATAACATTCTTCATGTACTCAACTGGATTACCGTTTGCCTTCTTTTCGAGCTTTTTGGCACATTCAGTTTCTTCATCATAGAGTTTCTTGTCGAGAGTATTGTCACTATTGACATCAACAAATTGATTAGTAGCAATTCTTGACTTGTTACCTCCACAAATTTCCATCAAGGCATTACCAACACCATTGAAATTTTCATCCCACAAATTCAAAACCAATCTACCTGATTTGGTAGTATAGTCGAGACCCATTGGGGCTGGTTTTCCAATAACGTTAACAATACCATCCATAATATAACCAGAAATAATATTGGCATTTCCATTCAATTGCAAATAACGAATAATTCTTGAAGTCCAAACAGTACCATATGAAGCTCCCAAAACAAAGGTCTTTTGATTTTGAGGAACATTGATAGATTGAATCAATTTAACAACATCAATGGCAGCTGCTTTGGAAGAAAAGTTTTGAGCATGACCATTCCATTCATCATTGAAAGATTGAGCACATCCATTCTTGGTCCATTCCTTCATACTAATAGTTATACCTTCGTCACTTCCTAGGGTTTCAGCTTGGGTTGTTGAGCAAGTAACTCTGTTACTTCTTCCTGTACCTCTGTGATCTGTTGTGTAAATATCGAATTGACCTCCAAACATTTTTACAAGCAAATCCATTTGCATCTCCCAAATGTTACTAGCCATACCAGGACCTCCAGAGAGAAGCCACAAAGCACGTGGAGCTTGTTTAGTTGGATCAGCTCTCAATCTCTTTACAAATAATTTCAATGGTTTACTATTGACATTGTCATGATCCAAAGGAACTGGAATCATGGCACATTCTGCTTGAGTTCTAAAAGTATCATTGTTTTTCAAGTCTATTATTGTTTCCGATTATTTGCATATATTTTCACACACATTGTAATAAAAGTCTCAGGTAAAATCAAACTGTAAACTAGACACATACTAATTTCATTGATAGCATCAATCATTGACAAGGTATATTCTAATTTTCCTGTTGTTAAATTAGCTCTTGGGAAGAATTTAACTCCTTCAGGCATGTAAAATTCACTATGTAAAGAACAAGGACTCCACAACACTCCATCCGCACTCACAACAAATGACAATAACACTACAACAAGTGTAGTCAGTATAATCCTCGACCGATCAAAATTCCCCATTCTTTTTGTATTGTTGTTATTCATCAAAATTCCGCCACTATATAAATGTATTCTAATATTGTGATGATGTTTTAATGATATGAAGAACCCAAGTTAGTTTTTAAATATAAGGTGATGAGCATCAATTTCATAGAAAAAGACATTGTTATGGAATTTACTGATTATTTAATATGTTTTACTCACCTGTGCGTTAATAAATCGGCAGAGAGGCTGTTAGTGATGCTGGCAGATTTTTTTTTAAGTTTTCATTTCTCCTTCCAACTCCTATCGGATCGTTCTTGGAGAACATTCACTCAATTTAAGTGGAATGAGTTTGGATAATTAACCAAACATTTAAATTGTTCAGCATTTTCATGATTGATATTATCCATGTTTTTTCAAAGAATAATATTAAAGACTGATAGGCAGAATGTATTCGGAATGTTTAAAGGTGTTAAGAGAAAAATCAGTGATGGTCAATTTTCTTCTTTAAATTGGTTATTATTACATTAATAAATAATGAAATCATACAAGAATCATCAAAGTAAAAAAGTAAAATAGCCGTTATATTAAGGCCCTATATTTTCTGTCTTTAAAAAAAATATGAAGAAAACAAACCAACTTCCTTTGTCGGTGAGGAAGACATCACCTTCAACAAAAACGCCCACAAAGAAAATCAATCACATAGGACCGATCTTGCATATAAACAGTGAGCCAAAGATAGGAACTGAAAATTTATTAAGGAATGATAATATTGAAAATAACAATAATATTAATTTAAACATGATTAGGACTAGTAGTAATTTGGAACAACGGGAAGGAATGAAGGATGCACCACTCCATATTGATTTTAAGGAAAGTGGTTTAAAGGATTTATCGGATCTGATGAAACAACTTAATGACAATTCTTCACCACCCACTACAAATATCCCTATTACTCCCCCAACAAGCAAAAATCCTAAATCTAAAACTTCTTCATCTGAAAAGAAGGTTTCTCTCGCTAAATTATTGGGGAAGAGTAAGACAATAACAACTTCACCCAAATCTAGTCAACTCTCACCAGAAACAAACAAGGAAGAATTGAAAATCAAAACTCCAAATAATGAAGATCCTGCTCTTTCAAATATAGAACTATCATCCAATAGCTCTCCTCCTTCTCCTCCTCTTTCACTATCACCTCCTAAACAATTAATCATTCCACCCATTTCCATCCCAGACTCAATCTATTCTCAGCCATTGGAAAGAATTGAAATAGATCATAGGACAGAATCTCCACCTCCTCTTCCACCAGATTCGCCAATGTCTTTTGGATTACCAAGTCCAATCTCCTTTCCACTAAACCCATTCATTTCCTCTCCAATAATATCACCTAGGACTTCCCATATTCTCTCAGGAATTCATTCACCAATAAGATCAAAAACTCCAAAACGAAATCTAGTTGAACTAAGCATTGGAGAATTGACAAAATCCGTGACAAAAATACAAAAAATCAACACTCTATTCGATCAGAACAATGACGACTCGTATGAGTGGAGCAGTCTATGTTCACAAATAGGAGCAAACAACAGCTCTCTCAAGGAAATTGTTCTTAAAAAATGTAGTCTCGATGATGATCAACATTTCCTGACATTCTTTGAATCTCTCATTGAGAATGATGTACATTTACAAGTATTGGATATTGAAGGAAACAAAATGAGTTCAGAAGCATGCTCGTATCTAGGAGAGTACTTATTCATGTCGAGAGATACACTAAAAGTGCTCAATCTAAGAAATAATCCTTTAACAGATGAAGGAGTGTGGAATATTGTTCAGTCATATAAGGAGGTTTCTGAAAAAATAGATTATATTTCTCAACTCACTGAAATTGATATTTCTGGAGCTCAAGTGTCGGATGAAGGATTGCTGTGCCTAGCTCTCTTTGCCAAAGATTACTTACCAAATTTGTCAAGTCTAAAATGTTTTGGAAATTGCATTACTAATATTAATGTGATTAAAGACTTGGTAAAAGACAGTGGAAAACTGAGACATGTGGACTTCTGGAAAAATAGTATTCAAGTGGAAAGTTTAGCTAGGTTGGCAACCTCATCAACTAATCTTATTTCGCTCAATCTGGGATGTAATTTTTTGGGAGATAAGGGAGTTGTTGTAATTTCCAAATATTTATCAATTGCAAAGAATTTAAGATGTTTAGATCTGAGTGGAAACGAAATAAGAGACGCTGGAGGTTTCCATCTAGCAAATGCAATTCTAGTTAACTGTGGGCTCACATTGTTAAATTTGGCAAATAATTTACTGACTGAAAATTCAGTTTCTAGGATAATAGATTGTATCAAAAATCACCCAACCCTTTGTAATTTATCAATAACAAGAAATAGAATCAACCCCGTACGAGTTCAAGACCTGAATAGGTATATCTCTGATGTAAATGCTGTTAGAAAACGACTAGGATATCCAGTTTGTAAATCATTCATCTCAACCTCAATTGACTTGCCAACATCCTCTCCAAGAAAATCATTGAATCAAACTCTAACCACCAGCTCCAATGATTCGTTCGATGAAGAGCTGACTCTCTCCATTTCCCACAATACTCACACCCCTCGAGCTTTTACCCCTAATTTTGAGATTGAACCAATCCTCAGTCCTTCTCTAAATCTCTCCCCTCCTGTTCATCAGAACTTCCTGTCCACCGAATCAATCCAAAAACCGAAACTAACCCCTTCCAGATCATCCCTTGAATTGCAAGAAGAAGTTGACACTATTCAGGAGGCTCTAAAAACTTTGAAACAAAACAGAGAGGCCAGGATTATGAAGGAACAAGCAGTTCCAGAACGTACAAAGATGAACGAAATGGATGCAGATTCGGTGAGCCAGAGAGATTTGAGCTCATATACAAGCAGGACCAGTGTGGATTCCAAAACAGGATCCAAGTTTTTCATTTCACTCCTTTTCATTCCATCCTCAGTGAGTTTTGTCCAGGATAAGGATGATACATTCTATCTTAAATTTAGTTCCTCTCAGATTATTATCAAACGACAAAGGAAACTCTTCAAAAAAACAAAAACCATTCTATCAGCAGAAGTTTCAGAAACGAAACTTGAACCAAGCCCACAATCAAATGCAATCTTTACATTAACAATAGGAGGAGAATCATTTGGAATTAAGATACTCAGTGGCAGAGAACAAGATTTTGTCTTGTCATTCCTTCACCTTCAAGAAATGAGTTCTTTAAATGTTTCACACGATCAATTGGAATACTCAGACACTGCTAGCTCAGCCACAGATTTATTAAAAACCAAGAAACCCAAAGAGCTAACAAGGAGAATGTCTGCTTTGAAAAAAGTATCGTCTGTGGCCTCCTTCCTACAAAAATCTTTATTCATATTCTTAAAAAATGTCCTTCACATCGGAAAGGCTTGTCGACTATTTAAAACGATCATCCTTCAAACAGAGCCCAACAAGGAGTAATCTAGAGGTGGAAGTATCGAAATTAGTTTTGGAATATATTTTAGATATTTTAGTATTGGATATATCACCATTGTCATCACCATCGGCAGCGAATACCATTTCCCCTCGATCTAGTAGTCATCACTCCTCACAGCCTATACCAAGTGTTGATTATCAATGTAGAAATTCGGAAGGAAAAATTGATTCGGAAAAGTACACTGATGCTCAACAATTAATTGCTCGAAAGATTTATGTTTGTGTGTTTTTACAAGAATATTCGAGTGTCTTGTTTAGAAATAATATTCCCAAGTAGGTTTATAATTTCAGGATTGATTTATGGAATATGATTTTAAATAATTCATTATTTAAATTTATTATTTTGTTATTATTTAAATAATTTAAATTATCTGAAGGCTTTATGAATATTTAACAGATTTACAGAATATAATTAACAGTGGAAAGGTGGATGATATTACCTATGCTCAACTTTTAGTGACAATAACAACCATGTACATTACACACAATTTACATCAAGTGAATCCAACAATGATTGCCAATCACATTTCTTCTCTGATGCAATATATTTCAAAAACAGTAAATAATTCACAGTTTAGACTTCAAAGACAGATGGCAGCAGATTCTCTTCAAGAAATACTCTACTTTTATCATGTTAGAATTACAGATTTTATTCCAACAGTGTTGAAGTGTTGTCAGACTGAGAATTCACATGCCCTTCAATCATTTTCTACCTTATTAGCAAATTTAATTTATTTGGAAACAAACAAGACAAAGAGAGAAGTTGTCAATAGTTTGACTTTTCTTATTGAAAATATTCAGATCTTTACAATTTGGGGAAGAGCTGCAATTTTTGAAATAATTTCACAAATTATCAAGGATACTGAATATCCAGATCATGTTTGGAAACGAGTTTTTAGGAAATTCAAACATAGTATCAACTCGTATTTGGTTCATATATTTTGCCATAATACCATTTCAAATAAGCAACATATTAGAGATGACTACGTATTGAGTGTGGATGATTATAGTCAGCCTTTGTATGTGAGAGAGCAATTACTTTATTTCCAAAACAATCCAGAAAAGATTGGAATTAAATATTTTGATGAACTACCAATTAAGAAGGAAAAGTGCAAAATTATTTCAACCAGGAAAACTAACGATATGGAGTAAGTTTTGAAACAAGTATGAATTTATTGACCCATATTCTCTAAAAAGGAACATGTTACATTTACTGGACTGTGTAGCCGATTACAGATATTACATGAAGGCCCTCTCCAAATACTATAGCAAATCATTCAAGCAGCCACAAATTCAAGAAGAAAGTGCTCCAAATGTTTCTAGAATTGAAAGACAATTATACATTCGTTTAGATATTATATTCAATTTCATCTATTTCTCCTATCAAAATAATTCCACTCAATACAAACCAACCCTGGAGTAAGTTCTAATTGCCTAGAAATATTTAACATATAATATTTAGCTTTTTGGTTGACATGTTGGAAAGAGAAAGTAGTTTGAATCTTTTAATTTCTCCAATTTTGAATTATACAATTTCATTAATCAATTCACTAAGTTTTACAGACTCAAATAATGAATTAGTGAATGGACTATTCGATCACATAGTCAATCTACCAAATGAAAACCTTGGCTATTATTTCTCGCTCTTTGAGGCGCTGATTAACAACTTGAGAAAGGATCAAGTAACTGTATGTTTCATACTCTTTCTTCATTATTAATTCAGCAAATTATTAGAAAATGTTATCTTGTCTTCATAAATTTGTGAGGAGCAAGCTCATTGCCAATTTTGGTGATTGGCATCATGGAGATTCTGTTCTTTCCATCATTAGAATGGTTGTCTATCGTGCATGTAATGAACCATCCTGTTTCAAAAATGATGAGGTCCACCTTGAGCAAGAACAACAGGAAATCAGTAATAATATTTTAACTCTACTCATTCAGGATTATAATAGTTTGGAAATCAAACAAAGGAGTAGCTTTTACTTTAACATAATCAACCAGGTAACAAATAAGAGGAAACTTTTGGGTATTTTTGGTTTTGAAACAGATTTGGATATTAAGAAGGATGGAATTCTTGGATCAGGCAATGTCTTTGAAATTACTGAACCAATTCCAGTACCAAATATTCTCAGTGTTTCATTTGTGAAGAATATTTGTCATGAGCTTTCACTGGAGCAACAAACCAACTCATTCAGGGTTGGGTCTGCTGCACATCTGGGATCTTTGAGAAAGGACGATTCTTCCCATATTCTCCACTTTTATTTTGAAAAATATTTGAAGAGTTTCAAGTATCAAATTCAATTACAGTACAAGTTATCACCAATGAATGTTTCCTCTCTCAGTTTGGATATGGACAAATTGGTTGGCATTGAGTTGTCATTTGGAGGTGAAGATGCTCATCGATTTGTTGGAATTGATAATTTTATTAATGTTCCATACATTAAACTTCCATCACTCGATCTTAAAACCTCACAAGAAGAGGATATCCTTCTCCCATCCGATCACTTATTCACCATCAAATTTTTCCCATTGAAACCTCTTCCTGGCCTCATTAATGTCACTGCCACCTTCACTGGCATTAAATCATCAACACAATCGACTACTATTGAGCCATCTACTGCCTACTGTCAAACTGTATTGAATGACATTTCCATTGAATTTAAAGACTTATTCCTACCAATCTTTGACAAGGACCTCCCAGATAATCTCACTAAAGAGACACTCTTTGAGGCCATTTGGAATTGTAAGGATGCTAAAATTGTATCAAGTGTCAAAGTATTGAGAAATACACAGGTGAGTGAGGTTATGGATAGTTACAAATTATTTGCAGTGAATCAGAATGATTATATTTTCATCTTTCTCCCTCCTAAATATCACCTCCTTATCAAGTTGACTCAAAAAGAGGAAAATGCTCATCTTTCCATTAAGACTGACTATTGGCAAGTGTTGTCCCTCATTGATGAAATGTTCCAGCCAACAATCATTCCAAAATCTATCAACACAACTCTTGTCACTCCTGCACACAATACATCCGATAATAACATTTTATTGACAAGCTCTCTACCAAACACACCTTCCAGTCCACTTTCAGCCTCCTCTCCAATCCATGAAGATGAATAAAGCTCTAGACCAATTCAATCAATACTAATGTTATTTATTAGAAAACATCCTCAATGAAAGGTTCTACCAGTTCTTAGAACAAGTTTTCAGGCCTCCATGTTCTTTTTGAATTTATTAAAAACCGTTAAAAAATATTTCAACATTAATAAAGAGGAGTTGATTTTTTTATATCCAAAACTGCTCGGACCAACAACAAGTCATCACGAAGATATTTAATATTCAGGATGGAGACTAATAATAATGAAGAAATGTACTACCCACGATCCCCAACTCGTTTTGTAGATGATGAGGAAGAAGTGGGAGATTCACTATTTATTTCCAATAATAATTCACCAACAATGACAATAATAAGGAATCCTTTTGATGTACCAACAACCTCAACAATAAGTGCTTTTGGGAATGTTGATACCAATGATAATATGGATTTTAATTACCAGATGAATGAACAACATGAAGAGAGCATTCTTCCACCTCAACCACAACTTTCTGCTTGTTCTCACAGCTATCCCGATAATATTAATGAATTTGCTGTTGAGAATGTTGATGAATTAATGCAAATCGGAAAAGTATTTAATGTAGTTGAAAAGAAGGTTACTATTGAAGTTATTGTTGATAAGAATTCCAAGGTTAATGACTTGGTTTCACAAAACAATGTAAATTTAAGGGAAAATAATTCATTGGATCCTGATTTGATTAGAAAACAACTTAAACTTCAAGTTGGTGCCTTGTTATTTACAAAGGAAGGAAAACCAATAGGAAAGATTACAGATATCTTTGGAACTGTGACAAAACCATTCTATGTTTTAACTTATCCTGATATTTCGACAATGAGAACTGCTTTCAACATTCCACAAGAAATCATTACTTCCTCCAGTGAGCCAGCTTCTAAGAAAGAAGAACCTGCTCAACCACCATCAACACCTACCAAACAAAAATCAGATTCAAAATTGTCCACACCAAAAAAGACTGATATTGAAGATATTGATGACTTTTTCGCAATTCCTGACCCAAGAGAATTGAAAGTTGTCGAATTGAAACCTTACCTCCAAAGAAGAGGTCTTTCACCTTGGGGCAAGAAGAAGAACTTGATTGCTAAAATCAGAAAATTCGAAAGAGACAAACGAAAGAACCAACAAAAGGGTAGTAATAGCGATAGTGATGATGACAGTTCTAACAGTGATAGCGAAAGTAGTAGCAGTGAAGAAGAGGGAACAACCTTATTCACCCCAAAGAAACAAGAACCAAAAACTCAAGGTGGTGAAAAGTTTGCTTTAAGAAGCCTCAAAGATTTGGAAGGAATGGAAAGCGATGAAGAAGAACATGATACTAAGAAAGATGAAAAGAAAAATAATAACACTTCAAACACAACTGAAAAGTTATCTCAAAGTGAAATTGCTAGGATTAAGGATTTTGGGCTCATTTACTGTCATAATTTTCACAGTGCTAGATTGGATGAAACCAGTACTCAACACATGATCTTGAATCATACTAAGGCTTACGATGCAATGTTTAACTCGGATGATAAGACTGAAGTCATGACATTCTCAGATGATGAGGATGAAAGCGCCTTCAAACATCAAAAGAAGGAAGAAAGAAAGAATCCACCTCCTCCAGTTCCAGTCTTGAAGAGAAAGTATGATGAAGCTCTCACTACTACTTCAGCCTCAGAGGAAAAGCAAGCAGAAACACCAACTAAGGTTTCCAAGAAATTACCATTTATTGACATTTCAGAAGCCAAGCAACAAGAAAAGGCCAACATTGAATCAACAACCTCTCAACAACCACCTGTTCAAAACGAGAATGAAAATGCTCCAACAATTTCTGAGAGTATTGAAGAAGAACCAAAACCTCAAATTACCCCTAAGCAAACCCAAAACACTAAATCAACACCTAAATCAAGATCAACAACCAAAACAGCAGGATCATCCTCGGCAGCAAGAAAGCCACGTGCTAGACAGTCCACTGCAGTTATTCAAACAACTCAAGATGAGGAACCTTCATTCTTATCTAAATGGTGTCTTATCATGTAATAAATTAATTCATTCCAAGTTATTGAGATAATATCCAATAACATTCGTCTATGGATTTTTTAATACTTTCAAACTTTGAGGTTATTTCTTCTTTACTGTCATATCAAAAATAATGAGAAAAGCTTTTCAATTAGTTCAGTGAATTGATTTCAAATTTTCCTTAAACAATTCCACAAATCCAGTACATCAGTTAAAAACTTGGTACTTGAAAATAACAAGCTTAAACTCTAAAACAGTCAAACTACATTGCTTATCTAAAAATACAAAGTTCCCGCCAACGAAAAGTACAACTCATTAACTGAAAAAAAATGAGTGATGAAAACTATGATGAGGAGACTAAGAAGGCTCTCTCAAAGACAAAACAAGAACTTGAAGCTCTCATTTCCAAACCACCTATTCAGGAAAAACATTTGGCAAAACCTCCAACCAAGTTTATTGCCGCTGTTGTTTTTCATTTGAAAAAGGAAACGGGTTATCCTGAAGGATTGTTTGATGATGAGTTTTTAAAAAAGGAAATGGTAAGCAGTTTGATGAATTCAAAAATTGTTGATCTTGAAATTTAGAACACCGACGAAAAAACGTTATTCTTAAAACAATTAATTAACGTTGTAGTTCATACCATCAGAAAGAATGTGAATGTAAAAGTTGATTTATTAATCAAAGGAAAGGAAAATCCAAAAAACACTTGTTTATTCTTCAAAGCTCTTGCTACAGCTGCTGGAAATAAGGATAAATACAAATATAAGGAGGCAATTGAAAGAATTAAATCTGGAAAATACAAGGATGTTACTGAACGTGAAGATTCAGCACCTGAAGGAGCTGGAGCAAGGCCTACAACACAACAAACAACAGGTCAAGCAAGACCTACAACACAACAAACTCAACAAACTCAACAATCACAACAACCATCACCAACATCTCCAACTACTGTAAATCCACAAAATGAGTCAACATCAAAACCTCAACAACCAGTTCAAACAAAACCACCAACACCATCTAAAGATGATAGATCAACAACCCCAACATCAATCGATATGCAACAACCAAAACCTGCTAACAACTCTAGACCAAGTTCTGGAAGAGAAGTTTCTAAACCTTCTACGCCCAGCAATCAAGAGGAGCAAATGCAAGGACAAATGGATGACCCAAATCTCGCTCAATATTCCAGACCTTTCTCATCTAGAGGTCAATCTGCAAGAAGAGCTCCACCAAAAATTAAGACCAATGTAAGAACTATTGATACTCAGGAAATGCCAACAGAGAAGGCCCAAATTGAACCAAAAGGGGCTGAAGGCTTAATCACTGATGATACTGAAGAAAAGGAAGAGGAACAAATTATCATTGAAAAGAATGCAGTTCGATCATCTGTGCAAGTTACAACCGAACAAAAGGGTAGTTTGATGAGTAAATTGATGGAAAATGAGAATGATATTGAAAAGAAACGATCCCAAGGTAAGACTGTTCCTCAAAAGAGCAGTGACGAACCTGTAAAGGGAATTGTTCTGCAAACTGGTAAGAAGGAAAAGGATAAAGAACAAACAACAACAGAATTATCAAGTTTGAGAGAACAAATTCAAACAATTGTTTCCAAGGTGAATCCTCTTGGTAAAACTATGGATTACATTCAAGAAGATTTAGACAGTATGCAAAGAGAACATGACATGTGGAGAAAGGAAGTGGAAGTTCAGAGACAGCGATTAATAGAAGAAAGACTGAAAACTGACCAAGAAGTTTCCTCAGTCCAAGCTCAACTGAGAGAATTGGAGCAAAATATTTTGGATAAATTGGAAAAGATCAACTCGCTGAAGAGTACTGTCATTCAAAACGATAAATTATTGGAAAACCTGCTAAGAAATGTTGTCTCATAAAATAAATGTGTATATTTACTTTTACTTCCTTTGAAATAAAGAGTTTTACAAAAGGATTTGAATAAATAGAAAATGAATTTCATAGTAAGGGACTGAATCCTATTGATAGAAGATCTGGATTTTACATTTAAATTATTTACAATGTTCTTTAATTGGTGTATTATGAAATGATGCAGCCATCTCTTTCAGCATTTTTCAAGCCATTACTTGAAGCTGAGCTGTTTCTTCTTGTAACTTGTGAGCTAGCTGAGGAGGAGGATGAATTCTTACCATACTCTGATTGTTCATTATTTGTCAGACGCAGCTTACTGAAAAGATTGAGCGTTTCATCATAGTTAGAAATGCTCTTCTTTCTTTGTGGAGTATGTTCGATGAGGGAAGAAGACGAGGAGCTTGTAACAAGTGTGGTAGAAGAGTTGGAAGATGGTATTTTTGTTTGTTCTTTCAAGTTAGGAGTAGACTTTTCGTTAGATGATAAAATAAATCTTGCAATGGCTGACATGTTCTTCAATTGAACATTTGGATGCTTGGAGAGAGATTTGAGAACTTGTTGAGCTCTAACCTTGGCTTGATCGGTTTGGGCAATGGCAAGTGTACTACACAATCCAACACTCAATTGATAAGGTAAAATTCTACCACCAACAAGAAGCTCTTCACAGAACTTTCTAACCTCAAGAGCCATATTGTAAAAGTTTGGAGGTACAACAAGTTCAATCTTCTTAAAGTCAATCATAGATCTTCTATTTCTTGATGAAGAAGATTTAGTATTCTTATTCTTAAAGTGATATTGCTTCATGGTGGTCAGAACTCCCACTTGAACATTAGAGTTGGCCTTCTTAGCCCACTTGGCTGTGAATCCAGTTCTTGAAGAGATTGGTTCCTGCTTTTCATTCAAATCAGGAAGTATAGAACTTTCAACTGTTTGATCATGTACACTCGATTCACTTGCCTGCACACTAACATAATTGTCAATTTCCTTAGAGAATTGCTTATTTTGAACTGCCAAACAAATGAGTTGAACATCATTCGATGTACAGAAATGAGCGCAAAACATCCATTGTGGATAGACCATCTTGAGACACTCCAAGAGTCTTATCGAATTTTCAAAATAGTGGAATAAATATTGAATTTGATTATCATTGTAAAATTCAATCATTAAATAGAGACAAGTACTCAAAGGACTGTCCTTATAGAATTGAGCTCTAGAATCTGTCCAAGTATGTTCATCAGCATAATTGGCCCATTGATAATCTTGAAGTGATGGAAATCTTGATTTGAGTCCATCCATTGCTACATTTTTACAAGTTAAAAATCTTCTAAATTGAACATAAACACCAATTCTATCACATTGTCTTACAACAGTTACAATATCACTTGGATAGAATTGAGAAATGGAAGGTCCATAAAAGCTATCTTCAAAAACCATACCAAAAAACCCAGATTGACATTTCAAAATGCAATTACTGATAGAAGTACTATCTAAATTCTTTCCTGTATGATCTTGAATGAAAACATTCTTTACCAATAAATCTCCCAAAACATTTGGTGGTAATTGACCCATTGGAACTGTCGATGGATGATATTGACCACTAATAGATGGCAATGTTTGCTTTCTCTCTACAAACTCAAATGATTCATTATTATTATATACAATATCAGAGTGTCTATATGAATTTTGTTGTTGTTGTTGATAGTGTTGTTGATATTGATGATGATGAGCAGATGAATTCATTGATTGATTATTTGAATAATTAGAATCAGAATAACCATGATGATCCATCATGCTATTATATTCGGAAGGCATATTTTGATAACTTCCATCATGAGAATAATTTGAAGGTGATGGAGGAGCTGTATGATATGGCATCATCATACCACTACTATTATAACTGGATGATAGAGAATTTGATCCACTAGCTGAATTTCCATTATTATTAGTAGTAGCACCATCGAAAGCCATCATCATGGATGAATCTTCAGCCTCTACACTTCCGTTACTAATATAATCGGACCCGTAATAGTATGGACTAGATGGAGCACCATTCGAACTTCCACAATTGATAGATATGGAGGAGGTATTAAAACCGACTGGTTCAAACTCTGAGAAGGTATCGTTTCCCAAGTCTTCCAACTGATCGAAAATCATGTCGCCCATTTTTTTTTGATTTTTTGTTAATTGTGTTGGATTCTAATTTGATGTGAATTGGAAGGTTAAATTGGATTCATTGTTATTATTTACAATAATTACGTTTGCCCTTAATATTACCACCTGGTTCTTTCCATGTAGTTATAAAAGGCATTTGATATTTGTAATTGAAATTTAAAAATAATTTTCAAATTATGAAATAAATCTATTCTGTAGAAGAATGTTGTATCAATTTCATTTCTACTGCAAAAGTGAATTGTTTTTCATGAAGAGAATAAGATAATAAAAAACTTGGTGAAGAAACATTTATTAGCACCAATAATATGAATAGGAGCAAAGAATGCCCAAGCTCTCGGATATTTAAGACTCACATGGTTCAAAATATGACACTGTTTGAATAATAGTGAAATATTGATTAGGTTATGGCGTTGAGAGCTTATAGAAAGGAACCATGTAATACAAATTTGGAGGGAGAAAAGATTTGGTGGGAGGAAAATTGTCTCCTTTTGAGAGAAACAACTCTTAGGGCTGTTTGATAATAAATTAAATCAGCTTAAGCGACATACAAATTCTTGTCAATAGTTGGAGGTATTGGCTTAATTTCAGTACCCAATTCTTGTTCAATCTTGTACAAGTTAAATCTGTCTTCATAGGTAACAAAGTTAATTGCCAAACCCAAGTGACCATATCTACCAGATCTACCGATTCTGTGGAGATAGGTTTCAGAGTTCTTTGGGAAGTCAAAGTTGATAACAACGTTAACAGCTTGAATATCGATACCTCTGGTGAACAAGTCGGAAGACACCAAGTTTCTGCAAGCACCATTTCTAAAGTCGTGGAAGACACGGTTTCTCAAATCTTGTGGCATCTTGGCATGGATGTAGAAACAACTATAACCAAGTTCAGTAATCTTCTTGGCCAACAATTCAACTCTGTTAACAGAGTTACAGAAGATAATAGATTGGTTGATTTGTAGCTTAGAGAATAAAGTGTTAAGACAGTGAACTTTTTGTCTTTCTTCGACAAAGGCATAGTATTGGGTTACACCTTTGAGTGTTAACTCGTCCATCAAATTGATTTCGTATGGTTTGGTGAGCCATTTGTCTCTAAAGTCCTTAACAGTAATTGGGAAGGTAGCAGAGAATAAGAGGATTTGACGAGATGGAGGAACGAATGAAATAAGTTTTTCAATCAATGGAACAAATTCAGGACTCAAAAGTTTGTCAGCTTCATCCATGACCAACATGGAAACATTGTTCAAGTTAGCAACACCCTTGCTAGCAAGATCGATAATTCTACCTGGTGTACCTACGAGAATGTGAACAGGCTTGTAAAGTCTAACAATATCATCTTTCAAAGAAGTACCACCTGTGGTAACCATGACTTCAACGTTGAGGTACTTTCCGATTTCTTTACAAACATGACTTGTTTGCAAAGCCAATTCTCTTGTTGGAACCAAAATCAAAATTTGGATTTGATTCTTTGAAGTATCAACTCTTTCAAGACAAGGAATAATGAAAGCAGCAGTCTTACCAGTACCGTTCTTGGCTCTGGCCAAAATGTCTCTACCGAAAAGAGCTAATGGGACAGTTTGTTCTTGGATGGGAGATGGTCTTTCGAAACCCTTTTCAAAGATACCCATCAATAATTCTCTCTTTAAGCCGAATTCTTCAAAGTCAGAACCTTTGGTAAGTGTAACATCTTCAGTTTGCATACGGTCATCTCTAGGTGGCAAACTAAGCTTATCTTTCCATAATTCGTCTTGAACCAATTCTTTAGCAATAGCCAAGTTGGATGGTTTATGAGTATCTAGTTCGTTGATATCGTCAGTGACTGTTTGTCCACCAACAATTGCTGAATATGACAATTTTGGAGCGGTAGTTGGAGAAGTGGTAGGGACGGAGGTGGATGGAGTGGTTGTTGATTGTTGAGGTATTTCTTGGTGGAGATTCTCATTAACTTTGTTCATATTCTCCAGGAGATTACGATGATGGTTGTATGATTGCTTTGAATTGAATCTTCCTCCTCTATTGTTGTTATTATTGTTGGTATTACTTTGATTATTGTTGGTGTTTTGGTTGTTTCTATTTTGATTATTATTATTGTTGTTGTTTAAATTACTTGCTGAGGAGTTAGAATTGTTATTGGTTGTATTGTTGTTATAGTATCTTCTATTTCTGCTGTTGTTATTGCTACCTGAACCGTTACTGGCCACATTGTTAGTAGAATTATTGGTTGTATTGGCGCTACTTGTTGTGTTGGTGCTAGAAGTACTGTTACTGCTGCTATAGACTGTTTGTTTACCTCCTCTTGATCCACCTGGTTGTTTTGATGGTGGTCTAGAACTACTTTTTTGATCAGATGGTGGCTGCTGAATAACAGGATGGGTTCTGTTCGTGCTTGTACTCATTTTCTGTATTTACAAGATGAGGTGGATAATTGCAATATGGTTGAGAAAATTTTGTTGTAGGAAATAGTTTTTGCTACTACTTTGTATAGATTAGCTTTGTAGTAGAACGAATAATAATAAACTATTACTTGTTAATAATACTTGATAATATTTTGATAGCTATCAATGGGAAAAAAGACAGCTTTTGCTTCAAACAAATCAAAAAGATTCTGGATTGTGCTAGATTGCGCGAAGTTAATAATGTATAAGATACTACGCCTGTTTTCTTTGGCTCTTAGTTGAGAAGGAGCTTGAAGAATTTTTTTTTAATGCTTTGTTTTTTTGTGTTCTTTACAAAACGTTGCTTGTGTATGCGTTCCTTTATCGTACCGTTGATGATTCCAGCAGCAGCGATGTCAAGCAAAACTTTAATACACAGAGAACTTTGTATGAAACAACTAATTGGTGATTCTACATTAAAATTGCACCTCTCTTTTGAATGGGATGTGTAATACAAATTGTAGAAAGATGGATGTTCAGTGATGGATTTTATTAACATGAGCCTACACAATTTACAATAAAGTTCTAACGTCAGCACACAAGCTGCAATAATAACATTATCATTGAATGAATTGATTGACTGCCATCCATTTCATGTAATTGCCTTTCAACAATTCAAGGCATGTGGATGATTAGCCACTTTCAATTTATTGATGTAACCAATTGAAACAACGATAATAATGTATTACAGCATAATTATAATCCAATTCCTATCATCCTCTCATACTATTGGACAAGTTCCAAGAGTACCGAATTCTGATGATGTTTCAAAATCAAAGAGTAAATCGACACAAAAAGATTGAGTGTTTCATTTCAGAATACAATCACAAGTTGTGAGTGCATTATTGCTTTATAATGTTTAATATTGACGGAAACAATTCCGTACTGAATGACAGAACACAACACGTGTTAATTGAATTTACAAAATCATACAAATAGGTGAATCTCCCTTACAATTTTCTCTTTTCCTTTATTATTTCATAAACAGTTCTCAAATACATTTGATTATCGAATAGAACAACAGAGGAATCAGTTGTGAGATCATTGTCTGGAAAATCATTTTCTAAATCTGGTCTATCTACTGAAATGAAATGTTTCTTGATAGAGTTTTGAGTTTTTCTTTGATGGTGTTTCAATTCCTTAGTTTGACTTGATGATGATTGAGGTCTCACACTACTGACATGAGAAGAGGATTTCTTATGACTAGTGGTAGTGCTAGATTTCTTATTTTCACTATTATTGCCACTGCTGCTACTAGTGTCCTTATTATTGGAGGAATTCTTCTTGACTTCAGATTTATCCTCATTGGTTTCATCGTCATCAATAATTTTAGTTTTTTTACGTTTCTTTTCTTCGATGGAATCTCCAAGAAGATTGGAAATCTTGTCTGAACGACCACGAGCAACTTCACCCTTCAATCCTTGTAATTCGGAGGAAGAATCTGTAATTCTCTTTCTTTTAACTCCATTCATTGGGGATGATGAAGAGGCTGATGTTGCTGATTTTCTTCTTGATGGGGATGGTGGAATAGTCTTGTCGTCCTTGGATTTTCTAGGTGTTGTTCCAGAACTAGTTGATTTGCTAGAGCTTGATTCTGAATTATTGGTGGTGGATTTCTTGGTGGAAGTGTTGCTGCTGTTATTACTTGTGGTGGAAGAGGATTTTTGAGAGGATGAAGATGACAAGGAATTGGAACTGGTTTGTTTTTTCAAAGGAGCAGCAGAAGTGGTGGATGAGGCACCACTTGGAGGTTTCCTAGAGGATGAAGATGTTGAATTGGATGAGGAGGATGAAGATGGTTTGCTAGATGAATTTGTTGGTTGTTCCTTCTTTTTTGCAGCAGAGGAAGATGATGCATTCAATGAAGAGGAAGATGAGGTTTTTGTCATCGGATTAGGTTTTGGAGTGGATTTGGATGAAGATGGTTGCACACTCTTCTTTGGATCCTCACTCGTCTTTCTCAAATTATTATTGGACATGTTGATGATCAATTTAATTTACAAAAATACGTAGAAGAATGCAAAACGTTTTTCACTCTATTATACGATAAGAAATTATTCGGATATTACAACACAATTATAATATTGGTTGATTTTTAAAGTAGGTCAAAATTGTCTCTCAGATCGTGTTTTTGGTTGTGGAACACGTGTAGGCGAAGGAGAAGAACAATGCGTGGCAAAAGATGGTAAACAGTTTTTCAATTATTTTTTTAAAACAATTTTCAAAAAATTTAAATTAAAAAAACCAATCAGCAAACACACAAAGAGAATGGAACTCCAACAACGACAAGGTTTTGCATTGAATGAAGAGGATCAGACTCCAGTCATACCATCAGGTGGTGTAGCAACAACAAGTGGCGATTCATCTACCTCATCACCAACCTCAACAACACCAATTGTTGAACAACAGGAGAGGAAACCAATTTTAAATGTCTATGATTTGTATTCTATTAAATATACATTGGATTCTGCTGTCCGATCGATTCTTTTGGAAGAAAAGGGATTCAAGGAGGATACTACTTTGAGTAATATTAAATTAATTGTTGGATTTTTGGCTTGTGGAGGTGCTGTTACAGCCTATTTTACTAAAAATCCACTCTATGCTTTGTTTTTATGTATTGCGTATGTATCTTTACGAGTTGATTAATTTTATAATAATAATGGATGAATTATTGTTGGAAATTTATATTCACGCATGAATTGATTTATTGTTGATATTATTAATATTAATATTATTTAATAATTATTCTCATTGAATTTAATAATAATTTAAAATTGTTCTCGATCTATTTGAATTTTTACAAAATCAATAGTTATGTAACTGTTATATTCTCCCTCACACTCAATGGTTACTTTTTCGAACAAGGTACATTCCTTTTGGCTTACTCAATGCAATACGGATATGTGAGAATTGAAAGTGATGTCTATGATGAAGATGAAGAAGAAGCTCAAAAGAGAAATTGTCCAAAATATCAAATTTCGGTTCATTTCCCAACCTTAAACTCGCTCTTCTCCAAGTATAAAGCATCTTCCTGCACAGTCCATCACTCCTGGTATGTGAATGATCTTTTTGATGAATTCGGAGCATTTGACAAGAAGGAAGTAAGGCAAGCAGTGACTGATTTGATCAAGAGAAAGGGGCAATAAAATTGTGCTTGAAGGGCGGGAGGCAATAATCTCTGTTCATTCCAAATTCTCAATCTTAATAAAAAAACAAGACATCATCATCACTATTACAGTGAGACTTTGGAAAGAAGTTATTGTTCTTTATGGGTCTACCTTCTTGTTATCCAAAGATTTCATCATTATCAGTCGTTGACAAACAATCTCTCCGATTATTATTCCTGATCCAAAAATTCCACTTATCACCTTTATTCATCAATGAATCAATCACCGAACAAGTATATTTCACCTTCCCATAATCTCATGATTGCTCATGATATTAGTGCAGAGCTTAAAGAAATGGGGAAGGGTCTTCAATCCTTCTCAAAGAATGTAACACAGCTTCGATCACAACTAGAACACTCAAAGAAGGGAGTTTCTTCTTCCTATATCATCCTTAGAGAAATGAATACAACTCTAGCAGAATACAAGAAAGAATTTGAAGAGTTTGCAAACAAGACCTACAGGAAATAACCATTGTGCATCCATAACCATAGTCCACATCTTATCCCATGTAACATTAATCCACCCGCTTAAATCTTCCTTTTTTAAGGTTGATTTGTGCATTCCAAACAAAATAAAACCCTCACCAATTTCATTATCAAACTGCTCTCCTTAACCCTAAGCTGCTGTTGCTGTAAAGATCCTCATCTAAACTATATCACCACAACCAACATGAGCCCATGACCTGAAACAATTGTTCTCCATTTCTAAATTGACAATTTAGTGAGATGAATAAATTTGTGGCAACAGAAAATAAAAATCTTGAAAAAATGCGAAAATTCTTCAAAGCGTTTTTTTCTGGTTCTCGGAGTGGTGAGGAGACTCTATCAACTGGTCCTATTGAAGAGTGGAGGAAGGAGCAATTTGTATTGTGGTTGAAGGAGAAGGAGTTTGATCAGAGTATTGTGGATGGTAGGTTGAATATTTTGAAAGAATTGATTATTTGATCATCGGAATTTGTAATGAACGTTGTGATTGATGAATAATTGATTATTTGGTTGATTTTTAAAAGCCATTCAGGAGAGTATGGTATTTGATGAAATTCAGGATTATACCAAGCTTGGATTGTATGATTTGGTAATGGTCATTCCGAATGATGCAGCTATTAATGTGATAAATACTCTTGCAAGTGATCACCCTTTGATTTTTGATATGGTCGGAATGGATGATATTGATGAATGTATTAAAACAGCAGAATCAGTTAAAATTACCAGAGTTGAGGACATGACAGAAACTCTCAAGAGCATTTCAAGACATAAGAATCTTACAACCTCTTCTCAAGTGGATGTTATTGAACAACAATCGATGAATAGTAATGAAAAATCAATAGTAGAACAGGATGAAAAGAGGAAATCAAACCCTACAACATCAGCAATAGTGGAAAGAGAATGGGATTTGAATATTATTGAAACATTTTTATCATTGCAGAGAAAGAGATTTCATGAAATTCCTGTCACATATTGTGGTAGCATGCTAGATAGATCGATTGGAAGAGATATAGAATTCCCTTTCTGCCAATCCTCTGATGAGATTCATGATTTTTCTAAAGATCTTCCAAAATTCACAAAACTGACACCACAAGAAGCACATTCCATTGAAAATATTGTAAAGAAATTGAAAAATATTAATTCTCTTTCATGTTTAACAGATGAATCCAAACTTGAGGAAATTGCTCAAAACTTGGCCATTCCAGAGAGATTTAAATTTTTCTACATGAATCCAGATTCAAGCGTATCTGTTGATGATGACACTGAAAAACCTTTCATCACTGTACAATTATTACTGAATCACAGAAAGGATCTCACCGATGAAGAGTATCCACTTGGAGCCTTCTACTTTTCCATAGTTATTGGTCCATTCTGTATTGATTGGAGTGAGAGTGGAATTGCCTGTGTTCGTAGGAAGGATATTTCCATGTCAGAACTTATAGAAATAGAGACTGTTTACACAATGTATGAAATTGATTCTGTATTCAATACAGTTTCAAAAGTATGTTGTGAATGGTCTGCTACGAGAAAATACGATGCTAAAAAGACTAATCAACAACACTTTGTTGTTGATTTGTTACACAGAATCAGTATCATGTCTGTGATTAATCATAACAGATTTTATGATGCTACAGAACCAAAGAAGAAGAAGAGAACCAAGATCAAACAAGCATTTTCACCATACTTGAATTATGGATATTTTGGAACGTGGATCTCTATTTCAACCTCAATGTGGTACAAATTACTGACCCAACCTGAATATGTTTTGAATGAAGAATTGAGACAAACTCTTTTGAATGCCATTTTTGAAGATGAAATGAATTCATCCACAACAGTGTAAGTTTTTAATCTTTTTATTGGAATATTTATGAAAATATTAAAATTGGTGGAATACTATATTGAATGAAAATAGATTGGATGTGGAAATGATAAAATCAAACATTACAAATGATGAGAAATTTGTTTTTATTAAATTTTCCTCTCAGAAAGCATTGGATGATTTTGCCACTCTCACCACCAAGATTAATGTCAAGACAGTTAAGGAACCAAACTTTACCTTTTCACTTTTGAGAGCTTTCGATTTGGCTTTTGGGGATTTTGGAAATAGCACCAAATTCCAACCTTTGAAAACTCCTTCAAAATTGTGTTCCTTTGGAGGTTATTCCATTCCATTTCCAAGGAGATAGAACTTTTCCACCCTGTTAATAATAAAACCTGTAAATTAATTGAAACATATTCAAAAGACTAGAAAACAATCGATTATTATCTGTTTGATATTTACAAAATGATTTTATTTGTACTCTCTTGAATGACTGCAAGACCAAGTAATTTACTTACTCAGAGAATTACTGGTACTTGCACTGGCTGGATGAACATATTCAGCCAAAACATCCTCAATAGAATTTGAATTGGATGAGAATAATTTAGTGAACCAATTATAACCCAATCGAATGGAATCGGTAGCTCTTTTTCTTGGACTCAACATGTTTTCATCATTACTCACTGAACGATCATGAGCAACAGAACCTCTACGTGGTGACATTAAATTTGCAGAGCTAGTACTACTTGTCAAAGCAACTGGTGGAATGTAAGGTTGAATATTATCAACTCTGACTTTTACAGGTTGAGTGAAACGACTTGAATCTTCAATAATACCACCAGTAGCACGTTTCATTTCATTCTTCACAGAGAAGAATAATCTACAAATTCTCTCAGCTTCAAATCTTTGCTCTGGAGTCAAGAATGAAAAAACTGAATTCTCCAATGATCGACTTCCTGAACAAGTCCAATCAATTTCCTTCAAGGAAACTTCAATTGCCTTGATGTATTTTGGAGTTTCTCTCGAATCCATGAAGAGTTCTACTTGCCATGTAATATGGAACAATTCAACAAATTCTTGTCTTGGTTGAGGAATGCCATTTTTGGAAGGTGTGGACACAGATGCAGGGAAGAGTTTTGGATTATTCTTTGTGAGCATACAATCACTACGTTGATGGACAACGCTTAAGCCACCACCATTACTAGAGGTTGGTCCATAGTCACGGAATGAAACTTTCCAAGTTCCTCTGATATCCTTAAATTGGTCAATTGTAATTGTGGACTCCTTATTAGGCAATTGTTGAATAGAATTTTTCAAAGTCATGATACATTGAGCAACTTGTCCAAGTGTACCAACCACAATGGATTGATCGACAAGTGACAAAACCTTGAGCATTGGATGTGGAATTGAATTTTCATTTCTCTTAACGCACAAAGTTCTGAAAACATTTACCAAATCTTCAGGTTGAACGTTGCAAGAGGTGAATGTATTGGTCAAATCTTGATAACAAGCAAGTGTGCAGAATTTACCTAAATGGGAAGGTTTGGCAATGCCAGTTGTCATTTCAAACATGTCATGAACAGTGTTAATGATATCAATCATTCTTAGAGTAGGATCCTCAATAGTTGCAAAATTATGAATAGTTTTAAATTTTCCACTTGTTGGATTATTATTTCTGACAGATTGTTGTCTGACAGGTTCAAAAGCATCAATTGTCATACTATGTGACATTCTTAACAAATCTCTAGTAAATTTCATATTAGAAGATGCTTCTTTCAATTGAGCATCATCATTAGTATTCGAAACCCAACTCTCAGTTTGTTTGTAAATCATTTCATTGAATTTTTTTCCCAATTTTGGAAGTGAATTTTCTATACAAAAAGGTTCCAAACCTTTGTATACTTGTGGGAAAACATCAAAACTGGAAGAGATTGTCTTGTTACTTGTTAATGGTGAAGAAGGTAATCTTGGAGAGCTCATGTCAGATTTAGGTGTCATGATTAATGATTGACTTCTGGCATGTAATCCTTTAACTGGTGTCTTATCAGATATAGGTGTAGCAACACTACCTTTCTGTGAAGGTGGTGTTAATTTCAATTGTTTTGATCTGTCAGGTGTAGTGGCTCTCTTTTGTGAGTTTGGTGAATATGATTCTAACATGTCATGCAAAGTATCATCAGCTAGAGCTGTTCTTTTACGTTTGTTAGGTGAGGAAGTATCCAGATTTGATGTAGATGCACTAATTGTTGCACGTCTTGGTTCTTCTTCGACAGGTGGCAGGCCAAGAGCTGATGTCAGCGTTACATTGGAAGCTGTCGAGGAAGATTCTGTTCTAAAGAGTTTTTGAAAGAAGGATCTAACCATTTTTCCTAGTGGAAGTGTGAGTGGCCTAGTAAAGTTATTTTTTTTTGAATTTATAATTGATAACTGGCAGTTAAAAAGAAGTGGCGCCAAATTGTGTAACGGCTAGTATTGAATTTGAAACCATCACAAATAAATTAGATTTTTTCAAAAGTACAACCTCAGATAACAAATCTCACAGTCCCAAATCGACAAATTTTTTCACAAGTCAACAAAAAGACTCTTTGTATAATACTATATAATACTATACTTGACATTCTCATATCACTACATAAAATTTTAATCAACTTGTACAAGCCGAATGTTCACATTCTTAATAGTTAGAGTCCTTTGTTCATTTCAATACTTTACAATTTTTACCTGCAAGTTGTTGATACTATCTTAATAATTTCATAGTTTACAATTTCCACTTATCCCCCCACAAAGATAAAAAAAAATGCCTCCACGCCGCGCAAGAACAGAAGAGGACAAGAAGACTTCGAAGAAATCAAAATCATCAACATCATCATCGGGTGATAATGTCAAAGTGCAAAAGAAGAGGAAACAAACAAAATCAACCTCCTCTAAGAGAGGTGGTAAAGATGTTGTTGCTCCAACGGTGATGGAAATCAACGACGATTCGCAACAAGATCAAGAATTTTACTTTAATTTGTGGGGACAAGAGGTGAATGAAGATTTGATGCAATATATTTTGGATTTTGTACCGGTTTATCCTGATTTGTTGAATATGAGAGCAACGAATAGATTTTGGAAGAACAAGTTGGAGAAGGTGTTCTTTCCAAAGGTGAAAGTTCTTGATTTGTTGACCAGAGAAAAGAATCAAATTGAAAAGTTTAAAAGTACCAAGTTGAAACAGATGGCTAGTTATTTTCCAAATTTTACCAAGTTGAGAGTTTGTCAAAGTGGTTGGGAGGCCTTTTTTCAACAACCTAACAAGATTGAAACATTTGAATTTTTTGATTTGGAATGTGTTGCTTTGGCAACTGGGCTTTTTGAATTTTTGGATGTTTTAGTGGACTGTCACAAGAATAACAAACACTCTTCAGATCTAAAGACTGTCAATATTTATGGAACTTCTGAAAATGGTTACATCTATTTTGGCACAGACAAGAACAAAATAATTAACTACTTGAATGGATTGCACAATAAGAAAGAAACTCCCATGAGCTCTCTAGAAACAATTAATTTGAAGTATCATAATACATCAGAACAACTTCTGACACGATTGAAAAAGGTAAAGGCTGATAACCCTATCACTGAATATGATAATGTGCTAGAGTTTTGGGATATGCTGGTTTATGAGGAAAATATTAATTGGAATCTATTGCACCCATTCAAGCTTGTAGAGTTGAAAAATGACGATCTATATGATGTAATAATTGAATATGCAAAGGCTCAAGACATTCCTGTCCAGATATCAGAATTTGAATCAGAATTGGCGCGTAGTGATTTATTGTTTGACGAATTTTACAAAAAATTTGTTGCTAATACTGATCTAGAACCTCATTTGAGATACAAAATGGACCGTTACATGTTAAATAGAATATTTCAAAATGGAAATGATCATCTGTTGAATCTAGTTATAGAGAACAAAGAAATACCACTAATAATCGAAGGCGCATATAACCCGTTGACATGCCTGGTGAATAATCGGAAAATAACATTACTTAAAAAGGCTTTAGAAAGAGAGCCTACATTGTTAAATTTGGGAAATAGTAATGGAATAATAGAGGGTAATGCTGCAAACATGAATCTTCTTTACTGTTTATTCAAGTCGAATGTATACAGTTATTCCCCAATTCCATTCGATATAGTCAAATCTTTAATAGACCTTGGAGTGGACCTTAATTATACCTGTTCAGAAGGATCTATTTTAAGTTATATCTCAGATTATAGTGCTGGAAGTTTGTCACTCTTCGAGAATATTGAATTGGAAACTTTAGAAAAAACAAATTCTAATGGATTAAATGCAATAGAAAATTGGGCCTCACGATTAAGACAATTTGGTTCTTATAACAGTATGGAATTTTTAAAGTTTTTCAACAAAATATATCAAAGAAATGGCAAAGAATTGAAAGACTTTAGAAGCTCTAATGGTGGTAATCTGCTCCATATTTTGTCACGTGCACCAAGCACACTTACTGATTATGCTATTACAACTTTGGGCGTTGATATCAGCCACAAGAATAATGATGAAATACCAGCATTGTTTGTTGTGAATTCCAGTATGTGGAGTAGTACATTGCTTGCATCATTAAAATTAGAGGAGTTAAATTCGAGAGATGCAAATGGGCAAACTCTACTCTGCAAATCTCTCCTTGATTCTGAGCGGCTAAGTAGTTTGCTTGTTGAACGGGGTTGTGATTTGGAATATGCCCTTTCCAATGTTCCGTTCAAATCAGAATTTTTCGAGTTAAAAAAGGGGGAACCATACATCAATGGAGCCAAATTACTTTTGTATTATGCTTTTGCACGCTCCATTAATTATTTTTCTATTTTGAACAAGAGTAAGGAGGTTTTAAAAAAGTGTCTTGAGATTGAGATTACAATGAGTTCTGAAACACTTGGAGTAGTTAATCTAACTCCTGTACATACATATTTAATGCTTGGTATTGAAACTCAAACTATTGCTGATCTTGGCTTGATTACAAGAAAGAGGTACATAGTGAATGGGTCAGTGGATTATGGGAATTATACAGACGAAAATGAAGGAATGATAAATTACTATGCTCTTCAAGCAATGAATGGAATTTATAATGAGTATTGTGTCAATTCGAAGTTATATGAGGAGGAGAGCAGTATTACCAAATTAAATTCTTGGAAGTTAGCAGTGAAATATGGTCATTACAGGGTGGCTAAAAAAATTATACATTATTTAGGTAAACCATTAGACGAATGCGAGTCAACTATCAATGAACTGGCTTCTGCAAACTTGCAATATCACATTTTAGAAGAGTCTTTGAAGCGTAAGCTTAAAGAAAAAAATCTAGTAGGAGATGATAAGAAATTGATTTCAGGCTATATTTTCAATTTTACTCCTTTTGGTGACTTTTCAGAATTAGAGCCAGTTGAGGATTTAATTGATTCAGATTTGTTGGAACAAAAGTGTATCGTACAACTTGTGAATAGAGATGAAAATAGAGAATTGACTGAATTTCTTAATAACTACGGGAACACAAGCAATCCTTCTACCATCAAGTATATTGGGAAAATGTACAGTTGCGTTCAGGAGCCTGTTACTTATCAATTAAGCATGTTGGAGGTTTGTGCGTTGAAAGGTTATCCCCTTAAAAAAATTCAAGAAAAGTTGACAACAGAGAAGGAAATTCTTCAATTCTTGTCGAGAATGGATAAGAAATCAGGCAAAACAATTATGCATTTATTGTGTGATAGTTCCTTGCCAGTTTATTTCCGAGTGGAAAAGAGAGAATTGCACTCATACAAGCATTCTCTTATTGTTTCATTACTCTCCAAACTTTCTGCTGCTTCCAAAAAGAAAGTATTGAACTTATTAGACGACAACCATGAAACTCCAATCTTTGCTGCCATCAGAGCCGATTTCAAGAATTTGGTCAAATCTCTGGCTCCAAACACAGATATGAGTTTGAGAAATTCACAAGGAAAGAATTGTCTCGAAATTTCGCAATCAGAAATAATTGACATTCTTATACAGTATGCCGATAAAAAGACATTGGCCTCAAAGAGACAAATTGATGAAGAACAAAAGAGTAGAAAGAAGAAAAAGTAATTAACAAAAAATTGTACATTAAATTCATTTAGAATTATTTTAATTTCCATTTAGAGATTTCCATTTGGTTTCGTGACAAGTGACTTTATTGTAAACACTTGAATAAATTTTTGGAAAATCAATAGTCATCCCCGCACGAAATTCAAAGAATAAGGAATCTTCTCATTGAAAGGGATGATTAAATTTTTATTTTTACAACAACTTCTTGTAAAATTTGTTTGAAGTATTTGCATGTATGAATTTTCAAGTGGAAATGCCATCTCTTAATTGTGTGCTGATAGCCAATTTTCCTAATCCTTTGGCTTTTTTCAAATAAATTATATTCATCCAAATTGGAAAGCGCGCCAAAATAATAAACACTTCCAAAAAAAATGCAGCCACTAGTACTTGTTTGATGATATCTCCTTGCTTATTTTCTTCGGTAGCTACCTAAGCTTCGGATAATCGACCATGGACACCAGGTACTAACTACCATCAGAGAGAGAACAAGCCTTTGTTTTATATAAGAAGAAAAGGCTTGTTTATTAAAACCTTCCGACAAGTTGAAAAAAACAATAAGATGAAGAAACAAGCCGTACAATTAATTTTGCTAGCAATAATATTAGTCATCAACACCCTGCTGACGATACAACCTATTCAATCACTTTCGATAGCCATCAATAAGATTAAAGCCACTACCACTACCACTCCACAAAATGTACAGACAAATAGTAATGTAAATAATGCACCTTGGACACAAGTCAATTTAAATAGTTCTCAATCGAGATTTTCCACCTTTGACTATCGTCATGATAGTTTTTCATTAATTTTGAGAGAATGGTCATTATCGGCCATAGAAACCTCCTCCCTTGTGTTAGACAGTGTGGGGAAGCAATTGCTGGTATTGCTTCATCCATTTATGAAAGGATCTGATCAGTTTGAACCATCTGCTCATCCAACAATGACCTTGATGGGAGCTGTCAATTTGGAAGATGGTTCCTACTCAACCATTTCACAATTCATGCTTCCAGCTGAATTGCAGGAAAATGATTATGATACAGTAATGCCAACTCCAGTTGTCGATAGTAAGGGAAATTATTTCCTTGTCAGAAAGAATATCACTAAGGGAAGTAATGTTCTCATCAAGATTTCACCAAGTTGGAAATGGACCACAATGTATGAATCAGATGGTGTGATGGATATCATGCACGGTTTATTAATCTTTGAAAGATATGGCGAATCTTCAATCGTTCTCTCAACCAGTAGAAATATTATTTCCATCGATACCATTACCAAGACAATTAATTTCATGATTCCAAGTGAACAAGGATATTTTGGTCAACTCATTAGAGACTCCAACAGCCCATACGCTTTTGCTTCAATTTATGGTGGTTTGATTAAATTCGAACTCGAAACTGGTATAGTTGTTACTCAATCACGTTCTGGAGCCTCTCTCGTTCCATACCATCTCAGTTCTCTCAAAACAAGAATGCTTGCTCTCTCACAGTTTAGAACTCTTGATGGATTCATGGTGTTTGCAACAACTTTTGACAAGAATAATTTGACTAGTTCCTCCCTTTCAATTGGTTTGACAGATAAGGCATCAGTTTGTTCCAATGCAATTGCCACTGTTGGTGATGAGTTTGTAATTTTGTGTCGTACAAAAAGTAGCAATTACCAACTCTTTGGCCTCAAGAGTAAGGCTGAAGATATTGAAAGAACTTGGACTTTGAATATCAATTCTGAAGGAGCTGTCTCACAACAATGTTCGCTTCAAATCAGTGTTGTTGATACCAACTCTAGATTTGTTTCTGTGGTTTGTGACCAATCCATTCTCCTTGTTGAAACATCAAAGGGTAAAATATTCCAACAAGTCAACATTGAGGATCAAGGAAGTATTGATGAAGACACTCAAATCGTAGCAGCCCAAAATAACAAGCTCTACATTTTGAGAGAAAAAGTTCCAAGAATTGACGCAATAAAAATTGGTCTGTAGTTGATTGAGTTTCGGTTTAAGCATTTTGTCTAATTAATGCAGTGTAGAGATTTCACTTTTGGACAATTTTTTTTATTTTCTTTGTTGGTGTTAACACCACAGACGAAAACCTTAAATTACAATTATTGTTGAGATGGTGGATATTGAGGTGGATATTGCATTCCTTGTTGTCCTTGTTGTTGTGGTGGGTATTGGCCAGTTTGAGGAGTGTACATGCCTTGTTGTGGATATTGCATTCCTTGTTGTTGTGGTTGCATTCCAGGTTGAGGCATTCCTTGTTGTTGTGGTGGGTATTGGCCAGATTGTGGATTATACATGCCTTGTTGTGGTTGCATTCCTTGTTGAGGGGTATACATTCCTTGTTGTGGATAACTTGGAGGATTCATACCTGGTTGCATTCCTTGTTGTTGTGGAGGATATTGACCAGTTTGTGGAACGTACATTCCTTGTTGTGGTTGCATTCCAGATTGAGGCGGATATTGACTTGTTTGAGGATTATACATTCCAGGTTGTTGCATTCCTTGTTGTGGTGGATAACTTGGAGGATTCATACCTGGTTGCATTCCTTGTTGTGGTGGATATTGAGGTGGATATTGAGGTGGATATTGGTGACCATTCATTGTCATGGTAGTGCTAGTCATTCCTTGTTGTGGATAGCCTTGTTGAGGAGGGTATTGTTGAGATGGTGGATATTGGCCCGCCATTGTTTGAGGCATACCATAACCTGTTTGAGGTTGCATTCCTGATTGCATCACTGGTTTTCCAGTATAAGTTACGGTTGTGGTTGTTGATCCCAAAGTTCCATAAGCTCCGCTATATCCAGTTCCTTTATATCTCATACCTCCACTTTGTAAGAATAAGAATGCTAAAATTAATGAGCTAATCATAATATTGCTTAAACATACCATTAATAAATTCTAAAATCATCATGCGTAAATAAACCCTACACTCGGTTGTTAAATAAACTTACCATTAAGAGTGATGACCTTATTGTGATCAGTATCAACCATTTTGAAGAGATGCTTAGTTTCACCTTTATGAGCTCCCATTTCTAAAATTGTAATTGCAATTAATTGGTGTAGAACAAATGCAAGAGTGAGAAAATTCGTCATCATTGTCATCCACAATTTGAAAAAGACACATTTTAGGAACAAAGATATCAAAATATAAAAACAAACCTTGCATAGCCTTCTTGAATTCCTTCTTCTTCAAAACTCCATTTCTATCCTTATCATATCGATAATAAACCATTGTTGCTTGATTAACAAATTGTTGTTGATTGGTCATCATTTGTTGTGGCTATATATTCATGACATCCAATTAACGGTATTTCATCAATTTTATCATCATTATTCCGATATTTAAAATTCATCATCGTCATTATCATTCAAAAAACATACAACTTGAAAACCAACAGGCAACCACCTTGGTGTTCCTCCTTGGAAGAATCCGTTCATCTCTTAAAATACAAAACTATTGAATATTTTTTTTTAACTTTGAAAAGGTGTTGAATCGCACACTGTAAAACATCATGAACTTGAATATTATTCATTACCCAAAAGATTTAAAAAAAATTGAAGAGTTCTTAGTAACTTGTGAGTTGTTGGATTTTGTAAATAACCACACGGCTGATGCTGCTGATGGTAGATTGAGAGGATTTTTGAAAGATCGGTTCAAATATGAGAAGGAGAAGTGTTTAATGTTTGCTAGTGGTAGGGATTTGATAGGAAAAAGAATGCGACTTACTTTGGAGTATCACTCTCCTAATGATTGGATTTCTGAGAGTTGTTTACCACTCACACATTCTGTTTCATTTTCTGTTGGTTCGAGAGTGGATGTGAAGGATTACTATGCAGAGTTTAAGGAACCTAGATCATACAAGATTATGAATTTTAATTTTTATATGGAACAACATTTAGTGAAAGATGTGGAAGGGAATGTACACTACAACTCGGATGATAGGTGCTTGGATAGCCCAAATACTGTTTTAATAAGGAGAAATGATACAGAGTTTTCAAAGAGCTCAATTATTTCAGTTGGTAACATGTTCAGAATATTGAAGGAGGGGGATGTTGATACATATAAGCTCCAGCAAGTGATGACAATTAGAGATGACATGAAAGAATGTTTGATTCTTAAGGCATCGGATTCAAATGGAGAGATTGATATTGAAATGTTATTTGAAAAGGGAAAACTCTTATTTGAAATTGGTAGTGGAATGTTAGGAGCAACTCTCCAAGAGAGGTATTATAACTTGGATGATGACGTTTGCTGTACTCTTTATGTAAAAGGAGAAAATATGTTAAATGAGCTAGTGTGGAAGGGAGATATAATTTCTAAAGATCGTTCCAATGAGAGATTAACCATTGGAAAGTTTACTTTGTGTGAAGATACTACTCAATAGTTATTGATTGGAAAACCTTTTTCACTACTTGTACATGAAAAACTATTTAGAACCTCCAAAAGAAGAAAAAAGAGGCCTTTCAATCGCCACCGAACATGCATAAATAAATGGGAAAAGCAGATCCGATTCAGAATCTAATTTAGAGCTCAATTCAAAATATTGAACTTTGCTGGTGTGAAGTGTCTTGTTTTTAAGTGGCTCAATATCTTCCAAAAATTCATGAATTTCATCTCGAGTCACTTTATGCTCCAAATCTGATTTCAATCCCAGTAGAAGAATGCACGATTCATTACTTTGCAAAAATGACTCGACAGTTTCAGTTTGTAAAAATCTTTCCTTCCAAGAGTAGAATAATTTCTTGGCATTCTCAAAAGAATTGTGATTATTCAAATCAAAACAATAAAAGTGACTCTTTACAGTCTTGTGATATCCCCAAACAATTTCCCTAAATCGTTCATTACCACCAGAATCCCACGAATGCATTCTCAATAAATTTTGAGTATTAATTCGATTGAAAAACTCGACACCAATGGTCCAAGTGTAAATCTCTGAAAATGGTTCACCTCCAAATGCTCTATGATGAAGGATTGTCTTTCCAATTTTATCATCACCCAACACTGCAATTCTTGAAATTTTTCCTTCTAAATTAGGAGTTTTCTTATCCTTCACAAAAGAATTCATCAATTTGAATTTGAATTGTTGAAAGAGAATATAACTGCTAGTCCAATTTCCGTTATTGTCTGGCATGTACATCATTGGAGCAGAAAATTTAGTCCACAATTCTGGAAACAGAGTCCAATAGATTTTGAAATTTTTCGAAACTTGTTGCAATAATACTAAATTTCTAATGGGTAAATAATCCAAAATGTGAATGATCATTTCCTCTGGTAAATTATTTTCCAATTTACTTGAATATTTAATTTTGTTTCTATTCATACTTTCCAATTCTTGTTTCCGATCAGCATCACTAATTCTAATTAATTTACAATTGGTAGAAAAATAATCAGTAATTAAAGAGTGGCCACTACTCTTCGATGGTGTACACGATGATGAAGACTTTGAATAACCAGCAGGCAAGGCTGGAGTGTTGGAAGGTTGCTTGTTGCCCATTTTTTTTGTAATCTTTATATTTAGATCATGACAGGTCAGAGAAGCCTTCCAAATTTTTGAAAACATATGAACTACTGAAACACTAAGAAATTATCTGTTTATAAATGCAATTTACACTTGGCCATTAGATTTAGAGTTGGTAAATCAGAGCGACCATATCTTTCCTCGAAAATTGTTTCATAATCTTCGAAAAATTCGAAAGCTTCTTTGTAATCTTCATTGTGGAAATATTGACATCCTAGAATGTATCGATCCCATTTGGTTTTCTCTCCCCTTTCCTTCAATTCATACATCCATTCTATTAGAAATTTAAATAGTTTAGTTAAGCCAATAATATTTGCATTACTTACCATCCATTTTAACATCATTTCTATTTCCAATTTCGTACACTGCAACATCTTCTGTTTTTTCCTCACTCATATTAATACTGCAGTCATTTTGACGGAACAATCGAATAGTGTCGATATATCTTGTAAGGAATGATTCGGAAGATTCCTTGTGAATTGGTTCAGTTACCAGAAGTGAAATTGAGAAGCTGGAACAAGTTTTGGAAAGTTTCTTCATGTTGGCATGGCAACTTCCTATGGAGGCATGACTCTTTGCTTCTCTCGTACCTATATTTCCAACAATTGATTCTTGAGTGTGGAGCGACATTCGAATATTGAGAGCTTGATCAATATCTTCTCTGGCATTCCATTTTTCAAGGGATTTCAAGAGTTTATCTCTAAGAATGTGACAATTTGAAATTCCTCTAAAGATGTGGTTTGGTTGATCAGCCAGGGAGTTCCAGGCCAAAGTGATGAGCTCGTTATCGAATTGTCCAACTTCTGCAGCTGAAGTCAGACTAGTTTTATGAATCGAGTCAAATAAATCACTCAACATGATAATAATATCGTGATAATCCAAATGATGTATGCAATAATCAAATCCTTCAATATAAATTCCACACATTGTCACTTGTCTCTTTTCCAATCTTAAAGCCAGTTTGTTCTTCTTAAAGCTGAAAGAACTTGAACCTCTACTATGTCCTCCAACTAGGAATGATCCCAAATGAGATTCTTTGGTGTGATAACTTGAATTGGCATTAATATCCTTTCCACCATTATCAATTTCAAGTAAGACGTTAGAAGGTAGGAAACTTCTGTAGGTTTTCAATCGATTTGCCAACATGACAAACATTTTTTGCAGCTTTTCCACTTCAATAATACGAGTATCTGAGAATGAAAAGGATTCCAATTCCATATTTGATATTGATTCTGCTGCCTGCATAAATTTGTGAAATGGTTTTACAATTGACTTGGATGCTAAAAATCCAACAATGAGAGCAACACTGATAATGATAATACTTGAAATTCCAGACACTGTCAATGCAATTACTGTACTCTGAGTATATCTATTCTGAGGTGTTGCCCAAACGATAATCCAGTCCAAATCCTGTTCTGAACAAACTCTCATAGCATTGATATAGTACAACGATCCCTCTGCCAACAGAACCTTTCCGCAAGTTAGGGAGCTCAGATTATTATTTACACTATGATACATGAATTGAGCGATTTTGAATGTTAATTCATCTGCAAAAGTTAATCCAGTTTTTCTGATCACCTCTCCATTTGATTCATTAACTTCAACAAGGGGATGGGCAGTATCACTACATGCTATCAAGAATTCTGTTTTAGTTTCAATTACAAACGCAACTGATCCATCAACAGATTTGGTTTGTTTCTCTAGAAAAGAAGAAATTGAAGCTGAAGTCACATCATAACCAAAATAATAATTGAAATTGAAATTGCTCACTCTTGATGAATTGAAAGTGTTAAGGAGTGTAAGGAAAGTCACACTAGGTACTGTCGAATCTACATAACTCAATGAAAATGACGGTCTTCCACTATGCTCATGAGAATGTGTGACCAATGGAGAAAGATCAAATGGTGGCAGTTCAACAGTTGCATTCACAAGATTTCTCTTGCAATAATCCGAGTGTTGTACATCTTCACAAAGGTACATTTTCTGCCCCTGTTGTTTGTTCACATCTAGATAAAAGACAGAATCACCAGATCTATAAATCCCCCAACAATTTCCCACTGTATCACCAATATACAGCGTTATTGTAATTTCAGATCGCCCTAGAGCCATTTCACTCTTATACAAATTATACATTGTCTTTTCAATGAGGGAGGGATCTGAAAAATTAAAATCTTCTGTTAACAGTCTTTTCGTTGTTTCAGATACTATAAAAAATACCATCAAGATATTAAATTATAATTAGAAAAAGTATTATTTGTATATTAAGGTAAAGTAAAAACATACCAATGACCAAATTCTGTATCGTTTGATTAATATTATTTACAACTGTTGAAAATTGCTCAACTCTCAATTGCGAACTCATCACAGCTAATGTTGGAACAGTAGTTGATATCCAAATACTAGTCAATGTAACTACCGACAATATCACCAACGAAGATATAATCCCCACCAAACAGCAACTTATTGATCTGAAACACATTCCTCCACCATAGGCTATTTCCATCATATGTGAGGTGGTTGAGGCGTTTTCATCCTCATGATTAGGATGAAAATGATAACTTTGATAACTGGCCTTTAAATCCTTACCACTCTCCTTCCCACTTGCCTGTATAGAGAATGATTGGGAAGAATCTTGTTTTGTCGTTTTGTTGTTGGTGTTGGTGGTGGTCATTACTGGAGATGTGGCAACAGGAGACACTCCCCCAACAACAATACTGCTATTAGAGGAGGTTTTGTTTGGGAGTGCCATTCGTGTTGTTGATGAAGTGGATGATGAAGGTGTTTGTTGATGAGTATTATCCTCACCTTGTGGAATTACCTTATTCTTCATGGTATTCTTATATATTGTATATTATTATTAACTTGAACCTTTGGATTGTCTTATTGTTTGTTGAATTTTTTGCCTATTGCTCGCTTGAAAAAAATATAATAAGGCAAATATATAGTGTGTGTGAGTATCAAGTTGGAACGTGGTTATTTTGTTTTTAAATTGTGGAGATGCAATTTTTCAATGCTTTCCCTTAATAGTTTCGAGTTTCCTTAATAATAAGTTCTCGCTGGCAACCGCAATGCAATGATCGCGCATTTAGTGGCCTAATAAGGGTTTAATTACCCGAAATTTGCTTAGATGATTCTCACAATTAATTACGTTATAATATAATGAAACATGAGGAAAATTAAACCGCCAAGAGAGGTTTAGCGAGAATGATAAAGGCATCTCCAATGGTATCTTTCGATAACACAATTCTTGATTTGGCAACTGATAAGGTGATGGGAATGTTGTGCTTGGAACGAATGTCATTTCTTATTCGAATTGTTTCGTCATCCCATGGATTATCATTCTCAGCAAGTGGATTCGTAATGAGTATGGCCAAATATCTTTCACAATTCTGATTTTGAGATAAATATTCCAAAGTTAGCAATGATTCTTCCAATGATATGAAATCCTTCTCATTACAAATAATTTGATTCACAAAACATTTTTTGAACCATTGGAAACCTTTCTTTCAAATGTTTCATTCGAACTAATCAACTTTCCACTCTCACACTCCACAATAAATATAAAATCCTGAATACTATTCATCACTGCCTTACATTTCTCTCCCTCTACAGTAATTCTCTCCAAAATTGTTTTCATCATTTCGTTATCTTTTGAGAGTTTGTGTTGCACCAATTCTAATGCTCGAAGCATTTCGTTTAGGTTGATTTCTAATTGTCCAATTTCATCTTTTTCGTGGAGTTGGTGTTTTGGAGGGGGTATTCTTAGTGTTGGGTCATTGTCTTGTGTGACTTTCTTAATTATTTTTTGGATGGATGAAACCCTTAGAATAATACCAATTTCAAAAAATCCCTGCAATGCTAAACTCAAGATTGTGGAAAGAAGTGCAAAGAAGACATAGATTGAAGCGGATCCTCCAATAATTATCGATTCATTCCTTCGCTCATCATCAATTCTCACAACCATTACTGCCTTGTTTTTAAAATCTCTGAATAAGAGAAAGTTAACTAATCTTGTTCCAACAGATGATGTAGATGGATTTGAAACTCCAAAGTATGAAGGACATGTTCTATCTTCATATGAATAAACTTGTGAAACTTTGGTAAGAAAACTTGAACTTTCTATTTCGTGTCTATCAAAAAAAGATGAATATTCATTCAAAGTAGATTCAAAATTATGATAATTGGCATTCTCTAAATACTCAAATACTACTTGGGAATCATTCAATCCATTCACATTTTGTAAATCCATATCAATTTTGAGTTGTGACACATCTGTCAAATCATCCATATTATAAACAGTAAAGCAATGACCAGTTCTCAATGCAATTTCATTCAAAACATCCCTTTCCAAATATCTTCCATAAATAATAAACCCATCTGCCATACTTGTATTCAAAGTTTGAATTGGGGTTCCAGAAATTAATAGAATTTCCTCATACGTAAGATTTGCATGATTTTTAAATTGAATTGGCGGAAGAATTTCCAACTCGAAAGTTTTCTTGTTGATTTTCTGTTTGGGTATCAAAATTGAATTCACTCTCATTGAAGAATCATTCCAATTCCTTAAATAAAACGAATCTAAATGAATTAATTCATCAATCAGTCCATTAATTTCGTCCAAATTCCAACATGATTTGTAATGTAGTAGGGTACCATTCGGATAATACATTGCAATATAATTCAATGACATTCTCTCCATGAAATAACAGGGATAGTAAGTTTGGAAGAAGAGAGAAACTTGATTGGCAGCATTTGATGAATGGACCATTTCGTATATATTGTCCCATATTGCATAGTTGGCTATTTTGTCATTAAGATTTAAGAATTCATCTCGAAAAGCGTTGATGGTTTGTTTCGAATAATCATCAGATTGTTTCTTCTCAACTATTCGAAAGGAATCGCGAAAGGAAAAAGCAAAAGTTAATGTACAAACTATAACAAGTATGAAAAAGATGATAAAATTGAAAGTACAAATACTCATGCGAATACTAAGGAAAAAATTATGAATACGATTTTCCTTTCGAATAGTTTTTTCGAATAATGATGGTTTTTCAGTATCACTTTGCAATGATACCGGAGAGAAGTATACCCTTTCCAATGTAATTGGATCTTGCCTACTATTCTTTCGATTTTGCTGCATTGAATATTTTTTTTAAACTTGGAAAAGTCAACTGATGGAGATAACGAAAGTTGCCGAAACATCATTGTATGTAGTGTCGATCAGTGACTTTATTTGAAACATCTCCATACATTCTACTAAAGAGACTAATAATTGTTGTACTTTTTATTCGAAATCTTGTTAGCTTTCTGTTATGGATTTATAGCCAAATCATTTAAATGATCTCTATTCTCAGATAGTATAGAATAATCTCTCTTGAATTCTTGATTATTAATTTCAGATAACAGTTTAGGATGAGCATACGAAATGGCTTGACTATTCGTTTTCATTGCCAATACTAACAGTTCTCCATCTTGTCTCAATTCTTGAGATAGGAACTGATACACGTGCCCATTTTGCATAACAGCTTGTCTTGCCACTTGTCTTTCACACTTGACATTTTCAGGTAAATATCTATAATACAGACCTCTCTCACTCACCAATCGCATAGCAAACTGTAAACTATTCAACAATTCCTCCCCAGCATATTCCAAACAACTATCATAATGTCGAACTGCTGTCAAAACTATAACTTGATTATTTCTATATTCTGGAGGTGCATATTTTAGAGCTTTGGGATAAAATCGGAGAATGTTTGTGATGAACGAAGATTCTGGCATAGTTAGTAAGCTGCTGTGAGAGAATGAAGGATCTCTTCTGCTGAAATAATGTTGAGGTTTGTTGGAATCATCGATGGAATAGTGTGCAAAGATGGTCAACTTGGCTGTTGTTTGATATTTATCCTTTAGCTTGGCAGATAAACGTCTGTGTTCTTCTGTTGAGTTGGTCAATTCTGTGTTATTGACATCCAATAGCAAAATGACACAAACCATTTTTTAATAAGTGTTCTTGGTTTCTGTGTGGGAGAATTGTGAGGTTGTGGAGTACGACGAAATAATCAAGTTATTTCTGAAAGGTCAAAATGCAACTGCACCAACAATGAGCGATTCAACATTGTTGCTGTGGCCATTGTTTGTTGTGAACTTGCTTTGATAGATTTGAAATTTGAAGCGAACGCTCCATAATGGGAAATTCTAAAACAGATTGTGTAACATAAAAGAAACATTGTCCAAAAAGTGGATCCTTACAACCTTAGAATTGTGATCAAGTAATTTAAACATCCAAAACATTGCCTCCCTTGGGAATCGAACCCAAGACCTCTGTCTTACTAGGACAGCGCTACTGCCAACTGAGCTAGGAAGGCTTTACATTCATTTTGAAATCCATTCAAAACTGAGATGTTCTACTTCCAAAAATTCACTTTACTTTGTTTGATTGGTTGCTTGTTGTAGTGTTTGGATGATGTGGAGAATATCCTTATGATCCATGGAGGATAATATTTCCTCGGTGTATGATGTTAATAATATTTCCTGCAGTGTTACCTTATTATTATTATTTGTTGATTCTTGCCGATTATCCAAATTATTAGTATTCCCACTAGTGCCAGATTCAGCATCTTGTACAAGTTTAGAAGATTGCTCATTTAACAGTTGTGCCTTGATACCTTCCAATTTTTGAATTTCCAATTTAACACTTTGGATGTTGGTCGTTAACATTCTCAACACTTCGTGATGAGAAGTTAATTTTTGATTCATTTGTCTATCAAATTCTCTAAGATCTTGATTTTCTTTCAGCAAGTATTGTTTATGTTCAAGAAGTGAATCGTATTCCCTTCGGAGAGAATTGGTGGCCGAAAATCTATCATCACCTGCGAAAGACATTTTCTAAAATTTCTCTTCTTCTTCTAATTATTTATATATTTACAAATTGTTCCAGAATATCAAACAACGTCCCTATTCTTATTCCGATTATGACGTCAATGATGGTAATAATAAATTATCAACAACTCCAATGATGATGAAGAATTTTTTTAGCTTTAAATTTTCCGAGCATGATGATGAAGTAAAAATGTAAAAATCGTACGATCTCAAGGATGGACTTTCATGTCCTTGCACAGTAACAGAGTTATTTAAAAACTTCAAACTAATGGGAGTTGAAATAGCATAACAACACTAAGAAAAATGTCTCAACAAGAATCTTCACCATCATCCTCTTCTAATGAATCAGCCACCAATAATTTAAATCACTTATCCCGAATGAATATTACCTATCAAAATGTGCAAATGGTAGATATTGATAGTATTTCTCGACCAGTCTTCCCGGAATTGGATCTGTGCAAAGTTGACTCACTCATGAACACAATTGAAACTGATTATGATAAAGTACCACCACTGGAAGCATTACGTTCTCCATCTGGTAAACTCTATGTATTTGGAGGTTGTCACAGATATGAAGCTCATCGTAGACTCGGAAAGAATCAAATCAAATTGAATATCAGAGATGCCACACCAATGATGTTGCAAATGTATTTGGGAGCAAGTTATTTGGTGGAAGAGGAAAATTATAAGAAACAATTACAAGAAAAACAACAAGAACAAGTGTAAATAAATCAAACCTAAATTATTGAGCTCATATTTGGCCTTATTTATATTTCTCACCTTCTTTTTTAAACTTATAGAAGGATGCAAAAGAATCATTTGTAAAATAATTCATGTCGAAATGATGTCTTTGATTAAGATTATCAATGCCTTTCAAAAAACTTCTTTATAAATTGATAATTATGAATACTTGTCTAATTCTTCTGTTCGTTGCTAATTGTCACCAACAACTTCATATGTTTTAATTTCAGATTTTATTCCATATGCTTGAATAACACCCAAAACCACTTGTCAGGTCCTCTATTTTTTTCAAAACTTGTAAACTTGCAAAGAATTCTGTAAAAAGAGAACTCGTAAATATTTGGACTTATTTATGTTTCCCGCCTTCTTTTTTTAATTGGGCTTGATCTCTCTTAATTGTTTTGGAGGGACTCTAACAAACTAAAAAAGTCTCTCAATAACAATCACCAAATATCCTTTGCATTTCCATCATCTTTTAAAAATTTGTTTTAATACCAAGCGAAATAGTTATTCCCATCGGTGGTGCTTGAATCAATTTCGTGGTTATCATCTCTTTTCCTTAGTTGAATTTTGAAAAGTCTCAAACTCCCGGTAGCACCTCATCCAATTTAATACAGCTACCAGTTGAACATCTTCGTCTCTCTCGTTCTCTGAATAGAATACCACCCTATTAGAAAAATTAATCAAATCGGATGGTTAATAATCAAGCAACTCAACCCAAGAAAATAACACCACTAGTTGTACCTCAAATTGGAAAGCAACAACTCATCATTATGAGGGACTTACAATCGACAGAAAAAATTAATATTACAAAACCCTCAACTGTACATTCCGATAACAAATTTGCCTTGAACGAACTTTCTCCAAAAGAGAACATGTTGAAGCATAAAGACGACTTCCTTGAAACCCTTCAAATAGATGCAAAACTAAAGAAAAACACCCAGATGAGTGGAGCTGCACAAGTAGCAAGTAACAATAATCGTATCATGCCCAGTGATCAATCTGTTGCCTCCTCGATAGTGGAAGGTGGTGCAACTACACTCACAACAGCAGACATGATACAACATCATCACATTAGCCACACTTCTTCTACTTCCTCACAATTAGTTGGAGGAAATTCACCAACAGTGGAAACATCAACAACAAGTATTAATACCAATAGAAAGGATTCGGGAAATGATAGCCTTTCCACTTCATCAACTTGTTCTTCTAATGAGAGTTTATCAAGTTCTGGAAAATCCTCTCCTGATACAACAACAGGAGCAACCATCAATGCTGACGAACTGGCTTCCTCTTTATCAGCCTCTAATTTTACATCACCTCACTACAATTCTTCTTCTACTAACAATGTACATACTTCTACCACCCCTTCAACTACAACAACATCAACCTATCAATCCTCTGGAAATAATACAAATGTACCAACAACAGAAACTTCATCAAAAAAGGTTCGAGTGTCTGTTTCTGATAATCCTGCAATTAGTAACAATGCAAACATTGAAGACAGAAGAAATAGTATTTTTGGCTCGCCAACAGAACCACCTTCTGCAACTTCACCACAACTCAATCAATCATCAAATAATACAAGCTTTATGCAAGGTGATTCGGCTATGATCTTGAATGAAAAGTTGCACCAAATCTTCCTTCCGATTTGTCTTTTCCTTTGTTATGCTTATTTGATTGTCTACTCGACCGACTATCCAATTAGCATGAGCTTTTTATGCATTATTGCCATTGTTATCAATTTTAAATATGTTAGAAATTTGGTACAACAACGATTGGTTGTTTGGCTCATAAAACATCTATCCAGGGATGCAGCCACACTAGGAGAAATTGTAGAACATGAAGATATTGTTGGTGGCAATTCTGATCAGAGTGTAATTCCACTCACAACACCCCTACCCCCATCATCATCAACATCTGAAGGACAAAAGGAACCAAACACTGTTCCATTCTATTCATCAAGTGATTTTTGGAGATTTGGAAGTGTTGGCTCATCGTCGACATCCTCCACCACCACGAGAGCATCCTCTTCTTCCTCAAGTGGAACACCTGTAGATGCTTCCTATTTGGCAGCAAAGAAACAACGGTTGTTGGAAGTCTACACTTGCAAAGTTATGATTGTAGTGAATATTGCAGTGTTCTTCCTTAGACTTTTGTTGTGCACAAAGGATTATACTGTTGGATGGCTAATGATTGGATTCCTCTCGAGCACTGTGCACAATTATTCATACATTATTCTTCAGAATGCACTTGTGGATTGCAGGGTACACTCATATGAGGCTATCATGTGGGTTATCCTCTCACAACACATTGTTTCGGTGGGTATTGCCATCATTTTGTCAGTGGTCCATAATCGATATGTTGAAGCATTTGGTACTTTTTGCTTGCTTACTGTTTTGAACTTTATGCTCAATTCGGTGAGTTACAAGTTAATGAACAGACTCAATACTATGAAGTTAATGACAAGCAAACTGAAGGAAGCTAATCGTTCCAAGAATGCACTTGTCAGTTCCATTTCTCATGAGTTTAGATCTCCATTGGTATGTTTAAACTTTATAACCCGATTCAAATATTTTTCTACCTTTGAAACTAATCATATATTTAACAATATATTTCAAATATATCACTGCTGAATGCAAAAATATAGATGAGTATTTCTGGAAGCATTGAACTCTTATTGGATACAACTCTAAATGCTGAACAAATTAATTACATCAAAACTATTGGAAGTTGTTCCTCAATCTTGTTAACCCTGATTGAAGATATTTTACAATATTCAAAACTTGAAAAGACAAACATGGAAATTGCCACCAATTCAATGCTTGGTAAAAATACAACTAATGAAGAAAAGGTTGAAAACCACAAGACTGTCTTTTCCCTCTTCGATTGTTTACAACATGTGAGAAGCATTGCCAGCTCGTATGCTTCTAACTTTGATGTGACCATTGATTTTGTGACGAGCAAATTCCTTCCGTCCTATGTTTTGGGAGAGAGTGTTCGTTTGCAACAAGTTCTTATCAATTTATTAACCAACTCAATTAAGGCTTCTTCGAGAAATCAAGTTGTTACCCTCGCAGTTGAAGTACTCGAGGATGATAATCCAGAAGATATCATTGATGATGGAAGATCAAGCGCTAAGGAAATTGTAGTAGTCAAGAGGAAGGATCTATCCATTGAGCCAACAAGTACCACCAGTACTGAATCATCAGCACAAACACTCCTCCAACAAGAAACTCCAACCATCAAGACTGTTGTTTTCAAGGTTATCGATCATGGATGTGGTATTCAGAAGGATATTCAAAAATTACTCTTCAAACCCTTCTCCAGTCACAATCACAATGGTGATGGTAGTGTGATTGGCACAGGCCTTGGATTGACCATTCTTAGAAAGATTATTATCAACATGAAAGGTGGCATTAGCTATAGAACCCTTTGTGAACCATCACCAAATCATGGTACTACATTTTGCATTTCAATTCCATTCCAACTTCCTGATAAAAAGAAGAAGAATTCCCTCAAACAAATTGAAGAAATCCTCAGAACAAATCCAATTGTGAATCAATCGATGAGTACTGAGAGTATGACCTCATCTTCTGGTGCCAGTACCATTTTGCTCGACTCTCACATTAAGAAGAGTGATGATTTGGGCACCATACCAAATGCTCTAAATAATATTGATAGCGAAATTCAAAAAACTCACCTCCTCCATAAGGAATTGTACATGATGAAGAAGAGACAATCAAAGAGCAGTACTACTGCCTCGCCAAAACATTCTCTACAAGATTCTACGGGATCCATTACTACAAGCACTACGACCACAACAACCAACACTACGGAAAACACGAGTTCCGTCACCGTTACAGGTTGCATTGATATCTTTGAAACTAAGATATTACTTGCTGAGGACAATCCTATCAATCTTTCTGTACTTAAAAAACTATTACAAAAAGGTGGATTCAAAAATATCACAACAAGTGCCAATGGTTTCGAGTTGATTGAGGCCTTCAGGAAGGAGTATCACCCTATAATTGTAACGGATCTTCACATGCCCATCATTAATGGAATTGACGCAGCAAATGAGATTCGATCCTTGCCAAATGGTGATAAGGTCAAAATTATTCTCTTAACGGCTGATGCCCTAATGGACAAGTTTAATAATATGGACTCTATTGATTCGTGCCTCAACAAGCCAATTTCTAAAGACGATCTGAATCAGGCAATAATTTCTGCAATCAGAGCACAAGAATGACCCTTAAAAACGTCCAAATAAATATTTCACATTTCTTTTTTTGGATGCTTATGAAGAAGAGAAACCACAGTGGTTTGAGGTTTTTTCTAACGTCAAAAAAAAATTAAAGAACATCAATAGACCACCTCCTTAATATTTTTTGGTTCTACAACGACCAACAACTTCCTGAACCACAACAACAATAATTTATAACCTCCTCCCACACTAAGAATGAAGATAGGATCCCTACAAGCCTCTCAGAGGAACTTTAACCACTCCATCATAATTATGTCGCTCTTAATATTTTTCTTTATACAATTCCACTCTACATGTGTGAGGTGCGAATATTTTACTTCAATGTCCTCGACCATAACAATGAAGAAGAAGAATATCATATCCTCATCCCCATCATACTCGTCGTTTCACTCCAATTACATTACCATGTCCACAAGAGATACAACACTGAGGTACAGAACAAGTAGCAACTCTGCCCTAACACCCAGTAAGACAAACTCTAGCGAGAACACCTTCCTTAGAAGAATGATGAATGCCAATACTAGATCAACGCTGGAGGTTCTTCCTTCACCATCAACCTCTAATAGCTCGGTGATTAATGTCAATGTATCACAGAGCATTGGAAATCAAGAGGGAGAAGGAAAGAATCAACATACGATACATGAAAATCTTACTGGTAAGATTGTTGGCTTTTCATTTCTCGGATTGGTGCTTATCGTTGGATCGCTGGTGCTGTGTTTAATGATTGTTGCTATTAGCTTGTACTTGTACATTAGGAAGAGAAAAGAGATTGAACGAAGGAAAGTAATATTGAGAGAGGAAGACTTTGAGAATGAAATGATGAATGACTTTGCGCACATGTTACAATTAGATGAGTAAACTAAGTATTTCATTACCCAGTTGTTTCTCATGACAAGTATTCAAATTGGTTCTCTATCTCCCTGTATTACCATTACTGCTCTAAAAAGTTCTTCCCTGTTATCAGAATTGGACCTTAATGGTCTTTTGAGAGAAGCAGGATGAACTCTTTGTACAACCCTCTCTCCAGCAAATGATGAACCAGTATTTAAAAAGAAGATGTATTAAAGAAAATAAATGATAATTCTTAATTGTGAAATGTGTTAAAATGAAATGTCAAGAAGGGAACGTTATTTTTGCAAAGTTCAAAAAACCAGTATTTCCTAGATCTGTTTTCAGTTTCCCTCCTTACTGGACTGCTTCAGAGCGTCCGTATATGGTGAAATTAAGCAAATAGCAACTATGTCTTCTGTAATTGGACATTGTTAAAATATTTATGAACCTTCCCCACTCATGAGAGGCCACTTTGTAATGGGGTATATGTAACGGTTTCTGCATAAAGAAACAGTAAATTTATGAATGTTTTAAAACGGAAGAAGAGCAATGTTAATTAAGAAGATATTTACAGTAACATTTGTGGGTCAGTGTAGAAATTCTCACTATTGGATGGGGTGAAAAAGTCAAAATCTAGGAATGGACTAGATGCTTGCTCCTCATTTGATGATGGAAGTGGTGGCAATTTATCAATACCAGGATTATTGGCAAGCATTTCTTCAAGTCTTTGTGAAGATTCCTCATCATTTGGAATTACATTTGGCAAATCAATGGCAGAATATTGAGGCAGAGATTGTTGCTGGGTTGGTTGTCGGTACATTCTAGCCAATTGATTTTCACGTTCTACCAACTCATCACGTAATTGTTTAACAAGAGTTCTTGCCTTGTTTTCTGCAATGGTATATCTGTCAGCGAGTATGGTTAAAGCTCTGTGATCTTTCCTAATAATGTCATGGTAATCCACGCCATTATCAAATCGCTCCCTTCTTTGTATTTGTTTTACAATTGCCAGGTGAACTCTTGCTGCATTAGCGACAACAGAGATAATATGGGAAGGTAAATAAGGAAAGTACATTAAGGTGGAATAATTGGTGACTCTGTTGGCAATTTCAATGATAGCGTCATCAGCATTATTAGGTGATTTCAATAATATTCCCAATCTCAATCCATCAATGATAAACAAGTGTAAAAGTTTGTGAACACTTGATTTGGCTGGAGAGCTCTCCAATTGATATCTATTGTATTGTATTGCCTGACTATTGATTGTTAGAATGTATTCCTGTAAAATACTTTCAGAAGTAGATGGTGGAACTGTCTTTCCACACTCACCATCTGAAATATGTTGTGTGAAAAAGACAAAGAATTGATAAATGACTACAAGAGCCTTCTCTGAAAGAATGAGTTGTTTCTTTAAATCTGTGCCAACCCCTTCTTGAAGACCTTCATCATTGGAGAAGATAACAGCATCCTCCTTCATTAACAATCCAATATACATGAACATTTTACACAAATTTCCAAACAATTCATCATTTGCCAATTGTTCCTTATTTTGATCAATGAAAAATTGAACACTATTCAAATAATACTTGGCCTGATTTGGTTCTCCTTCTCCAATACAAAAATTTGCAAGATATAGAAATGTAGCAGCAATTTGAAAATTATCCAAAATGTCAAAAACATCCGACAGGAATTTTCTTGCCATTTTGAAAGATGCCCTTCCTTCCAGTTTTCTTCCCAATCTTTGATAACACAATGCTTGAATAGCATAGAGCATTGCCACTTCCTCAGCCTTTGAATTTTCCTCAGGTCTTTTCGAACAAATCATCAACATGGCATCTCTTTGTAAAACAGGACAACCAACACTCACAACATCAAAGTATAAATCAATGATTTGATAATTGAATGGTGCAGGTTCTGATGAATTATTAGAAATGTCATAATGAGAGGAAGGTAATGATGAAGGTGTTGTTGTTTGATAGGGATTGTGTCTATGTGATGATAAACTTGTTGATTTAATTGATGATGATGAAGAAGAAGTATTATAAACTTGATGAGAGGTTTTATCAAGAGAAGAGGCTGATGAAGAAGGTGAGTGTTGTTCGGGTGATGAGGTTTTAGGCTGAGGACCTTTCTTCATGGGTGGTGGATAGCAACATTCTCTTCCTCGTGATTTACATTCTTTACATATTGGTAGTGATCGGTCACATTTACTATATAATTATTATTTAAATAGTATTATTAATATATAACGTAATGTAATATTATTAACGATTAATTTAAATATTAATAGTGTTATTCATTATTATTTAAATTAATTGTTAATTCTGTATAATACATACCGATGGCTTTTTCTACAAGCAATACAAGCAATCGGATGAATATTGCCGTTAGGAGAAGATGATGATGATTCTGGTGAGTGCGTAGTATTATTACTGCTCATGATGATCGTTTTTTTCGGTATCTTTGTTTTAATTGTGATGATATTAATGTGGTAGGATATCGGAAGGATTTCAACACCTTCTGGTGTACTATTCCTCCTATCTATATGACTCCAGTATTAAATACTAGTAATTTCATGACACAACAATTTGATCTTATTCTAGCAAAATCAAATCGCCTCTAACCGATCCATCCGCTTTTTGAAAAGTTTCACCCAACAATTTACAATTTATAATGAGAAGTATCATGTTTTTATAGAATAGCAAGAGAGTTTTGTAGAATATTATTTGTAGAATACATTTGAACATTTTTATTAAGGCTGTATAAGTGATCTTTTCTGATGATTATAAGTCCTTAGGGAACCACAACAGGAGTTTCAACTCCTAACTACCGGTTCAACATATCTTTAAAATAAATATTATTAGTTAAAATATCAATCTCCAACAATATTATATAACCTTCTCTTTCCTTTATTCCACAATCTTCTTTCCAATCCAATAACTTTGTTTCTTCTTTCCAAAGCGAATATTCAAGCATCATTTATGGCGAAAAACGAATACAAACGCGAAATCATAAAAAAAACGTTTTAAAAAATATGAAAGTTTCATCATTCGCTGTTTTTGCTCTCGTGCTTGTCTTGTTGATGGTGGTATCCATGACAAGTGCTTTAAAGTTGAACATCCAAAAGACTTCTTCACCAATGGCCGGAAGATCAAATGTTGTTATTAAAAAACTTAATATTCAACCACATTCATTGTCTGTTAGTGGTATTTCTAGCGGAGGCTTCATGGCTGTTCAATTCCAAATGGCTTATTCTGCTGCTATTGTTGGTGCTGGTGTTTTTGCTGGTAAGTTTGTTATTAGTAATGATGATTAACAAATATTCAATTGAATATTATAATATATTTCGTATTATTTCACTATTATGATGATATGTTTTCTCATATCCTTATCCTACATCCTTCTCTCATTTCCTTCACTCTCACTGTCATCTTTTTGTCATCTTTTCAATTACATGAATGACAATGTGTGTTGATTCAATTTTTTAATGGTGAATGATTCTGTTTTTTTGATGTGGTCTGGGTTGTATGAAAATTGTCCATATTTTGGAATTTCGCGTTTTTGCTCACTGCTGTCTCAAAATGTAATTGAAACTTTATTCGTGAATTTCTCTGTATTTGTCCATCACTGAATATGTTACTCCATGTATTGGAAATTCAATTGATTCTCTTGTTTGTCCTTACTGTGCTGTGTGAAAATGGTTACTGTGTGGTGATGAATTTAATTTTGGCTTTTAACAATTCAAAGGTGGTCCATTCTTCTGTTCTCAAGGACAAATGGCCTATGCTTTTGACCAATGTATGTATGCTGCTCTCCCAATTGATTTGGATTCTTTGCAACAAACCTTGCAACAATATGCTTCTCAAAATGTCATTGATCCAATTGCCAACATTAAGAATCACAAAGTCTTTATGTTCAGTGGTACCTCTGACAATACTGTCAACCCATCTGTCATGAAGGCTCTCTTTGAACAATATAGAAAGTTGGGTGTTCCTGCTGCTAACATTAATGCTACTTTCACTGTTCCAGCTGGTCACGCTTGGATTACCAATGACTATGGTAATGATTGTTCAATTACTCAAAGCCCATGGATTAACAATTGTAACTTCCCAGGTGGTCAACGTGTTTTGGGTGCCATCTATGGTAACGTTACTGTTGGTAAGGCTCAAGATTCTAACTTGTTCACTTATGACCAATCTAATTCCTTCTCTGGCACTGACATGGACAGCAAGGGTTATATTTACATTCCAACTGCTTGTCAACAAAATACTCAATGTAAGATTCACGTTTCTTTCCACGGTTGTGAGCAAGGTGCTTCTTATGTTCAAGAACAATTCGTTCAACACACTGGTTTGAATGAAGTTGCTGAAAGAAGTAATATCATTGTAGTCTATCCACAAGTTTCAAGTGGTCAAATGTTCTCCAATCCTAATGGGTGTTGGGATTGGTTTGCTTACAGTGGTCAAAACTTTGCTAACAAGCAAGGTTCTCAAATGGCTGCTGTTGCCAACTTGGTTAAGGCTCTCGGTTCTGACATTATTGTTTAAATAACTAGTAGCCATTTATTATGGTTTTTTAGACACAATTCTTTACAAAAACAACACGAGTATATATATATTGAATAAATCTAACTATCTTTCAAATTGATTTGTAATTTGAGATTGTATGTTGAGAAGGAAAATGGTGCACTAGTCATTCAGTAACAACTCATTAAAAAGTCAATTGCATTGAAAACGATATAGCTGAATACAATGATCACTTACTTATTTTAAATACGAATTACATGATGAGACATTTCTCAAAATCAGTTTCAATATTTGAAATATTGGAACTGTCTTTCACATTTTTTTTTAATTCGTAGATTGTGAGAAAACCACAACTTGGGTGGTAGTGATATAAGTGGTGACATTTGTTTTGTAATAAGGAAGCGATAAAAGTATTGTAATTATTTAACACCAGAATTGATTTTTGAACTTGGAGGCTTTCCTGTTGCGATACAAAGCGAAACTAAAGGCTAGCCTTACAAGAGGAAGAAGAAGTGGAGTGTTTCATCTATTGTGAAACATTATCAAGTCACATCAGCGATTCAGTACAATTTTTATTGAACGTGTCTTACATCACCTCGGGAATTGTAAATCACACAATCCTCAGAGACTACTTCTTTCTTGATTGTTATGGATTCTAGTTTGAGAGATGAGTTGAGAGAGACAGTCTTTGGATCAATAATGAGACCACTAACAGTATTTCCAATCAATTTGTACTGCAATCGAACAAGAGAATTCTTATTGACAAAGAATGGATCAGAGACATCCTTAACAAATTCAGCCGAATTGAAGGTGAGTGTTGCACTGAGCGACATTTCAGTTGTTTTCCACTTATTTCCAATAGTCCAAACGAGTGTATTTCTTCCCTTTCCTTTTGTCAATTGACCTTGAGAAGCTTGATAGGAAATGTCAGAAATTTCACTTCTATTGGGGAATGGTAACAGAGCATTACAGTAATCAAATTGAGAATCCAATGAGTCTATTCCAAGTTGCAATAAAAATTCAATCTTATTATCGGCCAACTCTCTCATCTGATAGTATCCTCTCACTGGTGGTTTCTTTAAATTTTCAATATTATATTTACAAAGAACAAAAGCTCCTGATGGTGGTGAAAATGAAAGACTAGCAAACTCTCCTGGATTGATCATTTCATCTGGATGATCTCTGCAACAGTAGTGAACAGACATTTGCTTGACATTATTGAGTTCACTGAGGGAAACAGTCACATCAGAGAATCCATCCACTTCTGCACTACATAAAACAGATCCAAAACATGAAATTTCATCACTAATATCCTTCTTGTCGAATTGAGCTGACAGGACATTTTCTCTAATGATAAAGTGAATTCTTTGCTGATCAAATGAGAGGGAGTGAGCTTTCCAAGATGGTCTTCTACAGGAAGTCAATTCTGGATCTTGAGCTGGAAAGGATTTTGTCAAGAGGTGATGAACATTACTTGGAGCACTTGATATTTAAATTAATGAAAGATTATTCATATTGCTTTTCAAGATTAAACTTACGTGTCTATAGGTCTTCCAAAAGGCATTGCTTGACTCAAATACATGTGAAGATAATTTGTGACTTCTGCAGATTTTTGATGTTTTTGGTTTGCAAGGAAAAAGTTGGAGGCCAAATCTTGCAGTAAGCAAAATGCTCCAGAAATACAAGGATACTCAACACAATTTTCCAATTTGGAAAAATCAATTGGGGAAGGACTGGATGGAGGAACAATGAGAGGCAAAGTAATGAAAGTAACACCACTCATTACAATCGATACGAATGGGAAAATACGAGGTGGAACGAGAGAATCAGTGGTGGAATTAAGGGAAGGAGAATTTGGTAAACTTTTTGAAGAGTTATTTCTTGCGAAGGAGGTCAGTTTCTTGGAGCTTGGTGATTTAAGTCCAGCCTTTTTAGCATTTGGTTTGAGCTTATCATTGGATGAAGTTTTTACTTTCAGAGTTGGATTGCTAGTATTGATGGCAGATACTTCAATAGGAAGTAAAAGCGACAAGTCCTCATCCTCTGCAGATATGATATCAGGTGTTGACATGGCCAATAGATCATCCATGTATTTCTGAATGAATTTTGTTTGAATGGAAAAGAGTGAAAAATTTTCCTCCTGTAATTTAAAGGCAATCTTGCCCATTTCTTCATTATCAGTAATTTCCGCATTATCAAAGAATGATGAAGTTGAATTTTTTGGTCTCACATTATTATTAGAATCTGTCAAGGACAGTGTTTGTTGACTCGACAAATTGCAAGACAGAATATCATATTGTTTCTTACAATTTCTAAAATATTCCAAAATAAATCCATCATCATAATTTTGAATACTTGACGAAAAGTGTTGAATAGATTTTTTGAATTTTTCATGATTAATAGGTGCTAATTGATATTTCCAATAAATTCCAATATAAAATATTAATTCCACAAAATATTGATTATCACCTACAATTATTCAATTCTAAATCATCTCCCGATTGATAAAGCGTCTGTGCTCTCTTTTCCACTGTCGGAAATCTCCTCGAAAATAACAAATTCTTCCTCTCTTCATCCAAAATCCACACTCCCCGAACAGCCAACGATGAATTAATAATATTCATTCTCTGCAATGATGACTGATTATTCACTTCCGAATCATCCATTTTTTATTTTTAATGTTTTTAAAAAAATCTAAAGAATTTGGCGCCATTTTTAATGCTAACAATTACAGTATTATGAACATTGAACAAGAAAACTTCTGGTTTGTAACTTTTATTGAATTTTATTTGAAAGAAAATATATTTAAAAAATGTCAGCATCATCATCATTTAGTAAATGGCTTAGTGGATTGATGAGTTCTTCTTCCGATAGATGTGGAGATGAAGAAGAAACAAAACAATTCGAAATTCCTTCCAAAGTGGATCCATCAACAACTGATAACAAGCAAATAATGAAACAATCAGCATCATCTTCTAGTAATAAGAACAAACCGAGTGAATCGACTGCTGATAGAGAAATTTCCATTGATAGTTTACCAATGATGGAAGAACATCCCGAGGGAAAAATTACAATTGTTCATATGAGTGATAGTCATATTTCTCATCAGTATTTAAAAACAGTTCCTGATGGTGACATTTTCATACACAGTGGTGATATTTCTCACAAAAGTGAATGGTATGATCTTGAGGACAGGATTGAGAATGCTGTACAAACAAATCCAAATGTTAATAGAGAGGAAATGTACGAATCAGTTCCTAGTATTATTTCATTTAATGAATGGATTGGAAAATTACCACACAAGATTAAAATTGTAATTGCTGGAAATCATGAAATTGGATTTAATGGATTGAGTCCTGAGTTTATTCAAAAACGAGTGTTGAAGAATGTTATTTATTTGCAAGATCAATCATTACTGATCAATTATAGAGGTACTGAATTATTGAGATTGTACGGCAGTCCTTGGACAACTAGTTCAAGAATGGGGTTCTCCATCTCTTGGAAGATTATCAAAACCAAGTGGGATAAAATTCCTCTCAATACTGATGTCCTAATCACTCACATGCCACCATTTGGAATTATGGACCTCGCCTCCACAAGGGACGATCCTTACTATTGTGAATATTGTAAAAAGGAACATAAATACAGAGGTCACTGGGGTGATAATCATTTGAGAAATAAGGTCATTGAGTTGAATTCCAATGGAAGGCTGCAGGCCCATTTATATGGTCATGTCCACGAATTCCATGCAACTGCAATAGAGCCACAGACTAAGGACACTCCAAAGCCTCTCATTTATTCGAATGCAGCTTCAGTACTCACTCACTCCGATACGCGAATTAAGACACCCAACATTATAGAAATTCTTCCTCACAAGAATTCAAATTGAATCATTCACAACGACTCTTTTTCCGAAACCTTGTATCCGAATCGGTCTATCAACAACAACCACCAGAAACGTTGGTAATCCTACGCACCCATTCAATTGAGCACAGTATAGTATTTAACAATAAGAAATTAAGATTTTCCAAGATTCGTTGTAAACTTCCCAAATAAATTCTTATCCCCAAATGCAAGTGATAAATCGCTTCATTCACTTCCCACCAAAAAAATAACTCAACAACAGCTCTAATGCCTTTCTCATCAACACCACCAAGAGAATTGTTGGTAGGTGGTTCGGCGCATCAACAACAAACAACATCTAATAATAATAATACTAGTTCGACAGTGGTGGTTAATAATAATTCTTCAACGACAACAACTACTGTAGGTGTAAATAATCAACAACAACTTGTATCTTCAACGACATTGAATAATTCTCCGAGAATCAATCAAGAAACAAACAATACAATGTCATCCAATGCTGGACAAAGTAATAGCAGTACTAAACCAATGAATATAAGCATACCTAATAATAATACTATCAATCTAGATATAAAACGAAACTCTTTGGAAAAATCACCTTTAGCCATTGTAAATTCGTACAAGGAGAGGAAATACAAACTATACAAACAGGAACCAACTGTTCCAACTTCATCATCTTTAGAATCTGATTTAAAGATAAATATGCAATCTTCTCCGAGAAATCGATCAGGTAGTAGTGGAAGCCCACTTAGTGCAACAGCAGCATTACATACAAATAATATATCATTCGAAATTCCATCAAGTAATAATATTAGTGGGAATGTAAATAGAAATAATCTCACTAGTGATTCAATTCATCGACCAGCAACAGTCAATTCATTTGTAAATAATTCAAAACCTCTCAATGCCTTGTCACCTCCTTCGCCAACTGATTTAACTCCAATGGTGAAAAAGAGAAGCAATTCTTTCGATGAAAATTCAGCTGCTGTTTCTATATGTACGGAAATTATTATTGAGGATGAACATGGAAAACAAGAAAAATCACATAAGCGAGCTGGGTCTATTAGACATCACCAAAGAGAAAAGTTTCAACTCAGTGGTGAAAGTTTATTCCGAAAACCGTCTCCGAAAAGAAGTCAATCAGAGGATGCAGAAAAGTACCTTAATTCGGAAGATTCAACAATAGGGGATCATGCTCAACCAACCACAAGCACGACTCAACCAAGTGAGGACTCAAAAGGTCATTTTCATGTACATAGTCTTCCTTCTAGAGCTTCTAGTAGTGGTGTCAAGAAACCTTTTCCAACAAATTGGATCACACCAAATAATTCTTCTACTAGTAACAAATTTAAAGGAATTGGAAACCCTGAATACGCCAATACCACCAATCCTGCCCACGCTATAAAGCACAGTTTTAAGGAATTTAAGAAAAATATCAGAGATGAAGTGAAGAAGGGCGTTTCGACAGTGAAGAATGCTCCATCCTTTATCAAGTCAGTGCCAAAGAAAATTATTCCAAACTATCTGGCACAACCAAAGGTGAGAGGAGAGAACGATAGAATGTCACTAGATATTGAGAGTTATGATTATGTATATGTTCCACCGGAAGAGCAGAAGCGAGAGGCTATTGGAGAACTGTATGTGACTGACGTTCAGACTAGAAACTTGAAATCCGTTGAGGGATATAATACCAATGAGTCAGCACTGAATACATCAGTCTCTGGTCAACCACTTCAAAAGCGAGTCAAATCCTTACAATCAATGGACGCTTTGGGAAATGAAGAGGAGAATACAGAAAATATCCTACTGGAAGACTATGTGACGTATTGTGAAATTTTATGTGAGGGAAAGAAGCACACAACAATGAATCTTGGTGGGGCCTATCTAAACAAGAAACTCAAGTGGCAAGAGGAATTTAAATTCTACGTTTCTGATGAATCTAGCTCAATCTCTATTGAAATTTTCCACAGTCCACCAAAGCCTAAATCTAAGAATGAGATTATGTGTCTGGGATTTGTTTCAATTCCAATTTCTCGAGTTAAACTGGCCAAGGATAGAATTCTAGATGATTGGTTCTGTCTAATTACGCCACTAGGTACCAAAACGTTCTCTCAAGTACATCTTCGTTTCCAATACATTCCTTACCAGAATCCTGCCTTCTCCGCAAAGGATTTAGAGTTGCTGGATCGTATGAGTCTGAATCCAAGTATACCATCTCAATTAACACCACGCGACAAGCCAGAACGTAAAACTCTCCTAGACTCCCTCAATATTGATGTTTCAGATGATTTACTCTCTGGAAGAGTTTTCCAATCCACTATAGAAGGAGATAGTTCTACTGATATTTCACAATCTACTTTTGTCTCACAAACTCCACGATCATACGCTCTTTATGATGGCTTATTGTATTCCTCAGGTCATAAGGAACAAACAAGTGCTGTTCAAAAGGTAAAGGAGGAATTACAATGCACTGAAAAGACCTTGATGAATGAAATTCACAATCTCAAGTTGGACTTGCTGGATACCAAGAAGAGAGTTAATGATGCTCACGAACAATCAAGACTGCAAATGACTGACAAGAACGTCACTGTTGATAAGTTAAAGAATAAGGTGGAAAAAATCGAGTCAAGAATGAATCACCTGTCGACTATTGTCTTACAGTTGAACTCAGCCCAAGCCATCACTAAGGATAAAGTAACCAGTCATGAAGAGGATATCAAGCTCTACGAAAGTAGACTCAAGGAATTGGAAAATAAGGTCAACTCAATGCACAGTGCTAGAATATCAACCAAGCTTAAGGAGTGGGTATTTTACTTGTTGGCCTTTTTACTCTTCTTCTTCTCTCAAATTCTTGTATTGACAGGATATGTTTTTAACAAGATTAAACTGAGAAGACCTCCAACTGCAGATGAAGAAGATGCAGTGGATGATGATGAAAATGAAGAGAGCACCTTCAGCACCCTGAGAAGACGTATGGAAGGTGTCGAGAAAAAGTACAGGGATATGGCCATGAAAACCAATACACCACTGGGCAATATGCCCTCAAGGGACGGAGTCAACACTCCTTCAGATGATTCCACAGCAGAAGAATCCACTGTTGGGAAGAAGGAAACATTCCTTTCTCAAATAACAAAGGTAGCCGTTTTGTTGCCATTCAAAAAGTCTCCTCTCGATTCTCCACTTGTGGAAAGAAAACCAACAATGAGCTTCTCAACTTTGGAAAGACAAAATGAATTGAAAGATTTACTCTCTCCAAAGGAAGAATCATCTGATAGTGACGAATTCCCAGAAAGCCAATCTCACTCCACTCAAAATATTGCACCAAGCAATGTAAATACTCACCAGCCAAAGTTTGATTTCCGAAGCACTGTATCAAATCAAATCCTTGCAAGTAATAATAATAGCAGTGACGATGAAGACGATGCAAAATATAGTGTTGAAAAGACATCCAACAATAGAATTTTCGAAGATGTCAGTAATACAAGTTCAGTACAGTCACCAAATACTGAACCTCACAATAAGGAAGAAATACCAACTCATAAGGTTGTACTTCCAGAACATCAACAGAGTTATCTTTTCAATCAATTAAAACAATCCTACAAGGAAGAGGAAGACTTGAACTCGCCACAATCATCAGAAGCTACAAGTCCACAACCTAATTTCGAAGATCATACCTCCAAATCTCAACAACAACAATCGATTATGGAAGAGGCTGAAAAGTTGCAAACAATTTCACAATTCTTCAGAAAGACCGAGAATACTGGATCAAACAAGACCAAGAGGCTATCAAATGCAAGCATTAAGAATGTGCCTATCAATACATCATCCACTACTGCTCAATCTAATAATGAAGAAGAAGAAGACTTTGATTCATGGTTTAGTAATAAAATAAATTAGCCTTTAGTTCATAATATAGAAGAAAGCATGTTTCTTGAAAAGAGTAAAAAGTTTAGAACACAACGTTTTAAAAGACCTAACCTTTCATCTTGCCAAGATTATCTCCATGTGCATCAACAGCTAATGACGCATCTGAAATTAAGTAAAATCCTTTCGTTTAGTTTCTTGGGTTGATTAGACTAAATGGGGTATTATTTTGGATGCATGACATGCGTCGAGCAGTTCATTGTTGGAATTATTGGAATCAGACGTAAACTCATTTTTATGCCGCGTTTTGAGATAAAAAAGGAAATTGTAGTGTATTCCCAAGCTTCAAAACACGTCAAGAAGGCAAACAACAGGTAAACCATTTTCGTTAAATTCTAAGCCCACCATTATCTCAAAACCTGGCATTGGAATCCCAAATATCATCCTAAACAATTAACAATTTGAAATATTAACCAAGTGGTTATCAAGTTCTTCAATCTTTGGCGACTTTAGAAACATCTATTTGAAACTACTTTTTTGACACTGTTTCAAACCTTTCACAATAGTAAAAAGTCAATACATTTCGAATAGCGCAGTTTAGTGACCTTTTCGAATATATTGAGCTTGCATGAAAATGACATTTCATTCAATTAAAATCTGATTCGCCTAAACGATTTTTCATCAAAGATCAAATCGAATAAGGCAATGAGTAAATATAATTGTGGTTGGAGTCATTGTCTTATTCGAACCTATTAAGGTCTCAAAGTATAGGTTTGGTAAGCCGTATGGCATTGACATCTTTTGTCTCAATCACTCATTATAAACTAGCTGGTTCATCAGTCTTAAGGTTCATGAATTTCATAAAAGACTAGAGAACCTAAGGTGGAAGTGATGAGTCGTCTCCACTTATTCCGAAGTAAGTATTCTTGGAAATAATCTATCTACTTGCGTATGCTGACTCTATCC